AGGTGCCTTGAATTTCTCTTGGTAAAAGCAATATAAAAAGTAATTAAAACATCTGCTTGACTCAACTAAAACAAAAGAGGCATACTTTTGTTTCTCTGTGCTCGTTTGTAAATTTATCCTTTGATGTTAAGCAAATTAGCACATGGATATGTTACATATGCATTCGACATCAGACGACATTTTGCTCAAGATGTCTTCACGTACATTTACATTTATTTTTCACGTTAAATTGAAATGTCATTTTTTAGTTCGTCGCTTATTTCCCTGACATGAATATATTAATTGAAATCTTTGTTTGATGTGTGAACACCTTACAAACATATAAACATAAATTTCCTATTAACCTTTATTTTATTGGGCCTTGTATTAAAGAATCGTATGACCGTGTCAGGTACATGCGTTCTTTTAGCTCTAGTACATCTTTAAGTTGCTTTAAAACTTAGTCAGGTTTATAATATTCATTTTATGGCCATATGAAAATAAGAGGTATTTTACTTGTTGTTGTTTCTTTTCCAAACTTTTGTACATGTTTTTTATGTTACCTGCTTAAAATCTTTCTCTTATATGTTACTCTACTGAAAGGGTTTTATAAACAGGACAGATCAGACTCTTTATTAAGACATGTACAAAGTACATCATCTACAATACATTATATTTATATATATACTAGCTGCATGAAAATGAACAAATAAAAAGCAAAACGCGTAAAAAAGTATGTACAAGTATAAAGCTCGTAGCAGAAATGAAGAAGCTATAAGATATAGTAAGAAACTTACCAAAAAGTGTCAATAATAATCCAAGTATTAGCCATCTTAATATGAAACCCATCACACCTTATAAATTATAACATGTATGAATAAATATAAAACTGTTGACAAAAATTGAACGTTGATGCATACATCCGAAATTACTTATCAGTTAATAAATTAACCTCGTTCAATGAGGTCAAAATAATTAATAACATGCGAACAAAAATCTGATTTTCCCAAGACGATATTAGTTAAAAGTATACACTGACTTTACTCCGTAATACATCTGACTGTAGATCTGTCCATATTTATATTAAGTGTCGTTTACGACCACAACAAGTGTATCGGTCAACAATCATACAATGATTTCTCAAAAAATAATTGACCAATTTCAATACAAAATTATAAAATAATATCCATTTCATTTATTTTTGTCTTTGATCTTTATTGGTAATGCAAGTGTTAAATCAGATAATCAATTTGTTAGAAAGGTTGTTTATCATTTTAAAACTTTAATTTCCTTGTCCTAGGGCAGTTTGTAACTGACAAGAGAATCAAGTGAGTCAGAAATTATTATAGCGGTCGGAGCTTGGGCGACATGTTTTATTTATGCATGTAGTAAAATGACTATTTGAATATTATGTTATATAGATTAGATTTTATTATAAGATACATGTGGGCAAGGTGATTGCACATATACAGCAAAGCTTGCTGCTTTAACATGTAATTGAGACTGAAGTTAGAGCATTGTGTAAAATGAAGTACAATATTCAAATTATGATATCAATTAAGTAACATTACATTTACATTCCAAATATAATTTACAAATATTTACCATTTGTTCTTAATTAACATTTTAAAGATAAACATTGATATTTTTCTAATAACATTTTTATTTTATGACGTTAACAATTCAATAAATTTATGTATATTTGGTCATTTATATATGGACATTATATTTTTTTTTATAATAATAGCCCCATATATCATGATAGTTGTTGTTGTTGTTTTTGTTGTTTAAAAGTGAAATAAACGTACCCCACAGATTTTTTGATATATTTGTTTAAGAAAACTCGTTAACTACTAATTACAGAAATTACGTTTTATATTTAAGAAGCAGGTTCTAAATAGTTATCAAAAACAAATTATGATATCTATTTTTTATCGTATTTTAAACTTTTCAATGCAGCTTTAAAAAATCCCCCAAAAAACCTAGATCAAGTTCACATATTTTTTTTGTAATCCTAGTGACCTCATACTCCAGCCGTGGTATGTTGTTAAACAATAAAACTCGAGAAATATGATCCTTTCAAATGACTTATAAAAGAAAAACGGATATATTATACCAGCAATCTTTGAACTAAAGTACAATGTAAGTCAAGGTCACTGCACATTAAGTTTAGGTAGGTTAATAAAACTAGATATGCGTTATGCTCTTTAAACAAGTTTTTTTTCCCATATAAGGTTTCATTGAATGGGTTTAGAAGCAAAAATCTAAAAACGTATGTTTTTTGGGGAGCTATTAAAACTTTTTAACTTAGGATTCTAAACCTCCATCTTCTCCCCATTAATTTTAGAAAGTCTTTTGATAGATAAGAGTTGTTTACCTAACAAAATTTCAATAACAACAACCAAATAAATCTTACCTCAATTATTAATAATTGGGATTATTGAAGGATTTTAATCTGAAAAAAAAAATGTCAGCACCAGATAATGTATGTTGGTGTGTATATATATGTACATAGAGGATATTCAAGTTTTTTTCTATAAATACATGATTTATTTTCATCGAGTGGTATGAAAATACATATTTCATGAGTGGCGGTAGCCACGAGTGAAATATAATAATTTTCATGCCACAAGATGAAAATAAATCATGTATTTATAGAAAAAACTTGAATTTTCTGTTTATTATATACATTTTCTCCTTTTTGCAATAAAATTTGAAAGACTTTTCCTTAAATTTTGTGTACAGGCAGAATTTAAAAGAAAGTAGTCCGGCAAAACACCAGTGAAAATACGGAAAATATGTTTCACTGCAGTGAAAAATAAATTTTTACAGTGAAAATACGGAAAATGAAAATACGCAATTTATTTCATCAATATTTCTCAATATTTCATTTATAAATATATAATAAATGTATTTATTGTCACAGACACATATTTTCTTTGTTGGATTATTCTGTATATTATTGGCATATCGTCTCACTTATTCACCTCATCATTAAATGATATCTACTCAATAAAATATTTTAATATAATTTATAAACGGTAAAATTATGTTATTTCCATCATTTTATAATTGATTCTTGAAAGAGTTGTTACATAGAATGTCTCTTTATCTTTAAAACACATATGAATATTGTATATTAAAAGAATGAAACTTTAAATGCTGCTATTTGAATAAGGTATTAACGGTTTAGCAATGATTTTGTGCTTTCGCTCTTATAAGGAAAATTATTCCAGAATTTTCCTGCCAAAATATAGTATTTTTGAAAAGTTAAATATTCACGGTATTGTATATATCCAGTTTTCCTCATTCCAGTTACCGTTGGTGGCAGTTTTGTTTAAATGTATATATTACCCTTTGGAACTTCTTTAAGTTAGCACACAATGGATTTTACCAAAGATATACAAAACCATAGCAATTTGCCAGGTATTTGATTTGATAGGGGCGTTTGTGACCGATTGGTTAATGACGTTGACTTCAAACTACTTAACCCCTCACTGCTGTGGGTTCGAATCCCGCCAGGGACTTAATTTGGATTATTTTATGTGAGAAAGCTATATGTAGTTATATAGCTTACGATACGTCAACAGGTGCCCGTGTGTTCCTGAAATACTGTACGGAGGGGCAACTGAGGTCACCCCACCCCCACCCCACCCAAGCTGGTAAGTCGCCATATGACCTCGTCTGTGTTGGTGCGACTCAACCAAAAGAGAAAAAATAACTTGATAGGCTGAAATACTTCCATTAACTTAATGCCAAAAATATTCATACATTTTATGACTTATGTTAGCAATATATAGAGGATATTCAAGTTTTTCTTTAAATACAGAATTTATTTTCATCGAGTGGTATGAAAATAAATATTTCATGAGCGGTGGTATTTATAGAAAAACTTGAATTTTCTGTTTATTATATAAATGTACATTTTTTTAATCTTTATGACAATACAATTTCAATTACTTCCCCTTAAATTTTCTGTACTGGCGGAATTTAAAAGAATGTAGTCAGGTGAGACACCAGCGAAAATACGGTAAATATGTTCATACATGTGAACTCTCCCACTTTTAGCAGGAGACTCCCACTTTCTGCAGCCATATTTTCAAAGATTTATCTTAAAATAAGGGGTATTTTCACAAACTAAAGAAATCTCCCTATTTTTGATGTCAGAATTTCCTTCTTTGTTTAATGTTAATTCTAAAATCTCCCTCTTTTTGAAGAAAAATCTCCCACTTGATCATAAAAAAAAGTTCACATGTATGTATGTTTCACTGCAGTAAAGAATAAATGTTTACAGTGAAAATACGGAAAAAATTACGCATTTTATTTCATCAATATTTCTCAATATTTCATTTACAAGTAAATAATAAATTTGGAGACGTTAATTACTATTTTGAATCAAAATTCAACGATATCTATTTATTTACAAATGAGAGCGCCTCAGTTCACCAAAACCACCTATATTTTAACATCCCATAGGTATTTATGGATACGTTCAATTCAAATCATTTATTTCACGGTAATGGCATATTTCGATCCATATGTATTTCTTAAAACAGAACAACGTTTTACTAATAATTATTTCTGTAAAAAGAAACCATTACTAAATGTTCCTGCTTGACTGAAAAAATAATATTGAGTTACAAAGTAAAGATTGCTTTGATACTTAAAATTGAGCGTTATAACATTTAGTAATTTTAACTGAAACATGAAAAAAACCTTTTAAAAGTGTAATGTTCAACATTTACCGCGATTTAAATGATGGCATAGTGTTTTCAAGTCAAGTCAATGAATTTTTTTATAAAATTTAATGTAGTCGGTGTAAAAGCTCATCAGAGGTTATGTTTTATTGTTATATGTATCCGACTTATGAATAAAATTTACTTGATATGACTTCATGTGCAATATCAGTGTGTGCAAAATGCGAAATACAGTAATATTTTTTGACTTGTTCGGGAAAATAAATTGGTGTCCTTTAACCTAATAAAAAAAGAATACAGTAGCCTCCCTTTAGTACTCTTGTAATTTTCCCGGGAAAAATGAAAATGTAAACTCCTGATAACAATTTAACTGTTTAATGGGAATTCCTATGATAAAATAACATTATCACTTATTGAAACTGAAAAAAAAGTGGTAAAGTAAGTAAGATTTGTTTTAAATTAATATACTTATATTTTTGCAAAATTAATGGCCATTTTGCTACACTACTGTACAGACATTCATGAAATTATCTTCCTCTTCTGTCAAGTTTCAAAATTCATTAAATAGATTCAGTATCTTAGACTATATATCCAAGACTAGGAGGCTCATTCTGTTTGTAGTAATTACTGTATAAAATAGAAATTTGAATGTAATAAACATAGGGATCTATCCCAGAAGATTGCTGGAGGTCAGTCCGGAGCACCGTTGTTCAAGAAGAAGCTCATGCACCGGCCCCACATGCACCCTTCCTCATTGTCTTAAGATGCCACATTTTAGAGCCGCTCCCCTAGGCTTCAGTCAGCAGTACCGTTATTAGTTTCAAGTGTTTATCATAATCAACAAATTATCTCAACCTGCAGCAAATACAATATACTGCATCGTCGCAGGGTCTTTCAAATAGAATTCTATTTGAAAGACCCTGATCGTCGGATACCCACGGCCGAACCATTAACATTTATCAGCCGTGGGATTTTTTGCCGATATTCTGTCGATTAGAGGTGTGTCAAAGGCAGCTATTTCATTGGCTGCCTCACGATTTCATGAGGCGATTAAAACCAATCAAAACGCTCGTTCTGTACGACGTTCGGTATTACAGACATTTGAACCAATGGTGACAACCATAGACGTCACATTAAATTCAGTTTGTGAGAAAATCAACGCACCTGTTGCAGTATATCGACGCAAATCAATTCATTTTACCCATGGTTGATTGCATGTCGTGTGACATGTTTATCAATCTTGGGTATCCAACCATGAATATACTGTAGTGATTAAAGGTGTAGGCCATTTCCAACCTTGCTGTGGGGTTAACCCTTTAGCTTTACACTTTAGTTAACAATAATATTGTAAACCTGAAACAGGGCATTTTTTGTCAAAATTGTGAAGGGGCCTGGGCCTATTCATTTTGTGAAAAAAAGCGTGTTATGTTATAAAATTGTGGGGGAAAAAAAGAAATATTTGGCATTTTGCAACATTTTGAAACCAGAAACGGTTTGCTGTGAACGCTTGATGTAAAATCTGCTTCAAGTCCGTACTTGCGCAAAACCATTTAACTTGATTAAAACTATTTATGTGTTATTGCAATTGGGTAAATCAAGTTTTACCAGAAGGTAAACAATGTATTTCGAAGACAGAGTCCCAATATTTTATGAAATCTCTTTTGAAATTGTGAATTTTTTTCTGCCGCTTTGTGAAAAAAAGTTCAATTCTGAATTGTGAAGAGGCCTTATATCGGCCCCTGTTATAAAAAGAAAAATTGCCCTGTGAAAAATCCCCTGGTGGTGACCAGACCTCTCGATTACAAGGCGGTCACTCAACTACATTGCTAAAGGGTTAACCCAACAGCAAGGCCTACACCTGTTATCTCTACAATACTAAGCATTTTGCCGCAGACTTTGTGTACTGTCAAAAATTGCCGATCTAATTATTGATGGCTACTGTATATGATATGATATCTGATTGTGTAATCACTTGCTGGTATTTTTGTCTGTTATTGTCAATTATGTTCATGCATTCTCAGACAGAATTAAGTATATTATGCAGAATCCCAGCTTTGAAATCTACCCATCCAGCAACAGTAAATATGCCAACCAAGGCTGACGGCATTTGTCACTGGGAACTGTGGAAATTTCTACTTCTATGTGTCACAGGGTAAGAAAAATGTGCAGCTTGACCGAGACTCGGACTCAGGACCCACCAAATACCATTCCGTCTGAGCTTTCCAGGCGCTTACACATATTCTCCCCTAAATAGTGAACAGTTCTGAACCATGACATATGACAAACTTTTACAATATTTTCATTACACATTTTTGTAATTTAATTATTTTCAGATTCTGAATTGCACTTGTCTTACATGTATGTTCGCTACCCATAATGGAATTCTCCAAAGAGCATAAAGATTTTTTATCACATTATCAAAGTTTGGTGCTTGACCAGAAGTTAGAAAATGGAACTGCCAGTGCAAAAGCTGAATTACTGAGGAAGACGATGGCACATCTTCAATATGCTAAACTCTCAGGATTGTTAGTAAAATTAATAAACATAAACAAAAATCAAAATATGAGCCGCGTCACGACAAAACCAACATAACGGGTTTGCGACCAGCATGGATCCAGACTAGCCTGCGCATCCGCGCAGTCTGATCAGGATCCATGCTGTTCGCTTACAGACCCTTTTACAAGTAGAGAAACTGATAGCGAACAGCATGGATCCTGATCAGACTGCGCGGAGGCGCAGGCTGGTCTGGATCCATGCTGGTCGCAAACGCATTATGTTGGTTTTGTCGTGACACGGCTCGAATGAATTCAGTGATATTAAATTGCAATGATTAATTATTTACCTTCTAGAGCAATATATATTTCAATATTTACAATTTTTTGATCATATGCATATTTTTACAAAATGTTCTCTTATATGAAATTGATCTGTTGTATAAAATGAGAACAAAATATAGTGAAGTGTCTTTAGAACAATGTAAGTATTTAATCAAAGTTGAACTGTTAAAGAGGAAAACTGCTCTGTGCCTCACAACATTGTTAGATATTAATTAATCTTTAACTGGAAGTTTGGTTTACATCAGGGTTGGTGAGAATGCTGTAGACAGTGTGAAGAGACAATATGAAGACATGTACATAAATATTGTAGATTCCTTTGATGAACATACAGGTAAAACTGATAAAATTGTTGTTATTTTTTTGGCAGTATATTCAGAACTTGACCCTTACCGTTATTAATTGGATGCTCTGTTTTGCTCAAAATGTAGAATCTACATGTGGGTTGGTTTCCTTGATTAGTTCCAAGTATGAAAAGAACATTATCAGCATAGTTTTTAAACAACAAAACATTAATCAATTTTGGCACAACTTGTTTTTTATTGTGTCGCCTTGAAAAGGTGACATATAGGGGTTACTTTTGTCGGCGGCAGCGGCGTCTGTGTAGGCGTCGGCGTCCCCTAAAGCTTGTCAGGAGCATAACTCAGTCACTATAAATCTGATTGACTTCAAACTTGGTATGCATGCTTCCTTCAATAACCCGAAGTGCAGTGCACAAGAATCGGTACTCTGCAGTTCTTATTTTTTGAGTTATTGCCCTTTGTTAATTTTCATACTTTAATTTTGTCCGGGCCATTTCTCTTCAACTAAAAAAGCTATGGACTTGAAACTTCATAGGATGATAGATCTCATTAAGAAGAAGTGCAGTGCACAAGAATCGGTACTCTGCATTTCTTAATTTTTGAGTTATGGCCCTTTGTTAATTTTCATACTTAATTTTTGTCCAGGCCATTTCTCCGAAAGTATAGAAGTTATGGACCTGAAACTTCATAGGATGATAGATCTCATTAAGAAAAAGTGCAGTGCATAAGAACCGGTACTCTGCACTTCCTAATTTTTGAGTTATTGCCCTTTGTTAATTTTCATACTTTATTTTTGTCCGGGCCATTTCTCCTTAAGTATAAAAGCTATGGACTTGAAACTTCATATGATGATAGATCTCATTAAGAAGAAGTGCAGTGCACAAGAATCGGTACTCTGCATTTCTTAATTTTTGAGTTATGGCCCTTTGTTAATTTTCATACTTAATTTTTGTCCTGGCCATTTCTCCGAAAGTATAGAAGTTATGGACCTGAAACTTCATAGGATGATAGATCTCATTAAGAAAAAGTGCAGTGCATAAGAACTGATACTCTGCATTTCTTATTTTTTGAGTTATTGCCCTTTGTTGATTTTCTTACTTTATTTTTGTCCTGGTCATTTCTCCTCAAGTATGAAAGCTATGGACTTGAAACATCATAGAATGATAGATCTTATTGATAAGAAGTGCAGTGCACAGAAACTGCTGCTCTGCACTTATTATTTTTTTAGTTATTGCCCTTTGTTATTTTTCATATTTCATTTTTGTCCTGGCCATTTCTCCTAAACTACATTGTTCACAAGGCGACACATCCGGCTCGCGGAGTTCTAGTTGGGAATTCTAGCCAGATAATTGCATAAAGATACTCTCTTTTGATTAGCAATATAATCATATGTTCCCTATAATAAGATCAGCTAGAAAGAAAACTTAGAGTAATAATGACTGAGTAATATTAAGTGCTAACCTGCTGGAATTGAAATGAGTATGCTTTGCCACTGTTATTAAGCTAGGCCATACAGCACATCCTTGCAGTCTAACCAGACTAATCTACTAGTATATTGTTTGTACTTTTATTTTAGCTTGACTGTTCCAAAAATAGGGACAGCTATTCTACTCACATAGGCTTCTGTGTCACACTTTGATTAAGTTTTTGTGTGCAGGTTTGTATCTCTAAAACTACTGAAGGGAATGGTGTTAAAACTTCACATACTTTATTGAGAGCTTAATAATAGGAGTGTACTCTCCAAGGCCCATAACTCTAACTTAGATTTTGACAGAATTATGGCCCTTTTGAAAATTTATATTATTAAGGCTCTTGTTTAACTGTCAAACATTTAGAATAGTATACTATTTCTGCACACAGATCTTGTTTGATTGGATCAATTGTGACAGACTGAGTATTCAGACAATTTCCCTCCAATATAAAAATATCAGTCAAACAAAATGAGTGGCAAAAGAGATAAATTGTTTGCAGAGGTAGAGCACTTGTCTGGAATTTGACATATCGTTTAGATTTTGTGCCCCCACTTCAGTGGCTGCCATTTAGATTTACCCTTGTCCGTCCGTCCATCCGTCCGGACGAGCGCACGGGAGGGTATATGTTGGGTACTGAATACCCAACAACTACCAATCCTACTCATTAGGTATGTATTGTTGGTATTTTCTTTGATTGTTTACACAGGTACTTTTTTTACACAGTAAAATACCCAACAAGAATACAAATGTAAGAACGTCTGTCCGTTCTCTTTTGTGCCGCACGTAACTCAAAAAGTATTTGACCTAGAGACATCAAACTTACAGGAATGTTGATCAGCATGTGTTGTTGTGCACCTTGGTATTTTCGTCTGGATATTTTTAGTATTTTTAGAGTTATTGCCCTTGACTTAGTAAAATTTTGCAATTTTCAACTTGTGTCGCATGTAACTCAAAAAGTATTTGACCCAGAGTCATGAAACTTTACAGGAATGTTGATCAGCATGTGTAGTTGTGCACCTGGGTATTTTCGTTTGGATATTTTTAGTATTTTTAGAGTTATTGCCCTTGACTTAGTAAAATTTTGCAATTTTCAACTTGTGTCGCATGTAACTCAAAAAGTATTTGACCCAGAGTCATGAAACTTTACAGGAATGTTGATCAGAATGTGTAGTTGTGCACCTGGGTATTTTCGTCTGGATATTATTAGTATTTTTAGAGTTATTGCCCTTGACTTAGTAAAATTTTGCAATTTTCAACTTGTGTCGCATGTAACTCAAAAAGTATTTGACCTAGAGTCATGAAACTTTACAGGAATGTTGATCAGCATGTGTAGTTGTGCACCTGGGTATTTTCGTTTGGATATTTTTAGTATTTTTAGAGTTATTGCCCTTGACTTAGTAAAATTTTGCAATTTTTAACTTATGTGTGGGACTTTTTCAGTTTTGTTAGAGTTATTGCCCTTGACTTACAGTAGTATAAATTTGCAATTTTCAACTTGTTCATGCATAGCTCAAAAAGTATTTCACTTGTAGGCCTGAAAGTTTACAAGAATGTTGGTCACCATGTGTACTTATGCACCTTGGGGTTTGCTTGTGGATTTATTCAGTTGCCCTTTACTTAGTAAAAGATTTTTAGTTTTCAAAAAATATTTGACCTAGAGTCATAAGATTGACAGAACAGTGGCGCGGTGGGGGCACCCGTGTCCTATGGACACATTTCTAGTTTTTGCATTCTTATATTGCAGGCTTAAACAATTATGCTGAAGGGGCTCTAGCACTGTGTAGTGGAAACAAAAATGGTAAAATTTTCATTTTGCTTTTGTGTATTTACCTTTGCACCAACTAAATATACTTACATACTTGTAAATTGTGTCAATGGATAATAATATTGTCTAAGATATTGGTAATTAGTCTTTTTAATTGTTAATTGTATTGCATCATCAATTTTAAATATGGAAGCAGGTTAACATTTTTTTCTTTGTAAATAGTAAATAGATAAAGCATCTACTATCCCTGTTGTACTGAATTTATGTTCACTCTAAGTACATGTTCATACAGGTATAATAGTAGTGCTACTAGGGGAATTGTAACAATGCAATATTATTAAATATTGAATATTTTATGCATTTCAGAGAGCCAGAATTGGAAAAGTTCTTTAACATTAGATAAAATCAAATCATTGCCCTATATAAAGAATGCAATGAAAAATTCACAGGTATAGTAAAACAAAATGTTTGTCATACACCATCTGTTACCTATTTCATTTAGGTTTAACTCTTAGCTTTCTGAAGTTGACTACCTTTTTAATATAGAGGCATGCCAGCCTGCACTACCATGCAATCTGACCAGGCTTAAATTTGTTGATTGACCAACTTTAGATTTTCAGCTTTATATCCCAAACAAATGAAAATGGACAGATTGCGGAAAAAAAGAAAGTAAAAAAAAATATTTTTTTTTTTGATGAGCAAATACATTTATTTGCATTTCAAATGAATTACGTTCCAAAGGTATACAACAGTGTGCAGTCACAATTCATTAATAAGTGTTGCATAATCATAAGGATTTAAGTGTACAGTCAGGTATGCATTATTACTCCAGCAATATCAAGGGAACTCTTCATATCTTTTGTATGATTAACAATCAAAGTATTTAATGTCCATGGTTTCCAAAGATAAACTTGTCTATGCTTGTTGTTTCACATATCTCATTATATATTTTCTAGGAGTCTACGCATCGGATGGTACCTGGTCAAAGGTTGTCAGAACCATTACCACAAAGTAAAAAAGAGAACCAGCCTCCAAATCTTCCATTTCAAAATATGTCAGTGCCACAAAATGTTTCCCTGCCACAAAATGCCTCAAAATTTAAATTCCAAAGTGTGAGAAAAGGAGCAGAGGCAAATTCTACAGAGAGAGTGATGAATTTGTATCAGAATTCAGGTAGTGATAATCAACAAAGTTTTCCTATAAGACCTAGTGAACAAAGTGTACCTCAAGTACCACAGAATAATTTCTTCAATAAAATACCTAATGAGAGACAGAAAAACCAAAACATGGAAGACAATAACTTGAGAGGAAGTAGACAACCATTGTTTTCAACTGGAGGTAAAAATAGTCTTGATTTTTGTAAACATAATATTTGAAAGAGTTTTTTAAATAACTTATTTATTATCATTTTAACACTTTCCTTTTAGATATTATAAGATGGTTAGTTGTTTTCCTGTAATCATAAATGAAATAGGACTGTATAAGTTTATATATTTTTAAACCACTTATTAGTGATTGTTTAGATAAACAAAAATTGCAAATAACAAAAGTTTAACAATGAAGTAAATGCTCTTTATAAATTCTTTTAATCTTTTAGCTAGGAATCAGGCTTCTAATCAATATGGATCTGGTCAAGGGAATCAGTATCAACCTAATGTGGGGAACCAGTACGGACCAAATCAAGGGAACCAGTATGGGCTTAATCAGGGGAACCGTAACCGAGAGGTACAATGTAATATGGACTAAATCTCTATGTTAAATAAAACCTACGTAAAACCTATTTGTGAAATTTGATAATTTTAAATAAGGGAAGTAATGGTACACATCGAGCATCAGATAATAAAAAACACTTCAAGGTCAATATTTTATTTGACCTCCAAGATAGATTTCTTGTTTCAGGGAAACAACAGCTTGCCCTGATGGAGTTCGAACCCAAGCAGGTAGAAATCCTTATATTGCTAGTGTAATGTTTACCACTTGGCCAAGCTGCCGCTGAGTTACATTAGGTGTTTTCGGCCTACACCTCTTACACTATGATCTGCTTGAGAGTATACATGTAGTGTCACGTGTATGGTTTTTGTTGATGACAGTGTTGTATATATCACGATCAACTCGCATATATATTACACGCAACATATCTTGTAAGAGGACCTAAATTGGTCAATTACAGTGGAAAAAAACATAGGATATGGAAATCAACCCAGTCAAATGAATTTAGAAGAAGTAAACCTCACCAGATGAAAATATCCCCATAAATCAATTTACTGGCTATATGGTCAACATTAGCAACAGTTATTAACAGAAATGATTAGATAAATAAAACTGTATATTTTCATCACAAATGTGCTGAAAATAAAGAGTTTCTGCTGTAAATGTCTTTGAATAAAATAAGTCATTTGAGTTGACAAACACTATTCTGTGTCTAAGTACTGTTTTAAAGGTTATAACGGTAGAGGTCTATGTTTATTTTCTTGTCTACATCTTGAATCAAAGTGAGGTTATACTGGTAAACATCTGTGTTTTATTTTCTTGTTTGTAGTATGGATCAAAGAGAGGTTATAATGAGACAGTAGAGACAGGTGAAGATGATGATGAGAGAGTTAGTAAATCTACCAATGCCTTCAGGACAGCAAAACAACAAATGGTAAACAAATACTCTTCTCTTATTCTACTCTTTACATTACACACACCTTTTAACTAAATTGGTAAATTTTGGAATGAAAAAAAGAAATTGTACCCTCAATATGTTTAACCTGTTACAGGATGAGAGAAACTATGCCACATGACCAAAACTCAAACCCAGAGCCCTCTAAATACTGTTACTCAGGTCTACTGACTGAGCTAACTGTTAGCTTACACATTTCCTTTCCTGCTTATAAACATTTCTGTGCTGCAGAAATATGTGTTGATCCTTTCAGAGATGAATGGTTACATGAAACGGTTAAATTATGGAAGAGTAAATTAGTATTAAAAGTATTGTCTAATATGCAAAGTAGTATAGTTGTCTTCCTCTATATTTTGAAGCCTAGACGCTAGATATACATGTATATAATAATTTGGAATATTGTTCATAGATATAATTGATGTACATATATGATGTAATTGATGAACATGTATATGATAATATAGGATATAGACAACCAGAGAAAGTATGGTGGTGGAGGACAGACTCGTGGTTCTGTAAATACATCTTCATATGGTACAGGGAAAAAATCACTTGGGACAAGGTAAATTCATAACACTTTTTTCTCACTCTTTACTTTGGAATGTAAATGACTACATGTGACTAAAAGGAGATCTAAAAAAATTCAATTTAGATCACAGATGAATTGTTATTTCAGGTACAAACAGGCGTCTGAGTCGAACTACCAACATTCTGTTAGCAAGCTGGATAGCTTCCTCACATGAAAAAATTCTAAGTCAGTCACATGATTTGAACCTACAGCAGTGAGGGGCAAGTGGTTTGAAGTCGATGACCTTAACCACTTGGCCATGGATGGCATTTCTGATCTTATAAGAAATGAATGAGAAGCATGTTAAGAGTATTAAATTAAGAACAGACAGTTCTTAATTGAAAACAAGACAAGTCTATTATACAGATTTAGGGGTGTAATGGTTATGTAATGATATTTCATACATTTACTAATGATGTTGGATGTATATATTTTACAGAAGAGGTTTAAACAGCAAGTTTGTGCCACCTGTGATGAGTAAAGATGGAGATGACTTTGGGTAATATTTCTATACCTGCTTACCTGTGTGTCTTAAAATATATATATATATTGGCCTGCACATAGACTACTTTACTGGCTACATGATTTTAGAATTCTAAATTTGAAATCTCCATAACCAATAAAGAACAGCTTATAATAAGAAACAGGACAAGTTCATAACATTAAATCAGCAATGTCTGTGCTGCCATTGCCCATATGGTAATTGGTAATTCCTTCCTCTTTCAGTCACACTCTAACACCTTTCATTTACTTACTTACCTTTTGTACCTTTCATTGACACTGATGTGTTAATTTCAGGTAGGTTACATAAAAACCAAGGTTGCTGATGCTAAAATTAGACATTTTTCTCATTTCCTGTAAAAATAAGGACATGCTTTTAGCTTTTATCAGAGTAAGGTTATGAAACATCAGTGAATTTTCTTGTTTAATGTCAGGAATCAAACAGCAAATACAATAACAAGAGCTGTGTTGAAGACAGGTGGAAGTGAAGGTGGAGCAGGGGGCGGGGCTAATATAGAAGATTTAGATGATGAAAGGTTGAAGGGTATAGAACCTAAAATGGTGGAACTGATCATGAATGAGGTATAACTTTATAATAAATACTTTAGTTTGATGTACATGTATTGATGTAGACTTACTTCACAAAGTTCTGTGTACTAACTGGAGTGTCTGATTTCGGAATTGTAGAGTACAGTATGAGTTAACATACAATTCACAGAGATACAGCTTATATAATGATATACATTATGATATTTTAATGTTCAGCTGAATTTTTGTAATGTTAGAGTTGTGTATGACATAATCTGGTTGTGTTATTCTGTGGACAAATGTAAGTTCACTCCTGTAGCATTATGTTAGATAAATAATTTATGCTATAAATATTGTAGATAATGGACAATGGTCCACCAATGACCTGGGATGACGTGGCAGGACTGGAGTTTGCTAAGAAAACAATCAAAGAAATAGTAGTGTGGCCTATGCTTAGACCGTATGTACATGTACTTGTAGAACTTATGTTTCTAAATCTCCTTGTTACTGTGTGATAAAACTGAGGTTACCTGAAATTCTTTTTTAGAAGTGAACCACTGTCTTTAGCAGCTAGAAGAAGTTATGTGGTCTAACAATTTAGTTAAAGTACTCAGCTGCTTTCAATATAGTGGTTTATGCACTTTACTTGAATGTTATCCATTCAGTATTAAAAAATCACAAAAACTTGTCTAAATCATGATTATTTAGGAAATTTTTCTGCCATGCCTTCCGTCCAAAAGTCAAATGTGTCCACCATCTTTGATGTATGTATATTGTGTGTTTTCAGGGATATATTCACTGGTTTAAGAGGTCCCCCAAAAGGTTTGTTACTGTTTGGTCCCCCTGGTACTGGGAAAACATTAATAGGTAATACAAGTTTCTATTAGACATTTCTTTACAGTATATCTAGTTATATAGAAACTTCTTTAGGACGTTAAAAGAATTGGTGTTCTTTTTAATGTTAATGGGAACTGCCTTTAAATAGGGCAAGATTAGTAAGCAAAAGTATATTATTTGTTAAATTTTCTCATTTGATTTTGAAAATATACCTGTACAGAAACTTGAAATATTGAATTTTAGCTAAATGGAATTTCTTTGTTTATTACAGTATTTTTTATTTTTGTGAAATTCACTTTTTGGTTTGAATGGAGAATGTTTGGGGGAAAAACCAGAAAAATTGTGTACATATTTGTGTTAACACATCTTCTTAAATTCTCCTTTATGAGAAATACTTGTATGGTTAGGATAACGATAACTGAAAAGTTTAGAAATGGTGAGAGTATTTTAATATGTTTTCATTGTTGATTGTTTCAGGAAAGTGTATAGCTAGTCAGTCCAAGTCAACATTCTTCTGTATAAGTGCTTCATCCCTGACTTCAAAATGGGTAAACTGTGTTTGATTATATATATATAATCTTATACCTATACACTGTATGTTTAGTGCATTCTGAATCATTTATAAATATATTTTTAGTATTTGAATTTTATATCATCTTTAAATCAGCATGGTTCTAGATTTCTGTAGATTTTTTCTTCTGAAATTGAAAATAATGAACATACAAGTTAAAACAAATGTCAAGTGTAGAAATGAGGTGGTGTGAGTCCAGTGTACTTAACGCTCCATAGAAATTACAAATAATTTGTCAAAAATATGCAGAATTTTCTTTTACCTGTGTCAGTAAAATGGTAGAAGATTATTATGAAAATAGTAAATTCTGTCCTATTTTTAGTTTGATTTTTAGCTCGACTATTCGATAAGAATAAGTAGAGCTATTGTAGTCACCCGAGCGTCGGCGTCTGCGTAACCACTTATGTTTAAGTTTTTGTAATAGTTTAAATATTTTCAAAGTCCATTGACATATGGCTTTGAAACTTTGCACACTTGTTCATCATCATGACCCCAACCTGTAGACAGGAGGAGGTAACTCTATCAATCATTTGGCCAGAATTATGCCCCTTTTTCGACTTGGAATTTACGTTAAAGTTTTTGTAATAGTTTAAATATTTTCAAAGTCCATTGACATATGGCTTTGAAACTTTGCACACTTGTTCACCATCATGACCCCAACATGTAGACAGGAGGTGGTAACTCTATCAAGCATTTTGACAGAATAACGCCCCCTTTTCGACTTAGAATTTACGTTAAAGTTTTTGTAATACCTCAAATATTTTCAAAATTCATTGACATAAGGCTTTGAAACATGTTGAAATTTTATACTCTTCTTTGAGAGCATAATAGGACTCTCTCCAAGGCCTATAACTGTAATATGGATTTAAAGAAAAATTTTGCCTTTTTCTTTACTTAGAAAATTTTACCTTTTCATCAAGGCTTTTTTTACTATCAAGCACTAAGAATAGTTGAGCGTTGCTGTCCTACCGACAGCTCTTGTTTAAAAAGATTTGTTTCTTACTCATGTTGAGGCTTGCTGCTTTAATGTGTGCTATGAATATTACTATAAATGACTTTTAATTATTACAAGTAAACTACAATTAATTCCTTTAATAATAATAATAACACAATAGTTTTATGTTAAAATATTCTTAGCTCTAAGCATTTTACACAATGGTAAGTTTGGTAACTGATCGCTGTAGATAATGTCACTATATACAGGTCGGGGAAGGAGAGAAGATGGTTCGAGCCTTGTTTGCCGTGGCACGTTCCCGTCAACCTGCGGTTGTGTTTATAGACGAGATAGACTCACTACTTACACAGAGAACAGATGGTGAAAATGAAGCATCAAGGAGAATTAAAACAGAATTTCTTGTTCAACTAGTAAGGATATTATTTTTTCAAAAATAATTTGAAGTTGTAGACCATATTGATAAAACAACATACTAAAACTTTAAGTCAGATGTTGTTTTTTGTATCAAGTTCCCTTGGCTAAAATATAGGGGGGAAAAATGACAACTTAAAATTTATTGTTTATGAAAAGATACCAACAGCTTTCACTAGACAGTTGGAAAGAGAGAATTTCATCTGTATGTTTCTATAGGTTTATTTGATAGGTATAATGTCACAGACATATGACTATTTTTCAGCTTTATTGTTAGAAGAAGACCTCGGATTCCAGCCTTCATAGTCTTCGTTTTAGTTTATCATATTGTATAACAATTATAAACAGGCAGTAAATAATTTTTAATGTTTTTGGAACTTCCAGTTTTTTGCACAAAAACTTCTGTGATATTTCTCTAGTATTTGTTAAGTTCTATTTATGTGTATTGTGTACAATGTATCTATTGTACAAATGATTCAAATTTAGTAGCTCATAGTATGAAGAGTAAATATTCTTTTTATATAAATTGTACAAACTACTTGCCTGAATATTTTTTACTTTTGTCTCATTTGCCCCATATCAAGTGACTCAAAATGCTACAAAGAGATGGGTGTTTTTTTAATCCAATAAAATCATGTCTGGTCTAGTAAATTGTTTCAGTTTTAACAGGGTTAAACTTAGAGAGGTGTTTTGCATAGACAGTGATAATAACGTATATTTATCAAAGAAAGAAATATTGTTGTTTTTTTATTAGGATGGTGCTTCAACTAGTTCTGAGGATAGATTATTGGTGATTGGTGCTACAAACAGGTAACATTCTGAATATCATTTTAGCTTAAGTATTGTATGGGTAATTTTAAAGGCGCTTTTAAGAGATCCAAAATCCTAAGTCAAAATTTTGTCATAAATCAACTTTGACATTTGATATGAGAAAGTGACAAAAGATAATTTAAATGTACTCTTTTTTTTTTTTGGCCATTTTAAAGCTTTTCTACTCAGTCAGTAGGAAAGATTTGCATAGTAAACAGGTCTTACACAAAAAGAATCTTACAACTTTAGCTGGATACATATAAAATCTATTATATTTTATTGGTTTATGTGTTGTTTGGAAGTTTTTTGTATTGTTTGGATGTGTTTTTGTATTGCTTTGGATATTTTTTGTATTGTATGTGTTTTAGGCCACAGGAGATTGATGAAGCAGCAAGGCGTCGGTTTGTAAAGAGATTATATATCCCACTACCAGAATATCCTGCGAGGAGAACTATTATAACAAATCTACTACGTCAACAATCATACAACCTGACAGATGAACAGCTAGATACAATATGTGCCAGAACTGATGGTTAACACTCTACACTATAACCCTTGATATGCCTTAACATAAATCTTTGATGATTAATTGTTCGTTATAATTGTGCACATTTTAATGAAATTTATGTGAACGAGCACTTCCTAATAATTACCTGCACATTTATATTATATATTGACCTAGACTAGAAAGAATATATAACATGTATTAATGCCAGCTTGTATACCCGTCATAACTAGATCGATAAATTATCGGACATAATTAGATCAATTAACAGTGAAATACCCTAATTATTAATGAGTTAATGCTAAATAAAAACCACTGAATTATTGACTTCAGTTTAAGTAATGGAATTTAGTCTCCTACAGCAGTCTACATTAAAGATTATACAAGTACATGTATTTATAAATTTTGTTTGGCAGGATTTTCTGGAGCAGACATGGCCACATTGTGTAGAGAGGCTGCCCTAGGTCCTATAAGAGATATGTCATTTAGTGATATAGAAAATATATCTGCTGATCAGGTAAATTGTTTAATGACAAAATCAAATAAGATGTGTTCATAAACACAAACACTTTAGTCCAAAATGTCTTTTTGAAAAAATGAAGATTTCACCACCAAGCTTCCTGAATTTAGAAAAAAAAATCTTGGAGGTAAAGCTCATTCAGTAGATTATTGTGTGATATTTTGAATAGTTTGTATAAGTTTATTTTCATTTAGGGAATAACAAAAAAATACAATTTATACACAACAATTGATCAATATATAAATATGCCTAAATGACCTTAAAAAAAACAAAATACTATGAAAATAAAGGAATTTAAAAAAATTGAAGACAGGTCTGCAGATTTGTTGTCAAGTTAACATACTAACCCTTAAAATCAGAGAGGAGCATAAGTGGATTATATATGGACCATATAAGAATATAAAGAGCATTTTAATGATGTTAGATGAAAATTCGAGTCATCTGTTTGCATTATTGAAAAATCAAAAAAAGCTTGACAATACACATACACCATGGAAGAGCATGTTGCGATTTTAATTTTTTATATTGGCTTAACTAACAGCTTAAATTTAAAATCCTATCATACAATATTAATATCTATTTATATTTTCAGGTGAGACCGATAGCTAGTCAAGATTTTGAGGAAGCTTTACAGAATGTCAAGCCGTCGGTTTCTGATAAAGATCTCGACATTTATATAGAGTGGAATAATACATTTGGCAGTGGACACAGATGATATCATGTTAATATATTCTTGTTAGTGTACCATAATATTAAAACATTCTATAAAAATTAAAAATGCTGTCCGTAAAATAACAGAACTTACCTTAATGGTCAGTTTATGGTTTTTCTCAGGTAAACTTGAAAACTAAATGTTGCTATACACTTTAATATTCTTTCAGAAATTATTGTTATGAATAAAATAAAAAAAACTAATGGTGTATGTTTTTAATGTAATTCTAACTTAAGATTTTTAAAGAATACATATTCATTGTCTGGCAGTTTGTTTAGCTCTGAACATTTTAAAAGAGAAAGAAACCATAGATGTGATTGAGGGGTTGTATTGGTATACCAATGGTGGATGGTAGTGTACTTCTACATGCATTGTGGGATTTTTGTGTCACCTCTACAGAGTAGTGGCAACATATAGGGATCACTTCTCCGTCTGTTAGAAAACTTGTCCGGGCTACTCCTCAAAAACCCCTGGTGCAATTTCATCCAAACTTAACGAGAACGATTGTCTAGTTGTGCAGACAACGGAGAAGTGATCCTAGGTAATGGAGACACAAAAACACGTTTTACCCTGTTAATGATTTTTGTGCATCCTGCTACATATACCTATATAGTAGCTGCAACATGCAATCGGCATCATAAGGCGACTTGTGATCACTAATTGCTTTTGTAATATAACTTAGTATGATCTCGGAATATTACAAATAATCGTCAAAGTGTTTCAGTTGGTCAATGTGATCAAGCTGCACATAGAGAGATTAAAGGTCAGATTAAATTAATAAAATGTGTATTGACTATTTAATGATTTTGAATTAAGGAAATCTAACACACATGTTCACCATTAGCCTGGAGAAGCATTACACACACAATCCCGGTTCAATTATTACAAGTCAAGGTGACTAGCGGTAGTGAAATGTCCAAATTGAGTGTGGTATATTATGGCAAAATGCAAACCTATTTTGAATTTCATCTGTCTACTCTCTACATACCCTTAACACTTTAAATATATGAAGTGTTAGGTATGTCATAAATTTAATATAAGACAAGAGCTGTTGTCACCCAAGTGACAAATGCCCCTGAAAAGGTTGCTTCAGCATGCAGGTATTATCAAAAGAAAAGAGAATGAAAGTAACTAATTGCTGAACATTGTTCTTTGTATTATTGTACCTGTAATCTCTAATTGTGATAGCATGAACCTTCAAACTATAAGTGTGACCTTGACCTTGAAGGTAGGGACATGGGTCTTTGTCGCGACATGTTGTCTTGATGTGGTAGATAATTATGCCTAGTTATTTTAAAATCCTTAGATGCATGACAAAGTTACAGCTCGAATACAACTGTTTGTACCTATAAACTCTAACTGCGATAAAGTGAACTTCAAAATGGTAGTGTAACAATGACCTTTGAGGTAGGGACGTGATTATTGGATGTGACACATCTTGATTTTGTAGACATTTATGCCAAGTTTTTTTAAAATCCTTCCATGAATGGCAAAGTTACAGCCCAGACACGATTGTATGTACAGTAAACTTCACTTATAGGGAACACGGTTATAGCGAACTTCCGGTTATAAGGAACAATTTATTTTGGCCCGAATTTTGCCCTTCTTTATTTAATATAAAAATATACGGTTATAGCGAACACGGTTATAAGGAATTATCGCTTATAAGGAACTCATTTCTTAGTCCCAATTTATTTAAAAGTACAGAAAATTACACTTTTATAACGAACTCTAAAATATCGGCCATTTGTAAATAGATACCGCATTTTCAACTTTCGTTTTAATTGACATGGATTAAAACTCGGCCGAATGTACCATTTATTGTCGTATGTACTTCAATACATCTATTAAAATGAATTTTTCTAGCAGTACGTACTAGTTTTCTTTTTAGGATATTTTTAGCACGAGTTCTTGTCACCAGGATAAAACGGTTATTCCTTTTATTCTATTATTTCTTTTCTTTAATAGTTTTGCTCGAGTAAAATAATTATGATCATTTATAAACGGGTTTCAACATAATCACGCATGCTTGCAAGCATAATTCTTTGAAAACTACAAAGTACGCAAAGAAATTTATATCATTCATTAGTAAAGTCACCCTGAAAATATAATAGAAGATAAAGTAAAAGGATGGAAAAAAACTTTGTTTATTCTTATTCATGGAAAGAAAACGAAAAGCATTGAGTTTAGAAACAAAATATGATATTTTATAAGAAATTGAGAAAGGGAGTTGATCTAAAACTGAAATAGCAAAGGATTTTCAAATTCCAAAGAAGTACGCTTTCGGGTAGTGTGTCTGAAATGGAAAAAAAACACTATTTTTCTTAATCAAATGCCCTTCATAATGGCGGACGATGGTAAACAATCAGTTCGTTATATGTTAATCTGTTTGCTATAAACTCCTGATACAAGGAACTAATTCGCTATATGCTTATAAGGAACTCCGGATATAAGGAACAGATTTTGAATGTCCCGATGAGTTCGTTATAAGCGGAGTTTACTGTACCTATTAATTCTAATTGTAATTATGTGAAACTTCAAAATGTTAGTGTGACCTTTAAGGTAGAGACGTAATTCTTGGGTGCGACACATCGTCTTGATGTGGTAGACATTTATGCCTAGTTATTGTAAAATCCCTCAATGTATGACAAAGTTACGAATGAAGTGGAACAGACAGACGGTGCCATTATATTATGCCTCCCTTCGCAGGCATAAAAAGTATAAAAAGAAAACAATACATTTCATAAATCTATTAAATAACAATACATTATTAGCAATTCTCAAATCAAAAATCAACACACAACTAATATCTTTCCCTTCAAGGGCCTACATTAATTTCATTACTTTATAAGAAAACAATTTGTCATACTTTACATTGACCCCTTAGCCTGCCGGCCACAACTAAATTAATCCATATGACCAGTGCAGACCATGATCGGCTAGCACATCCATGCTATCTGATTGTGGACTGCACTGTTACCTATTCAGTCAAAAATTATTTTGGGAATTTTCCCTCCAAATGATGAATTGTTCTGTCCAGACTGAATGATGGATAAATCCATTTAACATATTTAATATAATATGGATTAATTCAGCCTTTAGCCTCAGTAGCTTCAATGTTTGTAGATCACATGAGGTTAGCAGGCTCTCTGCGGTAGGTATTATTTTTCTAAATTCTTAAAATTTTCCTTTACCCTGCTAAATCTGTTTGAGAGACTTGCCCTGCACAGTCAATTTAATTTTAATATTAAAGCATTAAAATTGAGCTACTAACATTTACAAAGGTGTTAGTTGCATTGAATAAACCTAAAATATGTTTATAGTTGTTATTTATGCAATATAATATCCTTATAGAAAAATAAATAAGAAAAAAACTGATTTTTCTGTTATATTGGTAGGTCAAATCAATGCAACTAGCACCTTTGTTACAGTATAGAGCTTAGACAGACTATAAGAATCTTACACCGGCTGCCGGTACAGACCGGAATATCTAGCTCGAGGGTAACTGTTTACAGCGGTAACGAGGCTCTGCCGAGTTTCCGCTAAACAGTTACCCGAGAGCTAGATATTCCCTTCTGTACCAACTGCCGGTGTTTGATTCTTTTTCTTGCATATTACATGTCAATTATTTTCGGAACAGAAATTATGAAAACTCATATTCTCATTACGCACTTTTTTCTTATAGTAGCGTATGAACATACAACTTCATTCATAACTGAAAAATGACGTCATCCTAAGAACGCGATTCATTCATAAAAGTCGCACGTCAATGACGTCATTTAAAGCACGCGACTTGTCTTACATGGGGGGTGTAAGACAGAGTTTTCTAGCACCGGTGTAAACGGTAGATAATCCTGTCTGATATGCAAGAATACTGTATATGGATCTGCTAGCTGACATAGTTGATCAATTTCGGTCAAAGAAGATAAATATGTATAATATCAAGACAATGATTTTATCACAAAATTAATACAGTTACCCTATATACAATTCACAATAAAATGTCATGCAAAAAAATATATACACTATATATCTGCCACAAAACACCAGCATCGTTCAATGTGAGAAGTATTAAACCTTAGTCACAACCGTTTTAAAAATCAAATTAGAATACAAAAATATATATAACTTAAGTTGGAAACTGAACATTCCTCAATAAATTAATGCCCACACTCTAGTGTGATAATTCCATATACATGTACACTCTCCCATCAAGGGCAATAAGTCATTATCACAAAAAGAAAAACAATATCATAGTACATTAACAACTGTCCAATGTTGGATTGCTTCAGACAAGAATGGCTATATACATAAACTTTCTTCATGTTTTACAAGCATGTATAATCATATTAATGCATTACTATGATTTGGAACATTCATAAATAGAACAATAACTCAACTATACAGGCATTTTACTTTCATTTTCAATATTGTTTTTCAGTATAACACCCTTAAAATGTACTTATCACTTAACACTACTTGGATGAACTTTGCCATGTAATTAGAAATAGACCAGTTTGGCCTAAACTATATTGTTTGCTGTTGAATTATAATGAAAAAGAAATTAACAAAATATGTCAATTTCAAAACATAATACATGTACATATATCGCACACAATCAGCAACAAATGGTCATTTGTCAGATAATAAACTAAGTGTTAAACTTCGTTTCTATTTATCCTGCACATAAATTTAAAACAAATATGTAAAAACCATGACAGCAATTTAACAGATCTGTGAAAAAAACCCATTAATATATGTATCCTCAAAAACACCAATTAAAAATATTTGCTGTTTTAGTTTATTATGCAACAAAGCTTTGACATACTGATATAATTTGAACATGTGAAATCCCTACACAATCATTTTATATAGTCTGCAAGTCCTAGACTGTATTCTCTTATTAAATATTTCAAATCTGAAAATCACTGTGACATCATTAAACTGAGAAAAAAAATGAAACTATTATTTAATATTACAAATCTTGAGATCACTGACCTTAGACAAATGTTAACCTTGACTGCCTGATCAACACAGTGGTTATAAACTGATGCCAAAATAGAGCTAGAGAAATTTTCAATTAACAGTATGGGGGCATCAAGAACATCATCCTAAGAAATTTGACAGTGGTGACGAATACCTGTCTGAAAAATGAATGTGAAGATGACCTTGACCCAAAGAAATATTCTGCTTATGACATCACAAGATGGCAGTGGTACATAAAAGATTTTTTCAGATATCTTCCAATTAAATAATAATTGGTCTTTCAATTGACCTCCCTGTGAACAAAATAATTTTTATCCCATCTTTGAAAAAGAGCAAAGTAATCAATGTATGCAATTGAATTCAAATTTTCAATAATGAAGAAAAAATATAAAAACACCTTATTATCAATTTATGACCATCATTTCCCACCTTTAAAACTGAAGTCGCTCACCTGTATATAGGCCCCCGCAGCGGGGCCAGTTTTAACCCCAGGGCTTTTATTTGAACAAACTTGGTAGACACCCTTTAGAAGATGTTTCATGCTAAACATCTAAGGTCTAGCTGGTCAAGTTTTTTCTTTACACATATAGTTAAAAACAATGACACACCTGAGGCAGGGCCAGTTTTGACCCAAGGGCTTTTATTTGAACAATCTTTGTAGACACTTACTAGAAAATGTTTCATGCTTTATATCTAAACTCTAGCTATTCGGGTTTTTTCAAAGAAGATTTTCAAATTTTTGCTTTACACATATAAGGAAAATCAATGTCACCGGGGCGGGGCCAATTTTGACCCCAGGGCTTTTATTTGAACAAACTTTGTAGACACTCACTAGAAGATGCTTCGTGCTTAATATCTAAACTCTAGCTATTTGAGTTTTTTTCAAAGAAGATTTTTTAAGTTTTTGTTATACACATATAAGGGAAATGAATGACCCCCGGAGCAGGGCCAATTTTGACCCCAGGGCTTTTATTACAACAAACTTGGTAGACACTCACTAGAAGATGTTTCAAGCTTAGTATCTAAACTCTAGCTATTTGTTTTTTTTTTCAAAGAAGATTTTTTAAGTTTTTGCTATACACATATAAGAAAAATCAATTACCCCTGGGGCAGGGCCAATTTTGACCCCAGGGCTCTTATTTGAACAAACTTGGTAGACATCCATTAGAACATGTTTCATGCTACCGTAAATATCTTAGCTCTAGCTCTTTGGGTTCTTTAAAAGAAGATTTTTTAAGTTTTTACTATATGCATATAGGGAAAATCAATAACCCCCTGGGGCGGGGCCAATTTTGACCCCAGGGCTTTTATTTGAACAAACTAGGTAGACACCCATTAGAGGATGTTTCATGCTAAATATTTTAGCTCTAGGTCTTTGGGTTCTTTACAAGAAGATTTTTAAGATTTTGCTATACACATATAAGAAAAATCAATGACCCCCGGGGTGGGGCCAATTTTGACCCCAGGGCTCTTATTTGAACAAACTTGGTAGACATCCGTAAGAACATGTTTCATGCTAAATATCTTAGCTCTAGCTCTTTGGGTTCTTTAAAAGAAGATTTTTTAAGTTTTTACTATATGCATATAGGGAAAATCAATGACCCCCTGGGGCGGGGCCAATTTTGACCCCAGGGCTTTTATTTGAACAAACTTGGTAGACACCCATTAGAGGATGTTTCATGCTAAATATCTTAGCTATAGGTCTTTGGGTTCTTTTAAAGAAGATTTTTTAAGTTTTTACTATATGCATATAGGGAAAATCAATGACCCCTGGGGCCGGGCCAATTTTGACCCCAGGGCTTTTTTTTTAACAAACTTGGTAGACACTCACTAGAAGATGTTTCTTGCCAAATATCTAAGCTCTAGCTCTTTGGATTTTTTATAAGAAGATATTTAAAGTTTTTTCTTTTGGTTGCCATGGCAACCAGAGTTCTGCATGGAATAAAATTCTTTGAACAATTTTCAAAGGTGACCACCAAAGGAACATTCATGTGAAGTTTGGATGAAATTGGCTTAGTGGTTTATGAGGAGATGTCATTTAAAGTAAAACTTTACGGACGGACGGACGCCGGACAAAAAGCGATCACAAAAGCTCACCCTGTTACTTTGTGGCAGGTGAGCTAAAAACAAATGGTGTATTTCCCACAAAAGTTTACAAGTTTAAAACTGAACACATTTAAAGCAAAAACAAACATTATCCACAAAATGTTAATTTTATATCTGAAGGAAAGTTCAAACACTTCATTAAAACAGAAGATACCACAGGTAAACATCATTTTGTCAAATTTGACTCCAACATGTTGTCAGCAAAAATCTACCCACACTTAATATACATGTACATATAAATAATAAACTCCCATTGAAAAAGTCATTTAAATATATAAAAATCTTCAAATATCAAAAGACTTAAGTATGTGATCAGTAAATTCATATGCATTACACAAATTTCATCCATAATAACTACATTACAAAAAAATAGAATTTTGATTAGGCTCAGACACTCATTAAAATCGTATCCCAACTGTTGCTCCACTACCCCTTGCTAGGTAGCGAATAGTAACGGAGCAAGAACGATGACCTGATTTTAATGAGAGTGAGGCTCAGACTATATGAGCCGCGTCACGACAAAACCAACATAGTGCGTTTGCGACCAGCATGGATCCAGATCAGGATCCATGCTGTTCGCTATCAGTTTCTCTACTTTAATAGAGTTGGTAAGCGAACCGCATGGATCCTGATCAGACTGCGCGGATGCGCAGGCTGGTATGGATCAATGCTGGTCACAAACCCATTATGTTGGTTTTGTCGTGATGCTGCTCATATATTGTTTATACCACTCACTTCCCGCTGCAACATTTCCATGTATGTTTCCTATAAGTACTATTATCTGAGAAAGCTTTTTTACATGTTGGACATGAGAATGGTTTCTCGCCCGTATGTATACGTTCATGTCGATCTCTACCGTACTTGTTGTGAAATTTTTTCATACAATATTTACACCCAAAGTTTCGCTCCATATGTATTAATGTGTGCTGTTTTAAGATATGTTTAGTAGTGAACACTTTCGAGCAAATCGAACATGTCCTCTCACTGACGTCTGATTCCAATGATTTTGTCTTCTTAGATTTTCCAGATTTTGTGTTCTGTACAGCAGACACGGCTGGGTTACCAACAAGACCTATACTGTGACTCGTTAATACAAACTTGTTTGTTCCAAAGTTTACAACAGGTTTTTGTTGAATACCTGTAAAAGGCTGATTAGATGTTGGCATAGTGACAGGAGACTGGTTTGATGATTGTAAACAAATGCCAGTAGATCCTGAACCAGACATTTGCCTCAACGGAATAAATAACAAAGTATTCTGTTTCTGTAAATTACTCACGCCACTTTCTGTACTAGATGTAACAGTTTGACATGGTGTTGCCTTGGTTATATTTAGAGGAGATTGTGCCAAGTTGATCACTGGCTGAGATACCTGAATGGCAGACTGTGTTGCTGATACACTACACTGAATAGCATTTCTTGCAGACTGTGCAGTAGTCAATGAAGACTGTGCTTTATTTTGAGTATTGGTTACATTAGAACCAGTCTGACTTACTTTCTGTGTAGACTGTGTAATATTCTCAGAGGACTGAGTTTGATCTGTTGCAGACGGTGTCACATTGTTTAAAGATAGTAGAATATCCTGATTATCCTGGTCATCTAAGTAGCCTGGTTCACTATTTACTTCAGGAAATGGCAAGCTGAGTAACGTCTCTGTACCTTCACTCAGGTCGACATCAAGTAAAGATTCTTGAAGTATTGACTGTATAGCACAGTCTGTTGAGACCTTAGATTGCTGACAGTCTACTATATGTTTCTGACATATATCTTTACTGTTAAACATCTTCATACATAGCATACACTGAAATAAATTGTTCAATTTTTCATCTCTAGGAAGGGAAATGTTTGTTGGTTCTTCAGGTTTCTGGTTAGCACACTGTTGCTGAATATGCTCGAGACAAAGCTGTTGACTAGGGAATAACGCTGGACATCTGAAACACTTGTACAAATGTTTCTTTCCTTCACTAGTTACTGGTGTTGTATTACTACTTGCTGAACTTGCCTTTGTGTCAATTTTCTGAGAGTCAGACATGTTCTTACCAACAGAATCATGAGTGGCTATTATAGGTTTATTTGTTTCATTACCGGAAGCTTTAATTGGATTTAACTGAACCTCTCTTTGACTTCTCTGATATTTTTCCTCAGAACTATGAGTAAACGACTTTGAGACATTGCAAGTGTCATCAAACTTTAAAACTCGCTCAGAATGGCTAGAGTACGGCTGTTCTTCATACACTTGTTTTACCAGTGGTTTAACACTGCTAGAACTTCCTGTAGAATTTCTGCTATCTTTATTAAAATGTGTGTTAATATGTCGAATGCAGCCGTAGTTGTCGGCAAATGTTTTCTGACACAGGTGACATTGATATGGTCTGTCTCCGATATGTATACGCTCATGGCGGATGAGACTTTGTTTAGTTGTGAGCTGTTTACCGCAGTAACGACACTTGTATAACTTCATCATACAGTGAAATTGTAAGTGCTGCTTTAACATTGATTCTTGCTGAAATTTCTTGTTACATTTTTTACATTTTGCCGGAGAATCTGGGATAAGTTTACCAACATTCATTCTTCTCTGGTACGACCTTCGTTCAGACTTGAAACTTTCTGACGGTGTATACTTAGCAGGAGAATTTCCAACTTCTTGTTTCTGTGGTGAACTCACGTCATACTTAGAGAGATCACTTTGTCTAGCATCTGTCTCACTCTCTTCTTCTAGAATGTCAGCATCATCTGGGAAAGCTGTTGATATCAACTCACTGTCTGATTCCAGAGGTTTAGATGGCATATTACGCTCTACAAAATCTGTCTGAAATTTTTCATCTAAACCAATACTTTCAATGATAGATGAATATTTCTTTTCAGGACTTTTGTCCCTTCTGAGAGTTATATTTTCTTCATGAGTAGGTAAAAGATCATTGCCAAAGCCTGAATCTAAAAGCCTCGAGTCCTCAGACTCCTTATCACTGACGTCAAGCCTCAGGTTCAAATCTTCATTATAAATATCACTATCAGTTCCAACCTTCTGAAAATCTGCACTATTATTTTCTCGTTTAGGACTTTCAAATTCTTCGTCCATTTTAGTTGAAACAATTTCAAAGTTTCTGTTTTCTGTCTTGTCTGACTGAGGCATTTTAAATGTTCCAGATCTTTGATGTCTCTTCATGTGAGTTTTACAAAATGTTTTGTCATAGAATGATTTAGAACACAAATCACACGAGTATTGTTTCCCACCAGTATGTGTTCTAACATGTTTTGCCCAGGCACTGCTATCAGAGAACGACCGCTCACAGAATCCACATTTGTAAGGTTTTTCTCCGGTATGTATTCTTCTATGTCTTATGTAACTGTACTTCACAGAGAAACGTTTGTTACAAAACTCGCATGTAAACTTCTTGGCAGAATGAGTCAACATGTGCTTTTTCATTGCGGTTTTTGTTTTTGATATCTTTCCGCAGATATGACAAGAGTATCCTGAAGTAATGTCTGTATTTCTGTCAGTTTTTAAAGCCGGGTAGAAATGACTCGTCTGGTGAACTCGCAATGAATACTTTTCAACAAAGGCTTTACCACAGAGGTTACAAGAATAATTTCTGACTTCTAGATGAATTTCCCTGTGGCGTTTCCAGGCATTCAAATCAGCGTAAGACTTATCGCATATTCCACACTCAAATAATTTACCAAGGTTCTGTCTTTTGTGACTCTCAATATGCCTTTGATAACTTTTCTTCAAGGTAAAAATTTTACCGCAGACGGCACATTTATAAGATTTTGCCATATGCAGTCTCATATGAACATTTAGAGTCTTGTAAGAACGGAAATGTCGTGTACATATTTTACAATTTAAGTTACTTTTGTTATTTTTACTCTTTTCTTGAGCTTCTACAAAACTGGCGACAGACGAGGCACTATCGTTTCTCTCAGACTCGGACAAGTTTGAGTTTTGTGAAGCTTCGTCATTATCCTTAGGAAGCTCTTCAGTAAAGGAGATTCTTTTAGACGATGTTCTCTCCCGCTGTCTGTGAGGAGAGTACTGGAGCTGAGGAGACGTCTGCTTCTGTAAAACCTCCTCCTCTTCTGTAATAACATGAAACACAATTAGTGTAGGGAACGTAACATAACACTGTGAAAAATCATTTAAGAATTATGTTTTGCAAAAATGTTTAAATTTATGTGAAGCTGACAATTTAGCAATTGTATTAACCTTTAACACACTGAATATCTTAACTGGATTTCTTATATGTATATCTTTTAATCTAGAAAAAACAGTAATCTTTTTTTTTTTTTAATTTCAAATTAATGTTGCATTGGTATATTCAGTTGCTGCCAGTAATCTAAGCCCTATATATAAACTGAAGATTGAGAGAGAGTGATAGTTAAATCTGATGTTTATATGCACCTGTCACATAATTTACTTACAAACTAAAAATGTACATACATGTATTCTATTGTTTTTGAGTAGACAAATATTTTATTTGTCACTCACTGTGACCATGACTTATTGACTAACCCCATAACAGTACGCTTTCACTTTTAAATGGGGGAATAAAGAATGAGAGCAAAGAAAAGAAAATGTATATAATCATCTTTTCACTTTCTATGTAACAAAAGAACAAAAAGAAGACTCTCAAGATGTTGAATTTCCAAAGATCTCCTAACACATAAGTATATAACATTACATGTAGCTCATATAGAAGATACACAAGTATAAGTTTACCATCTTTCTGATCTGCCTCAGCATCTTCATCACCATAGTTACACAGCTCATCTGCTGAACTCTGGGTTGTCTCATCTGATAAAGTATAACATTGAGATCTTACATATCAAATACTTAATTAAACAAAGAGCACCTATGAAACAAACTCTTGGATTGATGGGAGTATTTACCAATTTAGTAATAAATATATAACTACACATGTACATGTTATGTAAATATTCACATAACAAGAAAAACTTTTCCACGTGAATCATTTATCAGACAAAATGAAATAAAAGTTTAACACTACCCAAGAAATGAACCTTTCCAGATTTTAGCAGTGAAAAACTCAATACCACCTTTTCTATTCAATGCTAGGAACAGTATTACAAGAGAAACTCCATGCGTTCTGTTTTGTGTAAACCAGGTCAACCAAGTGTAGCAATTGGACATATGGTCACCCAATATTATATGCACTGGAAAGGTTCATTTAAGACTGTTAAAACCTATAATTTTTTTAGACAATATTTACATAGATGCTAAAGTTAATAGTGCAAAAAGAAAAGAGTTATGTCTTAAGTTCTTATGTTGATACTGACAGTGAACTGACCAAACAATAAAAGCATCAACGGCACAATATCAAAAGATAGCATTGTGTTTTGCATATAAAAGAAGACTAACATACCATTACAGAAAGTAAGGAACTTATCACCAAGATTAAGCTGTTTTCTCAAGAACCCTTCAGCTTTTTGGGAACCAAACTGCATAGAAGTTCCATCCTGGCAACTAGCAGTGAGTACTAGAGCCTCCTCACCTGTAGCAGATAATCTCTCCACCTGTAAGATGGTGTATCAATGATTAAATCATTTCTTGTGGGGATATATTCTAAAACATGTGTAGAGAGTTAAGACGTATCTTTAAATCCTGTTGATATCCACTGACACGATAAAAAAGCATTATCAAAAATGACCTTATTACTTGAATCATTAATATGTACATGTATATGTATATAATGTAAGGATTTCATTTTTAGCCAAAGGCATTGTAAATACTAATATTTATGATGAAAATTGTAACTATAAAACAGAACTTTTTCCACTTATATATGACATTTTGAATTTTTAAACTTAGAAAACTTAGAGATAAACCAACAAAACCTTTTATCTAGAAAAAAATCTATTTTTTTTAAACAAAGAAATGCATATCATACAATCTGGTCTTACTAATGCTTGTAGCTCAAACTTGATGAGTTCTTGTAAAGCACTTCTGTATTCTGGTGACTGGTTATGTATAATACTTTCTCTAGATACCTTCATTGTTGACACATTACTGAAGATATATTTAAACTTTTAAAAACTAGTCTATCTGACATTGAAATACAACATTAATAAAAAAAAACATCTAGAGCTGCAGCAGGAGTTACAAATACATCCACCTGATATCTATGACAAAGTGTAATATGGTTCAATTTATCATTATTTTTGAAGTAAAGTTATAAGAAGGTTCATTGAAAAGTATTGAATTTTTAGTAAAATTTTTACAAAATATTTGAAATTTAACCTTCAATGGTGACCTTGACCTTGAGCCTGCACAGTGGCACATGTTGACAAAAGAAGAATTTTAACCTTCAATGGACAAAAAGAAGAATTTTAACCTTCAAGGGTGATCTTGACCTTGCTGCTGCACAGTTGCAGCTTGGGTTTTGTCCATAGCCTTGTTGAGGTGAACTTTTGAGCCAAATTTGAACAAAATGTTTCAAGAACACACAAAATTGTCTGATATTTGAGCTTCAAGGATGACATTGGCCTTGAGTCAGCACAATGCCTTGTTGACCATAACCATAACCCTATGCTTTGTTGCGGTGATTATTTAAGCCATTTTTAAAGAAATTCATTCAACTCACTGGTAAATGATTTATAAAGTAACACAAATTGTCAACGATTTTCAGGTGACCTTGACCTTCAGTCTGCACAATTGCAGCATGGGTTCTGCACATTTCCCTTTTGAGGTGAACATTTCAGTCAAATTGTAGAAAATCCTTTAACTGGTATAAACGTAATTGTCAGACATTTGGCCTTCAAGGTTGAGCTTGACCTTGAGCCTGCACAGAGGCAGAACAGCTTCTGCATAATGCCATGCTGAGGTAAATATTTAAGCTAAGTTTGAAGGGGTGTACTAGGATTTATAGATCAGACACAAAATGGAAATTTTACACAATTATAATCAATTACTATCGTAAATAGCAATGATAACCGGTAATAAACAACAACAACAAACTGGCAAACTTATAAGGAGATAATGTAAATCAAACACATTAATATACCTTTGGTGTAATTTTTTTACCAATTAAGCTTCCTTTACTTATCATCTGCCGCATTCAATTAATCAGGGTCTTTCACTGCCTTAACATTTAATAATGTAACACACTTAAGCAAAGCACTACTTTAGAGATATTGGTTACCAAGAATCGCTATGGCCACACTTCAGCCAAAGTGCTAATTATGTCATATTCAACAATTAAATCTGTCTCCTGGAAGTAGTAAAATATTCATGCCAAACTTTTTCATAGAGATTTTTGGGCAAATAGAATTTTTGCTCAAGTCATTTTTATTCAGGCTACAAGGACTGGCACCCATAGGTTTTTTTCCAGTCCACATGATTTTTTTCTGGCTCAGACATTTCAAGTGTTAAATTACAACAACCTGAACAAATGTTGAAATTTGTAGAAACAAAACAAGATGTTGACCCAAATTGACATGAGGCCCCACTTACAGGCTGGGAACCATGCGTTTATTCAGTGAAGTTAATTCTCTAGTGCATTTGCGTTTTACTCTGTGAAGTTCATTCCCTTTCGCATTTACATATGTCATGAAAATGTTTACAATCCGGCTAAAGTTGGCCATTTAAGTTATAGTGTGATGCAGGGTCTTTCAAATAGGAAGACCCTGTGCGACAGAAAATAGTGGAAACAAGAGCCATGTCAACATGGCCATCCCCCGCCGAATGTGTTTGCTCATTGGAAGAATGTATATGTAGTAGAGCAGAATAATTCCATTTTAAGAGGTCTTTTGGTGATGAAAACTGATGGCTATAGTGATTACAGATTTGAAACCTATGTGAATACTGATGGCTGAAAATAACAAAGGGCAATAACTGAAAAATAATGCAGGGTAGGTTATCATTCTTGTGTGCTGCATCCCTCCTCAGTAAAATCAATCCACCTATGAAGTTTCAAGTTGATACCTCAAATACTTTTTGAGAAAAAAATTGAATTGAAAAATTAAGTATGAAAAATAACTAAGGGCAATAACTCAAAAATTATAAAAGGTAGAGTTATCATTCTTGTGCACTGCACACCTCCTGAGTGAGATCTACGCACCTATGAAGTTTCATAATGATATCTCAAAGGCCTTTTGAGTTATGCTCTGGACAAAAATTAATTTTGAAAAATAAAAAAAGGGCAATAACTAAACAATTATGCAGAATAGAGTTATCGTTCTTGTGCACTGCACTCTTCCAAAATGAGATTCATCCACCTATGAAGTTTCAAGTTGATACCTCAAATACTTTTTGAGATAAGCTCCAGACAAAATAGTATAAAAAAAAGAACAAAGGGCAATAACTCATAAATTGTATAGGGGATAGTTATCATTCTTGTGCACAGCATTCCTCCTCAATAAAATCTATCCACCTATGACATTTCATGTTGACATCTCAAATACTTTTGAGTTATGCTCCACTTGGGTGAAAAATTAGGTATGAAAAATAACAAAGGGCAATAACTCAAAAATTATGAAAGGTAGAGTTATCATTCTTGTGCACTGCACACCTCCTGAGTGAGATCTATGCACCTATGAAGTTTCATTTTGATATCTCAAAGGCTTTTTGAGTTATGCTCTGTACAAAAATTCATTTTGAAAAATAACAAAGGGCAATAACTCAAAAATAATGCAGGGTAGAGTTATCATTCTTGTGCAATGCACTCCTCTTAAATGAGATCCATCCACCTATGAAGTTTCAAGTTGATACCTCAAATACTTTTTGAGATAAGCTCTGGACAAAATAGCATGAAAAAGTTCAAAGGGCAATAACTCAAAAATTGTATGGGGAAGAGTTATCATTCTTGCGCACAACATTCCTCCTCAATAAGATCTATCCAATTATGACATTTCATGTTGATATCTCAAAAACTTTTTGAGTTTTGCTCCACTCAGGTGAAAAATTAAGTATGAAAAATAACAAAGGGCAATAACTCAAAAATTATGAAAGGTAGAGTTATCATTCTTGTGCACTGCACACCTCCTGAGTGAGATATATGCACCTATGAAGTTTCATGTTGATATCTCATAGGCTTTTGGAGTTATGCTCTGGACAAAAATCAATTTTGAAAAATAACAAAGGGCAATAACTCAAAAATTATGCAGGGTAGAGTTATCATTCTTGTGCAATGCACTCCTCTTCAATGAGATCCATCCACCTATGAAGTTTGAAGTTGATACCTCAAATACTTTTTGAGATAAGCTCTGGACAAAATAGCATGAAAAAGAACAAAGAGCAGTAACTCAAAAATTGTATGGGGAAGAGTTATCATTCTTGCGCACAACATTCCTCCTTAATAAGATCTATCCAATCATGACATTTCATGTTGATATCTCAAAAACTTTTTGAGTTTTGCTCCACTCAGGTGAAAAATTAAGTATGAAAAATAACAAAGGGCAATAACTCAAAAATTATGAAAGGTAGAGTTATCATTCTTGTGCACTGCACACCTCCTGAGTGGGATATATGCACCTATGAAGTTTCATGTTGATATCTCATAGGCTTTTGGAGTTATGCTCTGGACAAAAATCAATTTTGAAAAATAACAAAGGGCAATAACTCAAAAATTATGCAGGGTAGAGTTATCATTCTTGTGCACTGCACTCCTCCTCAATGAGGTCTATCCACCTATGAAGTTTCAAGTTGATAACTCAAATACTTTTAGAGATATGCTCCGGACAAAAATGTCGGACGGAAGGTCGGACGGACGGAGACTATTGACCTTTTCGAAAACCTAGCTAAACACCGTTTTCCGGTACGTTACCGTTTTAGCTCTGGGGAATTACACCAAATGAAGTACATAACACAGTTACGAGATATGTCTATTTTTCTATCATTATTTAACCGTTTAAGGTGAAATAAATTGATGTTTTTGAAAATTATCAATATTCGTTTAATATCTATTGCAAATTATTCAAAAAAACAATTTTTTTATAATGAAAATCAATAAAATTCAAACAGACTCAGTGGAATCTTCGATAGTAAATAAGGTTTTTTTCTGCGTAAACTTGTGTATTTACTTTCTTTTTTTATGGAATTATTCATACAATGATATTTAATTATTTTCTTATAAAGAATTAAGTGTTTTATTTCAGTTTAGTTTAAAAAAAGGCCGAAAACAATGACTTCGCTATTACGCTCCATTACGTGAATTCCCCAGAGCTATGTACAGAAAGTACCGGAAAACGGCGTTTAGCTAGGTTTTCGAATTCGTGAATTTCTATATCCCCCGCCGCCTTTTCGGCGGGGGATAATAAAATAGGCACTGTCACAACATAGCATACAAATGCAAATTCCGCTGTCAAAACTAAATATTGATGACATTAGAATCAGACATATCATTGATATTTTAGCCTCTTGAAATTTTATTCGGAAACAAGGACCGACATAGGAGATATATCTCCGGACGGAAGCATGTTATGATGTTTGTTGTTCAGTCAGGACCAATGACTGACAAACTTTTGCACAGACTGGTAGATCTATATGCCATCAAAGCAATTGAAATTAACTTAGAAACAACAATACAAACAAATGCTTAACTAAAAACAAATATTTCTATTTCTGAAAAAAATTTTACACATGCAAGCATCTAGAAGCAGAGATTTGGCACACAGTTTACACATTAAAGAAATGTAATATTAAAAAGAACATTTAATAAAAAGAAATATCAGAAAGGAAAAATATCATTCATACATTTATAACAATATGAATTATCATTTTGTCAGGATTTAAGTCAATTTCCCTCCCTGACTATCAAAAATAACTCAAAAGTATGGCAAAAGTTCTTCCTTGTTGTCGAGAAGCTTGAACCGGAAGTAAATAAAATTATAAGACTGAACACCACTATATTTCTTGCTAAAACGCGGGAAATAAATCTGGGCAACACTGTAAAGGTTGTCCTAAAAAAGATAAAATAGCAAACAAAATAGCATTTAAATGATTTTTAAGACAAATACTATTTTATTCTAATATAAGAAATAACCCTTAAAATTATCCAAATGAAGGCATAATATATACAATCATGTATAGTGTATATTATAATTCAAATTGTTTTGTTAAAATCGCAAAACATTATAAAAGTATAGGCTACCGTCACACAACATTTCTGTCATTTGCTTCCTAATAATTTTTAATTTCATAATTCAGAGAACCATTAAAAAACTTACTATCTACAATACAGATTTGAAATGTACGATATACTGTTGTTATGAAAACTCTACAATGCTGTAAATAGATAAATTTTGCTGGAATTACATTTGTAGTGATAATTTTGATCTCACAATTGTTAATTTATATTTTAACTGATAAGCCTCAAATTGTTGAATCAATCAGATAGTGGTTACATAACTTGCTATGTATTTTTGTGATACAATTTTTTGTGACTGATTAATATCGTGTCATATACAGATATTTTGTATCTGGACGAGATAAAAAAAAGAGTAAATAACGTTATTTAGAGTGGATCCACTGTCTGGGACCCCCACACCAAAAAGAACGTAGACAAAATTGATAGCGGTGCTAGGTTCGTAACTAACAACTACAATACCACCAGTATATAGTGTAACAGCAATGATTGACAGATTAAAATGGAATAGCCTAGCTACAACAACGCAGAACCAGAGCCAAGGCCACAATGATGTATCGTGTTGTTAACTCCCTAATTGCCATACAATTACCTCCCAAATTCAGCCAATCAGGAGCAGCCACAAGGTGGTATCAACTCCGGTACAGGATCCCATTCTGTCCCACCACAATGTACAAGAAATCATTCTTTCCATCCACCATCAGGATATGGAACCAGCTGCCTGAAGACATCATCATGGCCCAGTCCTTGGAATCCTTTAAGTCTGGAATCCAGGGATATACATCGTACCTTAAGGAAACAGGACATGTTTTTATCAGTTTTTAAATTGTAATTACAGGCGTGGATTCCCCCTCCCGCACACGCTTTTTAACCAGAGTGAGAAAATGTCGCAGCAGCGGCCCTTCACTATACTGGAAGAAGTAGAGGAGTTATTTGTAGTTCATCAATTTTGTACAAATAGTGCAAAACTTGTAATACAGTCACATTGAACACTTGAAGCATGTGCTTAGTCAATGCTTAATTTTATTGAATATTATTCAATAAAAAATTTTGGTTAGTTAATCATGTGGTCAAAACTTGTTAAAGTCCATTACAGCCACGTCAGACTTTCCTTGTGTAACTGACTGGACGTGATCATGTAAAAACAATAGTTTGGATTTGCATAGAAAAGGTTATCACACATAAATTCATTAAATATCGTTGCTCATGCATTACAAGTTTCAAAGTTTTAAAGCTTGTTTGTTTTGTGTGTTTGTTGTAAAAGCTCTAAGAGCTAATGTAGTATAGCTCTAAATTTGCAGGCCTATATATGACGGAAACTACATAATTATGTACCGCATATTTATATTATGCCGCGTGGTATGCAATTTGGTACCCGCTTTCATTTTAATAGCAAATGGAACAAGTAACCGGAAGTTCACTAACTCATTTGCATACAGTAGGAAACCTATAAAGTTTTCGAAACACCTTTTTAAAAAAAGTTCCAAAATGATGATTTTAACTGAAATAGTCAGCAGGTATGATGATTAGGAATGGCAAGTAACGGTTCGAGAAGACATGCTTCAACTACGATGAAGATTAGATTAACAGGTGAGATGAAAAACGTCTTCGAAAAGTGACTGACATTGTTATTTTTTTAACTTCAAAGCTGACCTCACTTTTCAATTTCTATTCATTAAAATCGTTTATTTTTTCATATTTTTGATGAATTAAAATACAACTTGTCTTTGTTATAGGAAAATGATAGGACTATTTATATTTTTTAAAGTGTTCAACAGGTGCATGTTTATCTGATAGTGCTTCAAGTTCAACTTGTTACATATTTTATTAATTGAGAACATTGAGGTATCTTAATGAACATGCCACGGTTCAGAACTGTTCGTTATTTAGGGGAGAAGATGTGTAAGCGGCTGGATATCTCAGTCGGTAGAGCTGTGGTACGGTATTCCAAAGGTCCCGGGTTCGAGTTCCAGTCAGGCTGCTCATTTTTCTCACCCTGTGACATAATTTTGGCGCCCAACAGGGGACTGTGACTGCATAGAGCTCAGAGTTTAATTTACATTGCTCTGTAACTCGGTGAAATTCGAGGACCGACGAATTTCAATATAGCAGGAGAGTATGCCACGGTTCAGAACTGTTCACTATTTAGGGGAGAAGATGTGTAAGCGGCCGGATAGCTCAGTCGGTAGAGCATTTAACATTTAGGAAATATACCCTTTCACATTGATCAATAAGACGAAATGACGGTGCATGTATCTAGATAATTATTATAAATACTTCATTTTATAAATTCATACTTTTGCTAAAACTTGTGTCTTATTTTGTAAATTAATATATTGAGTATAGGTCTGTTTTTATCCACAGGTGGCCATGATTCATTTACATAAACATTTTTATTGTTTGATACAGAATATGTTTTAAAATGTGAACTTTTATGTTGATGAAATTTTGCAGATGCATTAAATTTACATTTGGCAACTCACAAGACTTAAGCCTGAATTAAGGACATAATTAATAGACAGAAATGGTGTTGACTGTAGGGCAGGGTTGAATACAGGACAGCCAAAGATAAATATGATTTAAATATAAAATATTGATAATGCTATTGTATTAGAGAAACCGCAAATTTTGCCTGAATTTAATTCATGACCTATGATAAGCTTTCCTTCTGTTCTCTTTTTGAAAAAGTACAATTCTTTTTCTCCGTATTTGAGGAAGGGCTGTAATGATATAGTAAAAGGGGTTATTTCATTCAACATCCATACTGCAATACATAAATACTGCAATTAAATTTGGTTACTTGGAAATGGTTCAAATAAAACAAGAGACTGATAAAACCATTAAAATATTTGTCAGTACCTCATGAATACAAAATAGAATGAAGTAGATACATCCCACTTAATATTTGTTACTATTTGAACTATTGCATCATCAATAACTGTAGAGTAGAAATGACTTAAAGCAGAATAACAGTTAGACCTACATCTATAGTTATATATATTTATATTATCCTAACAAAATTTCAAATTCTGACTATATCATATAAAGGATTGAGTGATGTTATCAAGTAAGACAGGTTTTTTTTAAAGAATTTTATCATTTTGTGACACAGATCAAAGAATGCTCTTAAGTTTGTAGTGCAGCCACCTCTTTTGTCTGCTACCAACATTAATTACAAACACTGATTTCTACACAGGTTGCTTAATAAGACAACTTGGTTTTCTGCATAGCCATCAATTATTCTGAAATATACTCATTTAAAATTGTCATAAAATTAACTTGAACACTTTATCAAGAAAGTTATCTCTTGACTAACTGTTTGTCAGTATTGCTGAAGAGATTTCAGATAGACATGTACAGTGGTTTGTTCAGCCTCCGCTGTGCAGTGGACATATTTTCACACATTGATGTGGTTTTAGCTTGTGGTCATACTCTTAATACATAGTTGTCAACACACAAGACGGACGATGTAACACAATTATCATTATATGTTTTCATGACGTGTAAATGTTTGCCACCCTCTCACTATTATGCTACTGGTCTGTGATTAATGGTGTTACTGTTTTGGTAATTAATTAGAAATATGCATTATGTTGTATGTTTAATTTTGTGGGTGGGGGGCATTTAGATTGACCCTTGTCCATCAATCCGTTGAATTACATATTTACTGGCATTATTGTGCCAGTGGTGTTAATTAGAATATGCATTAATGATTATGATGTATGTTTACATTTTGAAGTTACCACTACTATTGGAGAGATGTCTTAAATTCTTCTTGAATTTTTTTGCTGAAATAGTCTTCAAATTGATGACATGTAAAGTCGAAATTAACATCAACTTCTTTTTTGGGGGTGGGGGTGGAGAAGAACTTTTGGTCTGACAAAATGTCACTGAAAATCACTGATAGGTTATTCATTCAATCATACATGCATGGACCAAGAAAAGTCTTGAAATGTTGACAACTTAGTCCATAAATGTATGAACTAAAACTAAGTATCTATATGTATTAATTTTTGTTTGTTTTTTTTGTAAAATTTTCCAGGTTAAAGTTTGATCTAGACCAAAGTACAAAATTTAAGAAAAAATGTAGAATTTCAGCTGAACATTATTGACTGTTTAAGATATTAAAATTATTTGTTATTTTGTACATTAATACCACATATATACATATAAAATATGTCAGAGAAACATTAAAAAATGGGTAATGGTCAAATAATATAATTATTGATGATGAAATTTATTTTGTTCATAACTTATGTAGAGGGGAATAGTGCATCAGAGTCTGTAATCTTGTTCTAGTAGAGCATTGTAAACAATGTAGTTTTAAATATTATCAATAATATTATCTTGCATACCAATGATGAAAATAAGGAGATGTAGGGGCATCCATGGTCGAGTGGTTAATGTCGTTGACTTCAAACCACTTGCTCCTCACCGCTGTGGGTTGAATCTCAACAGGGACTTTGGATTCTTTCCTGTGAGGAAGCTATTCAGCTAGCTTACGGAACGTCGATGGTTCTACTCAGGTGCTTGTTAGTGCCTGAAATAATGCACGAAAGGGCTTCCTCCTGGCACCAGTAATGCTGGAACGTTGCCATATGATCTATACTGTTGATGTAACGTAAAAACTGAACCCAAAAAACAAGTCTTTAAAAGATAAGGAGATTATGTTTTGTTGGTCTAATCATACTCATGTTATTGTTTTTTAATTTCAGTTTTCTGTGCCAAGAATTTGTGCAAAAGAGACTTCTTCCGTAAGTATTTCTGTTACAGTTATTTTTATAAGACAATCAAGTACAAGTGATGTCTTTGTATATGTAGTCATATGTAAGGCATCTGAGCTGCATTTCATAGAAAGACCTATGTGTAACCCAGGAGTAGGACATAAGATCAATTAAATTTAGGACTGAGTGTCCAAAGACTGATTCAATAAACATTTTTAGCTTCATTCAAAGACTTCAGTTATCTTTCGCCAAGGACTTAAGACTTCAATTAAATCCGTTTTCCTGAGAAAAGTTAAGAAATACAGTGGCTTATGCTTAAATGCATAACGTGTTTATGTTCATAGAAATGTTGAAGTAGTCATAACATAGGAGTCATAAGTTAGGACATTTTCTTTGAAGGGCAAAATTGTCTCAGTTTTGATCTTTTTTAAGATTTAGGACTTTCTCTGAAATGCAGCCCGGCTCTGGTTAGTGCAAGCAGTGGACTGGAAGAGAATGATTTAAGTTTTGAAGTCAAAATTAGATAAAGATGTTAAACTAAAGCATTTGAAATGTTTTCTAAAAAAACATACCAGAAGATACATGTTCTCTTTCAGTTTATTAAGAGGGATGCTGTAAAATTGAGTCACTATATTTAAAGTTTATGATTGTTGATAAGGATAATTTGACATCCTGGTATGATAAGTTATAATATACCGGGTAATTTGATTGATGGTTATCTGCTATAATATATGTCTAAATTCAGTCATTACTAACAAGTAACATTATATAATCCATGTTTGTGCTTCATAGAAGTTCCTAAAATTCTATTTCAATGAGTAAAGAGTCTTGTTATGCACCTTCTTGCATATACAAGTCAACCTGTTAAAAAATATTATACAATCTTTTATGAAATAAATTGTCAATATTTTTTACAGTCCAATATTTGTAAATTACATAACTATATGAATATTTATAAAGAGAAGAGGTCTTGATGGGGGTGTATGGACAAAAACTTAAAATCATAGATTGCCCTTCCCAGCTGTGAGTTTGAGCCCTTGCAGGGAAGTAATAATCTTGTCAGTAAACTACATGTACATGAAGCATAGTGGTTATCCTTCGGTGCTTGTCTACTCTAGAAATACATGTAATACACAGAGCGATATGACAGTTCATAGAATATCAGTATGGCCTGTGTCTCTAAAAATCTACACCCCCCCCCGCCCCCCTCTTAAAAGAAGACCTGAAGATGAAAATGATTTTCCTGTTCAAATGTGCAGAATGTTATCATGACAGGATGACTGTATGACTGTTGTGTGGTTTTATAAATGCAGTAAACCTGATCTTCATGTTCACTGATTGATATGTGAAGTTTAAATGAGGTGTGAAATTGATAAATGATAGCTTTGAATGTGAAATGTTTCAAATATTTGAAGGTCACATCAAGGTATTTATCTAAGATGCCTGTACTAAAATACTAGAAATTATCTCTGTAAGGAGTGAACTAAGGTCTGACAGTACTTTTATTGTAACTATTACAGTAACTCTTCATTTGTTCATAATCAAGAATATTTTCACCAGTCATTTCACATGTAACATTTGCCAGGTTTTTCAGAAACATTTTTACTAAAATATCTGTAATTGTAACTTTTAAGAAGCCTTTGTGCACCCGTTATTTTTTTCAACTCATTAAGTTTGATAGAATCGAAGGCCTATTATGACCCAAAAATGTTTTTATTTCTCTGCTTTACTTTTATAGTTTCTTCTATAGTTTCCAAAATGTTACTCATTCGCAAATTACCTGAACCATACATTGCTTCTGTTTCTATTTTGGCAATTAGTACAGTTATAGTATAATAAACTTTATTTTGTATTGAAGTGAAGTCAAAATACTTCTTTCTTTATATTTTATTACTTTTGTGACAAATAATTATCAGCGCTAGAGGACATAAGCATTTAATTTAATAAGCTCTAAAACAATTTTTAACGTTATAAAACAAATTTTGCCCTTTTTAAAGAAGGAAAAATTATTTGTTTCCATAGGCATTATGTGCCTTTAAGAAAAAAATAATCTCTATTTAAAATGGTGTAGCTGCTCATTTATAAATTCCCCTATCTGTTTTATATGCACAAAAAACAAAAGCAAATATTCCTGTAGATAAATTCATTTTCCTAGACATACATTAATACAACAAGTATTTACACTTAACATATTACTTACATTTAGACAAAAGTATATTTAATGACTACTATACAATAAGGAAAGCATGACTGTAGTCTAGGCTATAGAGATGGAGAGTAAGAGGGGAGAAATGCGGGGGGGGGGGGGGGAGAAGGTGGGTTGGTAGTCATTTGTTTCTCTTTAATACGAGACAATGAGTGTAGACAAGCCTACTAGCAACAAGGATAGGCTAGAACGGAGGCTGGTATGGTTTTAGAGGCTTATCATATAACATATGTTCTGCAAGTTTTATATGAAATCTTGGTTTTATAATAATTAATACACACCTAGGATAGGAACAATTCCAGTGCAATGCTAATGCATCAAAGAGTTAATATTTTCTATAGAATTATCCTGAAACTTGCTGATATATGCATGTGCATTTGTACCTAATGAAATAACCAGCTCATAACAAAGTTTTATCAGGGAAATGCCATAAATATTGTGTAACTGAAGGAATGTCATATCATGATTGGTTATAACTAAACTAATTCCAAACTGAGATAATATTGATTCTAAACAAACCCTTTCAGACACGACATAAACCTATTCTTACAGTCTTGTTTGAAGTTGACTGTGTCTCTGTTATATTTCCAGGGCACAAATCAGATAATCAAATGATTGGAATCAGTATCCCACTAGGACAAAAATTATTCATGAAAATTATTTACTTAATTATGGTGCATACAGGCATAAAACAAAGGCAGACTCCCTGCTGAAAATTTAAAGTGATAATAACTAAAAGTACTTACTACACTGTGTTACCAGTGTGATTGTAACACCCAGAAACCAATTAGTGGTGATAATTAAAGCAAAGTTCACAGTCAGTCGACTTACAACAATATAAGTTGATTAATGAATCTAGACGTACTGTCACCAAATCTCACATCTTCGTGTGAATAGTCAATAAGTCTGTATTAAATAAAGCAAAGTGGAGACAAAAAGCCTGATGAATCTAGTAGCTAATTAGTAAAATACTCTACAATAAAACTTCACTGCCTGGAATATAGCCATGTAGGGAGAAGTCATTATATCATGTTACATTAGGGAGAAGTTATTAAACAGAATAACTGCTGTGACAGATGGCAAACAGATCTCAGAGATTGCTATCTAAGTTCCTTATTATAGATTGTCAATAATATATTGATAAGCCAGGGTAAGTTTTCCTAATTGATGTTTAACCCTTTATGTATGTCCCTTATCCAGCAGAATATGTATGATTATCATAGATAGATGGGGCTAGTCTGGAGGTTAATCTTAAGTGTCCACAGGGTGATTAAGGGATTACAAGATCAAAATTCTCAAATAATCAGTTAACAGGACACAGGTTAGTAGGACCTCCCGAAAAGCTACATTCTTCACAAAAGCCTTCTTTTTAAGTTTAATAATACAATATCACTTGGTCAAACATCATATCAAATGCCAAATTATTCTTACAGCATGAAAAATTAAAAAGCATGAAAAAAAAAAAAAGATTTATTTGTATGGATATTCTCACAAAATAGGAATTATACAAAATTTAAGTTATCAATTTTGTTGTTGAATAAAAACAATTTTTACTGTGTCTTACAAATCTAAAAAAAATGTCTTTTTCAATAAAGTTTTTCAAGGAGTATTGACTGTATACAACATGTTGAATAGAAACACATTAAATATCAAAGTTGATAGAGATACATTACTGTATGTTTCACTTGACCAACTATGTTCCTATTAAAATTTATTTATTCATCATTTGACATTAACTTGACACGAGATTTCATGGGCAACTGAACAGTAACAATTCTATTTTATTATTCATTATCTAATGTATGTTCTCCCCTTGTCAGTGTCACAAATACTTTGCTTTGATGTTAAATTTAAAAACATAGAAGGTTATTTGAATGCTTGCCTTCAAAGGGACAATATGTGACTATAGAAGAGAAAGTTATTGTTAGGGAATATAATATTCAGATCATAAAGACAGTTTTCCTGTCAGAGACTGGTGTGATGTCCTTCATGATTCAAAACATGCTTGATATATGATGGTTATTTAATAGTGGGACCTTAAAGTGGGACCAATTTTAACTTACTATGGAGCAAATCCTCACTAAAGTGCATGGAGTCATTATATTACCAGAATAATAAATGTGAATAGTAAAATGTTTGCTGAGCTGGACTTTACAATTTATATCATTTTGTTGCCAATGTTTTGAGATCATCAACTGTACACTACCTAGATCGTAATCATTCCAATCATTAATGGGCAATAGGCCTATATCAGAAGTATAACACCAGGCCAGCTTACATGCTCAACTGTCCAGTGTGATCATAAGCTATTAATAGTGAACAATTGGCTACTGAGTTTTACTAGTTCAATACTGAACTCCTTTAATTTCTAACAATCTGTTCCATACTGAAAGCAAGACAAGTCCATTTACACAAATTACAGGATTACAAGGGTTTTAATAGTAAATACAGTCTATGTATTTTCTGTAAAGCATGTAACAAAAGTATCAAAATATAGCATCTTTGACATGCATTATTAACTATTACCCTGCATAGAAAATGTTCAGTAAAACAGTGTATAACAACTGATGTTATCACAGCATTTCATACATTCTCACAATCTCTCTCTCTGATGCACTTAAATACACTGTATGAGCAATGTACTTTTATAAAAACTTTAAAATTTGTAGTAAAATTTGGGAAACTTCCCTGTTCAAAACAAGATTACAAATCTAGAATATAAGAGAAATATGCATTTTGAGAGAATTTTAAAGAAAAAAAAAACAACATTTTGTTTCATATGAAAGACTTGAAGTAATGTACATGAAATAAATTACTTTTCTTAACCAATCCTAAGATACTCTCTACCCACAGAAATTGATAGAATTTGTCCAGATAATTATGCAAAACTTTCTCCTACAGGGTAGACTTTTGGTAAGAAAAAAAAAAACAACAATAAAAAACCCCACAAAAAACAGTATTTTGTTACTATATTTTGAAAATGCATTCAAAATTACACCTGCATTGTGAATTTTTTTTATACATTCCTGAAACCATAATTTTTTTTCTGAAGATTTTATTCCTCTGGAGTTATGTCATTTTAAAAGCAGTAGAGATTTTGGTGATAGGAAAAGAATCAAGATAAAATGTATAATATATTTTTATCAATTTGAATATTCCAGTAATTAGACAATGTTTCTATTTCACAATGTTGTTTGTTTAAGTATGATGAGCTGAGTGACTGATAGAGTAGCGTTAAAGTTTACTCTTTATGTATATTAGTTGAAGTATAGGACAATTCAAAAAAAATTTTATTACACAATTTGCTGTATGGACTTTCTGCAGCAGGGTTAGCTTTACTGGGCCAAGTGTTCTTTGAGAAGTAAATTATTCCTCCAATAATTCTTCTTATAAATCATAGGGAAAAGTAAAAAAAGTGCTGAACACGGCAGTTTACAAAAATCCACTTTGCAAAAATTCGATTGAATGTTATTTTAGGCAACATTAGTTTGTGTCAGATTTCATGTATCTGTTAATGCAGTCTATGTTTTATTAGATCTAAAATGTTCCCAGAAATTACCTGACAACTTTCCAATATAAATCCTGCAAGACAAACAAAAACTTATATCAAATTACTTGCCAAGGGAAGTAACTGTTACAGGCATGATTTTAAGGTTTATAAAGTTTATAGTGGATTTGTCTCCCATACTGTAAAAATGTACAGGTCATTCTATCAATAACTTTATGAAAAGAATTGTGCATGTATAAATAAAATAAAGAAACAGGTACAAAGTTGGGGAAATAAGAATGGGGGCATCATGGGAGCATGTGACATTGGCACCTTAACAGAACCACTGAACTAAGCTGGTACAGTGTGCCGATAGATGATAAACTGGTATCATTTTTAGGGAGTTCCAGGCATGGCAACAAAATGTCTGGTGCATAATAATGTTATAAAATAATTATTTAGAATATATGTTATATATTGCAGGATTACCAGATCCGTTTGCCAAGATCAGTGTAGATGGGTCCGGACAATGTCACTCTACTGAAGTCTGTAAAAATACTCTAGATCCGAAATGGAATCAACATTATGATCTGTAAGTAAAATATTGTTATAGTAACTTATACTTCTACTGCATTACTAAAACATTTTGTGTAGAAGATGCAGCAATATTTCTTCTAATAATATAAGTATAATGATCTTCTATAATGGTTACCAAGGTAACAGTTATGAAATTAATTGAAAAAGACATAAAAATGACTATAAATTTTTTTTAAGATGACAAAAAATTATTGTAATATTAGTTAATAATTATATCATCTGTGTAGTGTTTAGAATTTTGATCAAATTTTGTCATCACCTACAATGTAATTATGGAAAGTTGGTGGTTCTACTCAGGTGCCAGTTTTGCTTGAAATAATGCACGGAAGGGCACTTCAGGTCTTGCTCCACCAGTATATGACACCATGATATGACCTATACTGACTGTGTAAGTGTGATGAAAATCCAAATCCTACAAACAAAATCAAACCTACTAAATAAAACTGTGTGCTCACTTGTGCACAAGTTGGTTATAATAGAAATATATACTATACCTGACTATTATAATTTCTGTAAATTATTATTTTTCTGTTTCTACTCAAATTCATTATTATCAAAGAACAAAGTCTATAAATGAATGAATGTGAATATGAATGAATGTGAATGAATGAATTGAATGAATTGAATGAATGAATGAATGTTTATATTTCAGTTATATTGGTCAGACAGATTCTGTCACTATAAGTATATGGAATCATAAGAAGATTAACAAGAAGCAAGGTGCTGGATTTCTAGGATGTGTTCGTATTATGTCAAATGCAATCACACAGCTCAAAGACACTGGATGTAAGTTTATTTGAGCCGCGTCATGACAAAACCAACATAGTGGGTTTGCGACCATCATGGATCCAGACCAGCCTGCGCCTCCGCGCAGTCTGATCAGGATCCATGCTGTTTGCTTACCAACTCTATTACAAGTAGAGAAACTGATAGCGAACAGCATGGATCCTGATTAGACTGCGCGGATGCGCAGGCTTGTCTGGATCCATGCTGGTCGCAAACGCATTACATTAGTTTTGTCATGGCACTGCTCATTTTTACCACAGTTTTAAAAAGTTTAGATAGTCCATTTAGCATTTAGCTGAATAGTGAGAACATCAGATAAGTAATCAAGGGGTCCCTAGTCTGATCCTCGGATGAGGCATGGTTTCTCCGTGACAATTAATCTCGGACATTGACTTTAATGGTCATTTGTCTTTAACAGCTGTTTTAGAAATCATGTAGGATTAGTAGACGGTCATTTGCAGAGAAATTGGTAATTACTGGTTAGTTAACCAGGAAAGCCAGTTTAGGGAATGACTGCTGAGATATGACAAATAGTGTTAAAATTGGTGTAAAAAATACAAAAGCAGTAAAGTTAAACATGTATAGAATTTACATCTCTAATGTCAACATTTAGAAATAGGGAAATTTTGTAAGGGAGATAAAAAGTGTTAGTAGAAATGATATCACAATCTTTGTTACCTTCCTTGTATAATTATTTTTGCCAACTAACCATCATTGTATAAAATGTAACCTATTAAAAATTGAATTTTTTGAATTTATCTTAATAAGGATAGAGTAATTAATTTATAGGTGAAGTTGCTTTATGTATAACTAAATCAGAGGTACACATACACAGTTTGTGGAACAAATGAATTGTAAATAATGTGGCAGGATAGTTTAATAAAACCTAATGTTAAAAGATCATGCTTCTGTACGATTGTTAATACTTTATCATGATAAATGAGGGAACTACATGAAATCCGTTTGTCCCCCAAAATCAAAACTGTATGTGCCCATTTACTTTCTATGATTTATTAGTTTTTGTTCCCATTATATTTCATTAGTTATCTGGGTTAAAGAACATGTTCTGAAAATTAAAGTACAAATCAAGAAATGAAAATGAATAAAGAGAATTTTTATTATCCTTAAACGTTTTGTCATGTGCCAAGTTGTTTATATAACACATTGTTAGTACGGAGAATAAAAGTGGTAATTTAAAAGTCTGATTTTATTTCTCACACTTCATACAGAGGTGGATAAGTGAAATTTTATTCATTAAAAATCACAAAGCAATCATCTATATAATTAAAGAAAATTGTAACAATATAACATCTGGGTTACAGCAATGTCTGTGGCCAAGTGGTTAAGGTCATTTACTTCAAATCGCTTGCCCCTCAACACTATGGGTTAAAATCCCAACAGGGAATTTGGATTATTTCATGTGAGGAAGCTTTTTAGCAAGCTTTCGGAACTTCAGTGGTTCAATCTGCAGTGGTTCTACTCAGACTAATATAATGCATGGAAGGGCATGTGAGTTATTATCTGCCAGTAAAGCTGGAAAGTTGTATCGTGTCGATGCAACATAAAACCAAACCAAAAGGGATAAGAAAGGGTAATAATATAAACTATTAGGAAGGGAGAGATTAAATTATTAATTTAACTATAATAAAAGGTACAGCATTAACTTTTCTATTTCCTCACAAGGGGGTGATAGATTGTATAAGTAATTTATCAATAAACATATGGTAATAAGCTCCTCAATTAGTACCATGGTTAATAATATACATATGTATTACAACTGTTCATTCAAATGCAAAGTAATGGATTCACAAATGTAATACAATAATTGATAATAAATTAGGGATGTGTTATATTGCTATATATACATTTTAGCATTAAACCTTCAGTGGTGTTGTCTTTTTGTTGATTTTTTTTTTGTTAAATAAACAACACCTACACAGATTGTCATCAAGTTATGAAATATAAACTATATCACATTAGGCTTTCATTTAAAGTAAATTTTGATGAAAGAAACACATTATTTATTAATGCAGTCTGGCTAGGGGATATTTAAACAGTAATGTAATACAGGCTGCCTTTGATTTTGTACAAAGATAATGAAATTTTAGACATACTAAAAAAAGTTGTAAAAAAGCTTTCATTTGCATCTGATAATGGTGAGATTGGTGTCCCACTGATGTATGCATTAAAATGATCATGGTGTAAATATAATGGATGGGATAAGTTGGTTATATTTAATATGATGATGATTTTGTCAAGATAAAATTACATCTCTGATAATGAAGTCTCATCCCACTCGGCTTCTATAATTTATAACTTTTTTTTGTCTTGGCTGAGTTTGTCATGTGGATTTTTCCAGCTGTCCATGTTTAATGTCAGAAAATTTAAATATTACAACATTACAGTTAACTGTGCAGAGTCTGGCCATCCTGTGCAATGAGCATATAGACTGTTTACAGTTTATACTTGTTTCATAATTAATTGTGCCCATGGTATTAATATCTAATTTTTAATTGATTGAGATTTTTAACATTGATATACATGACTGTAAACAAGTAGTGGGTTAAATTGCACTTTCTTATGTCCCCATTAATCGGGGGTGGGGGAGGGGGGAGGTGACAGTAGAACATGACTTTGTATATCATGCTGTCCTACCAATACCATAGACTGACAAAACTATGGAATGGGGGTGGGGATTGGGGATTCACGTTTTACAGACACACATCTAGTTTGAATAATTTTGCACAGCAGACATGAAAACAGTAACAAATTTGCATATGTAAAAAGAAAAAAATAGCCTGTTAGGATTTTCTTTTGGTATTTGGGATTTTACACAGGTGTTTAGAACATTACATAATTCTGTAATAGAATGAGACTGTTTGACTGAACCATGACAACCATCAAAGTAACCCGCATGCAGCAGATGCACACTTTAATCACTGTACTGATTTTAAAAGTCCAGAAGATACTGTAATACAATAAGCCTTTAAGTTAACTTTATCACTCTGATAGTGATACAAACAATACATGTTGCATGTGTATTGTCTAGAAATTTTTATACAATTTAAAATATTTACCGAACTGAATGTAATTTGTCTGCAGTCGACCCAGGCTTTATGCTGTTATGTTGGCTGACTTAAACTTTATTTTAATCTTAATATCCCTAAAACTGATAATGGACACTTTCAAAAATGGAAGCTGGAAAAGTCCATTTCAGAAGTTGTAAAATTTATTATTTGAGATACAAATTTCAGAAATCAACTGTACATACATTGTAGTTACCAAACTGAAATCAAGCAGTGTCACAAGTCACATAGGTTACACCTCTATATCTATTGGAATGGATTAATGCAATTAAGATACTACAAAGCCCTCAATAAAATACAGGGATTATTTAAACTTATGGTTCACAAGCTTGTAAGAATATAAAGTTATTGCCTCTGTCATTTAAAAGTACTAAATTTATTGTATATAGTACCAGGAAATTTATTATCACTGGTCATGTAATGTATATAGATCCAGGCTAGACAATTTATCAAAAAACATCAGATGTTAATTAGTAAATTCTTAACATAGTAATTAAAAATCTTCAGTAGTTGTGTGTTAATTAAGTTATTACAGTGTATATTATATGCTAATTTTGGTTGTGAAGGAAATGAGGACTAGACAGTTATTGTTCTATAGACAATATATGTGACAATATGATACTATATACATTATAATGAGATGTAATATGGCATTTAAATATCTTTAAAAAGATGCAGTTAGAATGTTCAATTATAGTATTGACAGCCAATGCATTTTAAAGGGTAATTTGAATATATTGGCGCTGGCGCAGTAATGTTATTACATAGTTGCAAGACTGTTAAAACTGTGTTAAAATAATCAAGATGATACTGCAGTTTAATAGTGTGTAAGGCAGCAATCCTCTGCATAAATTTATTTAAAGAAAATTCTATATTCTTCATTAATACCTATTATGGTGTACCTTATGTAATATAAAATACCTTATTACTAATAATTTTGATTGTTAAAATGAATTACTTTAACACTACCATTACCTTAGCTGAAGCAAATACTTTACTACCAATACCTTTAATAGTTAAAATAAATACCTTAATAACTACCAATACCTTAACTAAAGCAAATACCTTACTACCAATGTATTTAATAGTTAAGATGAATAACTTACAGTAAAGTTACTGGTACTACTGTACCATTACTGTAGCTAAAGCAAATTCCACTCTCTTAATATCTTTCATAGTTATAATTAATGTCTTACTACCAGTTAAAACCTTTTAGTTTATGCAGTGATGCCTTTCAATTAAAATAGTGGGAAATAATGACAAATATATATAATTATATATTTGCTATATATTTGCATCAGCAAAATAAAATTGTCTATTCATCATGACAACTTACAAATATTTAAAAGCCCTAACTTAAATCATACAAATTAGAACTTAAATCATACAAATTAGAACTTAAATCATACAAATTAGAACTTAAATCATACAAATTAGATATTTATGTCATAATTGAATGGCAAATTAATCTGTGTTAATAATCACTTCCTAATTAACTATTAAAATAATTTGTTAAAACAATTAACACAATTGTCAAAGGAAAGGTGAACAGTTTAAGAGTTGTCCTTGTCATCACGGTTGATTGAATGATTAATGACACTGACAAGTATATCACTTACTGTGCTTTAAAGTGTACATGTTGATAAACTACTCGTGTATTTACCTGTGTCTACCGTCATTCATGTAACTGGTTAACTTTCAACATCTTCTGTACCATACGCTGATGATTATAATTGTTACTGCTGGGAAAATATTAGAATTGTTAATAAAAGGTGTTTAAAACAACATTTTTGTGGGCAGATTTAAAAGTTTGGATTTATTTTGAAACATTATCTGTTGATTTATAAATAAATGAAATACAGAAGGTTGTGTAAACAGTAATAAATCAAGTACATATACAAAGCATGTAACTTTAGAACTTGACGTCAAAATTGGGAAATTAAATAATATAGAGCTGTTACACTGATGGTTTTTTTTTATTTTTTCGTAAAATTGCAGACAAACTAGTAGCAAGTAAATGTCAAAGTGAATTATGGGTAGAGATGCAGTACTGTGAAATGTTGATTAAAATGTCACTATAAGAGATGCTGGTGAAACTTGTGTAATATATTAAAACACTGTAGCTTATATTGTGATTTTATGTAAACATTGATGAAATATTAAATGTACAGTTGTGAGAAGTATTATTGCTAAAGTTGTTTCAAATTTGAAAATTTATTTAAATTCACCGTGGAAGGTGAGCGGAACGACCGTAGGATGTCCGTCTGTGTGTCGTTACCAACAGGAAGTCAACGCGCTCAGACACCACAACGTAAATTTTCTGTTACAGTTCAGCGTCTGGACCTGCAGCGTAACAATGCAGATGACCAGGAGCCTGTACGTGGACAGATTGTGATAAGTTTGATATCTCGTGACCGTGGTAACTCAGGGATCGGACCAGCCGTGACTAACTCAACACAGATTAATAATTCCATTCCAAACGATGTTCACGAACTCCCTGACGGGTAAGTTTTAAAAAAGTTATTATAAAAACTTTTATAAATCTTTTACTGTTATTTTTTTTCGCTTTTTTGTACAAAAAGAGTATATCTTTCTGTTTATTCATTGTTAATATCCTGAAACCTGAATCCTTTAGGCTCATTGTTTGATTGTAGGGAAATACTTCAGTTAAAAGCAGCTTTTGTTTTATTAAGATGAAAAGTAAGTATGGTAATGTTACAATAGCGTGTGAAGAAATTTTAGGGCCTATACCACTTGTTCCTTTTTTGCAAGAAAGTTGAATGACTTGTAATAAGTATACTGTTGAATGATACAAAAATTGTTGCCTACAGTAACTGTTGAGATGTTAACAATTTTTCTTGCCTATTTTGATGAGAGAAGGACAGGTTGTTTCAGATTGGGCATCCCTCTTGATAATGTAGTTCATTGTTGCCATGTTTTATATGATGAATGAGAATTTCCAGTAAATATTTGTGTTATATAACTTAATGTGTTTAGCAGATAGCCTAGTTTATTTCTTGGAATACCATCTCAAATCTTATATATAGCAAACAATACATACAGTACTACAGGTGATGTGTTGTGATTTAAGAGCCGGATGACAAACTAGCTACAACAAAAAGTTCATTGACTTCTCTGTGAAAATCTGTAAACAGTAGATAATTTTCTCATGCATTTTTTATGAGGAATTTTCTGTTTATTTTTAGATCAAAGCATGTCAGAATTTATTGATATAATATCTCTTTAGAGAAGTGATATTATGAATTGCACAATTAAGTGCTTGATACCGAGGTTAAATGGCAGGCACCCTCACTATTAAGCCACCTCGGTCCTTGATCCAAAATTATGAATTCAAATATGGATGACAAAGGTTCCAAATAATAGATATTCAAAAAAATTCATCTTATTTTTAAAAAATCACATTTTAATCATATCATTAAAAAATATCACATGGCTATGGTTATTGCTTAGGTCTGGCTGCAAATTTAAAAATTGATTAAAAAAAATAATATTTAAATATCAAAAGTTATATATTATTATCATTACTGTTCATGATGATATACTTCTATAAGTCTAATAAAATGTTCTTTTCTGTTCTATACATTGTTGTTAGATGTGGAACAATAAAACGTTTGACTTTTCTTTAAAACAAAAGGACTTTTATTTGTTTTAGATAGTTGAGACAAAACAACATAACAAAACTTCTATAATATAAACACTGTAGAAGAATTACAAACTGTTTGGCTAATGTTGGTTTGACAGTTTTTGGTTCGCTGCCATACACCACAATGGGAACACCAAATATTTTTATAGAGATTTTTTGTCAATCTGTTATTGCCAGTTAATGTCATAGAAGAGGGAAATAACTTCTTGTTAGAACAGATAGATAAGTTGTAAAATTGTGGTAATGTTTACCATGAATTACTACCAATTTGCTGCATTATGTACTAGTTACTGTTACTGTACGCTGTAATTTTGAACAATCAGCTCATATAAACCAGTTCTCTTATATTCATCAAAGCAAGTAAACCAGTTCTCTTATATTATCAAAGCAAGTTCGAATCCCGCTCAAGATTCTTATTTTTGAGGAAGCTATCCAGCTAGCTAATAGTAGTTTTATGATTCCACTCGCACGTATGCTCATTCCCGATGTCTTTTTCTTCTCCAGTAAAGCTGGAAAGTCACCGTTGACACTTGACTGAAAACCTAACCAAACCAAACCAATGGATGGTATTACAAACCTTGAAATGTTAGGAACAATTTTATCTTAAAAGTATTGAACAAAATGACTTAAAAAAGTATGTTTCAGTCACTGGTACTCTGGTAGGTCTCTTTTTTATCCAAAAAGAGGTTGATGTACAGAAATACAAAGTTCCAGTCTAAATTTAATTGGGATTTTATAGCTGAGTTGCCTGCTTAAAAATACATTTCTGTACATTTGAGTAACAGTATCAGTTCTCTGACCTGATTGTATTGCAGGTAATTTGTCGGAAATTATTTCTGGAGGTCTGGGTCTAAGCAAACTTACATGTGGATGGGTGGGTGGATACGCACAGTTACCTAGCCATTCCTGATGTATGGCCAAATGGGTAACCTGCCTTTTTTTCCTTCCAGCATTTCTATCTGGATCACGGTCTGTTTACAAAAATTCTGTCTGACTAAAATTGAGAGTTAAAAGGGGGTTTCAGAGTGCACAATTCTGTTTTGTGATATAAAATCAAAAATAGATTTCTTTGTTAATCACAATAATGATTTGTTTGTTTTGACAGTATTAGAATCAGATAAATGCAATTCCTGTATAAGAAAATTATAAATTAGATACTGACTGAATAAGTAACTGCGCAGACCATACAACAAAGATTGGTCTGCACTGGTCACTTTGGTAAGATTTAGTTTCTGCCAGAAAGCTTATTGAGGGTTAATATTTTGATATTGTTGAAATCCCTGTAACAGATTAATGTACTGTTACACAAGTTCACAAGTCCATTGATATAAAATGGGGCGTCCATGGCCGAGTTGTTAAGGTTGTTGACTTCAAACCACTTGCCCCTCACCTCTGTGGGTTCGAATCCCTACAGGGACTTTGTATTCTTTCATGTGAGGAAGCTATCCAGCTAGCTTACGGAACGTCGGTGGTTCTACTCAGGTACCCATTCGTGCCTGAAATAATGCACGGAAGGGCACCTGAAGTCTTCCTCCACCAGTAAAGCTGGAACGTCGCGATATGACCTATACTGTGTTGATGTGATGTAAAACCCAAAACAAACAAACAAATTTATATAAAATCAGCATATTACATTTGAACCAGATTTAAGTTTTTGACTGACATTATATATTCTGCACTGACAACATATGCTACATCTGACGTGTGATTTACCTTTCTTACTTTTTTCTCCCATTTTTGTTAAAATTATGAGAATTTAACAAGATACTATGTATCTGATAATCTTTGTTGAATAATAAAACAAAGTGGTACTTATTTTTTTCCCCAGTAATAAACCATATTATAATACATGTTTTATCTTAGTTTTATTACAAATTATGAAGTTGGGTCTGTTGTTGATTATTTAATTTAGCAAGAGGAGATTTTAACCTGTCATATTTATCTCTTTTGTTTTTTGTCCATTTGATGTCTATATATTTACCTATGCAAGCAGATCATTATAATATTTGTCATTTATTCAAGATATATTTCATAAAACCGTCCCCTAAATAAAGATGCCTTGAAAATTTAATTCAGTTTTAAAATAGTTCTGCCAGGTGACTTTTGATGTCAACAAAGAGAAGAAAAAAAATGCTGCTCTGTTAAAAGAATTAGGAATTTCACAAACTGTTCCACCCAACATCTGTCAGTGAAAAAATTTGGAAACAAAAATGTATGTTCATAGGTTAAATTTCAATTTTATCAGCACATTCTAGTTGTGGGCGGTGAATGACAGGTCGTGGCTCTTATATACAATGTTTGTGGTTATTTCTGGAACTTGTAATTTATTTAAAGCTTTTAAAAAATGAAATTATCAGATAATCTTGATATTATAACGTAAACTTAGAGATGATAAAAAAAGATAAAATGAATTTAGTATAATAAATGGGTTGTCTGTGAAGAAAAATATAGAAATAAACTACCATGTTACAGGCTAGTGAATCAAGTTAAGATAACAACATGAACAAAGTGTAGCTGATTTGCTATGAAAGTTTTAAGTTAAGATTATATACAGTGCCATATAGATACATTTCAATTTTGAAAATGTCTTGCTTCATAGTGCATTTTTGTATGCCCGAAATATTTATGTGAAGAATCATTGCATGGGTACAAGTTTTCAAGCATTTGCCTGAAGTTCAGGTTTTTTTTCTCCTATTTTCTATATAAAACCAGTTGAAATAATGCTAAATTTGGGATTTTTAGGTTTTCTGATATTTTTAACTTGCAACCAAGAGAATATAGTGGACAGGTCTTATCTCTGTCCTTCCACAACACATAACGTTTTCACATAACACCCTCATATTTTGACTGATGTCTTAGAACTGTGTTTGTTAGTACTGGTACCTTTCATAGGTAGGCATTTCAAGTAAGATGGTTATAACTTATAAGTTGCTGTCTTGGAAGCAAAAAATATAGTTTTCCTCAAGACAGTAGACTAGTATGAACAGGTTATTTCCCAATTAGTGCACAAGCTACAGACTTTAATCATTTTCAAGCTGAAATAAAAGTCTTTTATTTGATAAATTTTTGTACATAGTGGTAAATGACTATTTCTTCTTTGTTAGGATTGTACTTTTAGATATTTGTCAAATTGCTGTGTCATGTTTAGGGAGTTGTACCTTACCACAGTTGTTATTAATATAAACGATAATTCAGTGAGACTGAAAACCTCCATGAAATATGATAATGTCTTTGTTTCTGATGTTGTGACACGCAAATATAAACCGCAATAATCTAGATCAACAGTACTAATGTCCCTGTATGTCAAGTAACCCTGTACCTGTAATAAAACATACAATTATTATTATACTCTAATTTTGTCATGGAGCCTGCAACTGTATATCTACATATTGGTTACTTTGATGTCCTTAATTTAATATTGGATTTCAAGACAACATGTTGCATTAGTAATTTTATCTGCCAAACCTGTTTGTCTAAATTTATTGAATATTGTACAGGTTCAGTAAAGCCGATTGTAAGTTATGATGTTGAGCAAACTCATAATGGTGTTTGTTTATCATTTTGTCTTATTGGAAGGAGGGCAGTTTAGTCAATTCTGTTTGTCTTTCTGTCTTCTTTCTGTCACCTAGACATGTCTTATAGCCCTTTCAACAGATACCTTAGTTATATGATATTACTACATGTACATACTGGACATTGGTATCAATAGTAAGTAAGTAAGTAACACCTTTATTTAACAAGGCTTACACATTCGTTTTCCCGATCTTCCATGTTGGCCTCAGCTGATGTACACAACATAATTACAATATATTAACAGTTTACATGTAAACAACATATACACAACATATATACACAAAAGTCTTATTAAAATCAAGTTATAATAATTTGGGGTTAATGGGGTCAAGGTCACTATGACAAAGTAAATGATATTTGTCATAAAAAAAATTTTTTCATAAAATTTATTTTTAAGGGTTTTTGGTTGTAGAGTGGGAACAGGGGTATAGTCTAAGTCATGGCCACGCAACGTTCACCTGTGATATATTTGTGAATGAATTTTGCCTTGCTGCTTTGTCTATAATGCCAAGCAAGCACATCAAATTTTACCATATTTGACATCTGCGCAAAACACATATACTCATTATATTTATCGTTTTGAATTAGGCTTAAGATAGGGCAGTCATTAAAATGACAAAAATGCTTTGATAACAGTTAGGTAATAAATGTCTGAAAACTTTTATCTGATTTAGTATTTTCATATAATTATAGGTGGGAGGAGAGGAGAACAGCCAATGGAAGAGTTCATTATGTAAACCACATTACCCGTACAACACAATGGGAACCTCCAACAAGGTGCATATCTTCATATGTTAATTCTCTGATAAATTTTCAGTTATTTACATAAACACATTATTGCCCAAGACCTGTAAACTCCAAATGTAGAGTAAAAGTCAAAAATTCATGAACATAGTCTTTTTGAGAATACAAGTAAGACTGTATCTAAGAAATCTTAAAATTAGAGATTTTTAATTACTATTTTATATGAAATTTTCCAGATAATTATCAACAAAATCATAAAAACATGTAATATTAAAAATATTTAGGCGTAATTCTATCCAAACTCGTGACGTTAGTTAACAGTATTAAGTAGAAGTAGATTAAATAGTGAAGTTAGTTGACAGTATTAAGTAGAAATAGATATTTATACCATGAAATAGATAGTGATAGCCCAATAGTGACAATAAAAAACCTGGCAAGTTGGGCTCGTAAAGATAAATATCACTGCTAAAAACATGTTCTATCAGCAAAAAGAATCTGTCACATATGAAATATGGCTTCCGTCACATTTATTAGAGTTGTCTTCATAAGAACTTTTGTCATCTTTGTTTTTTACCTTCATTTATTTTGGTTTTTGTTGTGTGGGGGAGTTATATGCCTTGATGTCAGATAGAGGATGACACGACGTTAATCTTTTCATTTTAACATTTGCCAAATATGTACATTTGTGAAGGTAAGGCATGCAGGTGAGTGGACCTGAAATTGTCATACTTGTCATGATTTAACAAACTGGTCATTAGAAACATGAAGAAGTAACGTTAGTTTTTGGACATAATGACGTACATACAGTTGACACATAGTCACAAGGTATGCCTGCAGGGGAGGCTATTCTTAGAGTATCATGATATGACTAGAGGTGCAACAGTTTGGCGATATACCAACATATTGCGATGCAGCATCAGGCAATACTAATTAGGCATTTACCTATTTCGACATGTTGTCTGGTCTTTAACTTAATCATTGTAGTTAAACGTTGATAATATGATATCAAACCCCTGTAATATATTAAGTTAATTTTCATATGTCATCAGTTCTCTGTGATATAAGTTTATAAATGATATAATATCAGGCCTTTCTGATAAGTTTATTATTGATATGACATCAATCCCCTGATATGTTTTATTATTGATATGATATCAAACCCCTAGGATAGAAGTTTATTAGTGATATGAAATCAATCCCCTGATATCAAGCCCCAGTTATATAAGTTTATTATTGATATGATAATCATATGATCAAACCCCTGGGATAGAAGTTTTTTATTGATATGAAATAAAACCCTTGATATCAACCCCCTGTTATATATATATTTATTATTGATATGATATCAAACCCTTAGGATAGAAGTTTTTAATTGATATGAAATCAAACCCCTGATATCAAGTCCCTGTTATATAAGTTTATTATTGAAATGACATCAAGTCCCTGTGTTATACATTCATTATTTAAAGAATACAAAGATTGCATTATTATGGTATTGTATAAAGTTCTAGAATGTTATAGAAGCTGCAGTTTACACGCTATTCTTAGAATATAAAACATACATGATATTTATTTTTAGAAATTAATGATGAATTAATTATATATGGTAATGTCATTTACTGTAGCATAATTGAATTTCTGTGAGAAATGTTCTTCACAAGGCTGTTAGAAGTGTAGAATAGGCCAGGAATTTGTCACTAGTCCAGAACGGAAAAGGTTTCTAACATACCAAGAATAGTTTCTACCAGCAGTTGGCCACTATTTGATATATAAACACAAACACTAACTATACAATAAAAACAATACTCTATGTTACTCGGCCAGAATCATTATACAAAGTTTAAGGGAGGTCTGTTGGGAGTCGTTTAAAATTCCAGTTTAGAGACAGAAAATTTTAGTTTAGGTTATTGTACTATAGTTTTTCCAATGAGAATAAAATTTACCGAAATCCTTGAATTCATAGGTAAATTATAAGTTGTAAAGTTGAGGGAACAGTGGCGTAGTGGTTAAGGTGTCTGCCTATCAACCCATGCATCATGGGTTCAAGCGCTAATCAGGTCAAGATCATGTTTCTTCATCTGACACCAAGAGTTGGTTCCAAGCAGCTGACTCTAAAATGATTGATATAAGTCACAAGAACTTGTTTCACATTGGAGCTTAAATTAATATGTTTAAACTAATTATAAGTAGTTGCCAATGTCATAATTGATAAAATAAGTAAAACACTGATGAAGACTCACTAGAGTTGAAACTTCAGTTTATATATCAATAAATAAACATAAAAAACTTAACCTTTAGTAATTGTTTGTTTGTTCCATAAATTTTTTATTAATATTGTATAGCAAAATAATTAAAAGTCTGAAATCACTTTTGCGAATAAATTGAAGCACAAAAAGTTTTAATTACCTCAAAGCATAGAAATTGAATACAAGTTTGTACATATGTCTGGTAAGGTGAGTATATAGAAGTAAGTAAGTTATATTAAACTTTCCTTTGTTGATAAACATTAATACAATGGAGCACTTGTTTCTGTTTAGAAATTGAGACTTTAATTGACCGTTTGAAATCTTAATTTGATGCGGTATTCGAAAACACAAGTGATATAGCATGTTTTGAAGTTCAAAATGAATCAACAATTTTGTAGATTTAAGAAATTGATTTAAAAAAATATTATTATGAGAGCTGCTGTCTTAAAATTGTTTCAGTGATTGTTGTTGTAATCTTAAACTTAAAAACCAATAAACATAAAAAAGGACAAATTTGGCCAATAAACATAACAAAAGGGCCATGATGGCCCTGAGGTCGCTCACCTGTATATACTCCGGGCTATTATTTGAACAAACTTTGTAGACACTGATTAGAAGATGTTTCATGCTTAATATCTAAACTCTAGCTATATGGGTTTTTTCAAAGAAGATTTTTTAAGTTTTTGCCATACACATATAAGGAAAATCAATGACCCCCGGGGCGGGGCCAATTTTGACCCCAGGGCTTTTATTTGAACAAATTTGGTAGTCACCCATTAGAACATGTTTCATGCTAAATATCTTAGCTCTAGCTCTTTGAGTTCTTTAAAAGAAGATTTTTTAAGTTTTTACTATATGCATATAGGGAAGATCGCGGGGCCAATTTTGACCCTAAGACTTTTATTTGAACAAACTTGGTAGACACTCACTAGAAGATGCTTCATGCCAAATATCTTAGCTCTAGCTCTTTGGGTTCTTTAAAAGAAGATTTTTTAAGTTTTTACTATATGCATATAGGGAAAATCAATGACCCCCTGGGGCGGGGCCAATTTTGACCCCAGGGCTTTTATTTGAACAAACTTGGTAGACACTCACTAGAAGATGTTTCATGCCAAATATCTTAGCTCTAGCTCTTAGGGTTGTTTAAAAGAAGATACTTAAAGATTTTTCTTTCGGTTGCCATGGCAACCAAAGTTCTGCATGGAATTAAATTCTTTGAACAATTTTTAAAGGTGACCACCAAAGGAACATTCCTGTGAAGTTTGGATGAAATTGGCTCAGTGGTTTATGAGGAGATGTCATTTAAAGCAAAAGTTTACGGACGGACGCCGGACGAAAAGCGATCACAAAAGCTCACCCTGTCACTTTGTGACAAATTTCGCCAATAAACATAAAGAAGGACAAATTTGGCCAATAAACATAAAAAATGACAAATTTGGCCAATAAACATAAAAAGAACAAATTTGGCCAAAAAACATAAAAAAGGACAATTTTGGCCAAAAAAACATCAAAAGGGACAAATTTGGACAATAAACCTAAAGTAGGACAAATCTGGCCAAGTGGCTGGGTAAATCACCTGTCCAGGACACACAGTTGGGTAAAATTATGCCAGGGCTGTTGATTTGTCTCCTGTTAATGTAATATTATTATTAAGATGTCTCCAGATCGTAATATAAGCATAGTCTTATATAATATATAACATTGCCAAAAATCTGTCAGTAAAACCATCACAGAGACATTACATTTAAAGTTTAGGACTAAATGTAAGTGGTTCAATTCAGGTCAGATTGGGCCTGGCATAATATGTGGAAGGGCAAATTGAGTACTTCTCCTAAGGAAAAGCTGAAAAGTTGCCATCATAATGACTTTAACAGAATTGATGTGACTTAAAATGTAACCACATGGAGGATTAAATGAGCCGCGTCATGACAAAACCAACATAATGGGTTTGCGACCAGCATGGATCCAGACCAGCCTGCGCATCCGCGCAGTCTGATCAGGATCCATGTTGTTCGCTATCAGTTTCTCTACTTGTAATTGGGTTTGTAAGCGAATAGCATGGATCCTGATCAGACTGCGCGGATGCGCAGGCTGGTCTGGATCGATGCTGGTCGCAAACCAATTATGTTGGTTTTCGTCATGACACGGCTCAAATGTATTTCAAATTTTACAAAAATGTTATTTGTTTTGTCTTTTTAGCTCGACTATTCGAAGAATATTAGAGCTATTGTAGTCGCCCCGGCGTCGGCGTTGGCGTCAGCGTCCGCGTCGGCGTCTGCGTTGGTTAAAGTTTTTTGTAAAGTCAAATATCTCAATTATTGCTTGAGATATTCAATTGAAACTTACAATACTTATTTATAGTAACAAGGTACATCAGATTGACAAGTTGGATAACTCTATCTACAATATTGCCAGAATTATGCCCCTTTTTAACTTAGAAATTTTGGTTAAAGTTTTTTATAAAGTCAAATATCTCAATTATTGTTTGAGATATTCAATTGAAACTTACAATACTTATTAATAGTAATAAGGTACATCAGATTGACAAGTTGGATAACTCTGCCTACAATATTGACAGAATTATGCCCCTTTTTAACTTAGAAATTTTGGTTAAAGTTTTTGTAAAGACAAATATCTCAATTATTGCTTGAGATATTCAATTGAAATTTACAATACTTTTTTATAGTAACAATGTACATCATTTTGCTAAATTGCATATCTCTGTCTGCAATATTTGCAGAATTATTTGCCCCTTTGAAACTTAGAGATTTTGGTTAAAGGTTAAAGGTCTTCAAAGATATTTACTCGAAACTTTACACATGTACTTAGGGTTATAATTTGAGGGTCATAATTATATGTCACTGACCAAGTTCCATAACTCTATCTTGCATTAAGGCTGATTCATATCCCCTTTTCTACTTAGTCTCTTGGTTAATGTTTACATGCAAGTTTTACATATCTCAATAACTATTAAAGATATTTATTTAAAACTTCACATATGCATTTAGGGTCAGAATTGTATGTCACTGACAAAGATCCATAATTCTATCTTGCATTTAGGCTGATTTTTCTTCCCTTTTTCAACTTAAAAAATTCATGGTAAAGTTTTGCTTGTAAGCTGTTATCTCCATTACTACTGAAGGGTTTGTGCCTTTTTTGGGACAATTTTATGCATACGTAATAATAAAGCAGTGATTTACTTGATAAAACATCTTAATAACAAGCCTTTGTACCTTAAAATTCTGTCAATTTTATGTATTCATAAGTAATTAGTATTATTATACTCAATAAAGCACCCTTGTGACATTACCTTCCAAATAGTCAAGCCAATACTGTATAATTAGACTCTCTCTAAGACCTATAACATGAATTTATAAAAAAAAATTAGCCCTTTTGTGAACTTAAAAAATTTAACATTATCAAGGCTCTTTTACTATCAAGCAATTAGAATAGTCGAGCGTGCTGTCCTACCGACAGCTCTTGTTTTTAATATAAAAAGCTCCACCCTTCATAAAACAGATAAATATAACAGTTTTTAGATCTGTAGCATAGGTTTTTCATTATTATGAAATTAATATTTGAGTCAGAAATTTACAATTCACATTAATTTTAATGTTTATTTTTATTGCTGTTTTTATATTATAAATGCATTACACCTGAGATTTTGAGGATAGAACCTTTTTTTCTCTACTTATTTTTTGAGAAAGTGAAATAATTACAAACATAACATTTCAACAAATAAAACTTTGATGTCAATCAAGTACACTGCACTTTCATGTTAATGCATTTCTTTCAAGTCAAAACCTTAAATGCAAAAGCTTGGAAACAAGTTTGAAAGTCTCGATAGTGAAACAAGTTTACCTGTAAATTAGTCTGTAAAGAATTTATTACTTTGCTAAGTAGAACCTGCAGAAAAACCCTTTTATTTTAAATTTTTGATGAGTCATTTTATTTTTGTTGTGCACTAAAAAAGCTGTATAGCAGGTTGATGGTGTGAAAAACTTTTAAATTTTGATGAAAACTTCAGGTCATTATAAGTTTGAATTTTATAAATAGTTAGATTGAATACTCACTTTTGACAACTATTTTATATTATTTTATTTCAGGCCAGCTATAGAAACGTCCCAGTCATCTGTCAGAATAACAACGTCTACAGCATCCCCAACTACGTCCAACAGTAGTAATAGTGAGAGACGATCATCATCAGCTACGCGTCTAACTTCTAGTGCTTCCCACAGACATCGTGATCGTGCAAATTCTAGCGCGCACAGACACAGTACATCATCATTAAACCCTCCGCGTATTCACAGTGCCCATAGTTCAGTGACTAGAAATAATGACCTCAGTTATAATAGCAATAGTGAGGACAATACAAGTAGTCCGTCCGAGGGAGAGTTTCCACGACGACGGTCTACACGTAGGCGCAATTATTTAAATCGGAATCAGTTACATAATGCAGTGGATTTACCACAAGGTTATGGTGAGTATCATATAAACTCAAGATTGTTGGGAGTCATCATGTTTTAGATGTAAGCTTCCTTTATTAGCTTGACTATTAGAATAACAGGGAGAGCTTCTCACTTGGCGTTGGTGTCAGTGTCATACTTTTGTTGAGTTTTTGCATGCAAGTTGATATTTCCAAAACTACTGAAAACTTAATACTTATTTAGAGCATAATAGGTGCTCCTGTCCAAGGCCAATAACTCAAACATAGAATTTTGCAGAATTATGGCCCTTTTTGAACTTGTTATCCAGGCTGTAGTTTTACTATCCAGCTCTGAGAATAGTTGAGCACAGCTCTTTATTTCTTGTCTGATGATCTGAACTAACCTTTTTATAAAAAGTTTTCTTGACCTTGAAATGTCCAGAATAAAACCAGTCATTTAATGTATGTCACATTCTGCAAGTGATGCAGTCATGATGTCAAGGTTATATATTGTGTAAACAATTAAACAAGATTTTCATATACTGGCAACATCACAATATAACATAAACAATAGGCATTAATCTGTTCAGACATGTTACTATGTAACTGAAATTGCAATCATTGCTTTGTAAATGTATAGCTTTGTATTAATGCTTTTAGAAAGGGAAAAATGTTATTTAATTTCATACATTTATGTTTCTAACCATACAGTCCATCTTGCAGATATTTAAAATAAAATATTTTTTAGTACCTTTTGTAAAAGCTCATCGTAAAAAAGTTTTATTTTGTGAGAAATTTCTCTTTATATAACCCTTTGAGGGAAGATCTGTTAAATTTGCAAAAATTAGACTTGTCAGTGTGTCAAAGATTTAAAGTAATTTACTAGACGTTTCATATGATCTAACTGTAAAGATAAGATATGATAAGTAAGATAATGAAATATGATAGAATATTTTCAGGAAGTATGTCAATATAATGAATCAGCTGTTATAACATCTGTTACCATGCTGACATTATACCAGCTTCTATATGTTATTATAGTACAGGTGTGGCTTGACTTTAGTGTCACTAACAATTAATATCTACCATTGTATATATGAGCCGTGCCATGACAAAACCAACATAGTGCGTTTGCGACCAGCATGGATCCAGACCAGCCTGCGCATCCGCGCAGTCTGATCAGGATCCATGCTGTTCGCTTATCAACCCTATTACAAGTAGAGAAACTGATAGCGAACAGCATGGATCCTGATCAGACTGCTGGTCTGGATCCATGCTGGTCACAAACGCACTATGTTGGTTTTGTTGTGACGGGGCTCATATATAACTCACTGGAGTTGTTCATTGAGTTACGTTTCCTCTTATTTTAATTAACTTTCATCATAGAAACACCAGGATTGTTCTATCTCTAAGATGTAATTATCTCAAAGAAATAGGAAATACCGTAAGTGTGAGTGTGAAAGTTTGAGCAACTTTTTGTATGGGTGGTCTTTCTGTACAGTTAGTCATATTATACTAAATTTTACATAAAGTTATTACCGCCTATGTGGTCGAACGGTTAGAGTCGATGACTTCTCCTCCAGTTACCTCTCTGGCATGGGTTCGATCCCTGGGAGATGCTTTGGTAGTTTAGCGCGGTCTAGTACTGGGGTAACTCTCCAGGAATTACCCACCTATATGACTGAAATACTGTTGGGAAAAGGCGTAAAATGAAATAAACAAACAAACATAAAGTTATTGATAAGTAATTAAGTTAGACTTGCATGATACTAATATAGCAAATAACACTGTATATAAACAAATCTACTTCCTGTAACCACACAGAAAGTTCAGGTTAAAAGTATAAAAGCTCCCAAGTAAAGTACAGTGTTCGGAAATAACATGATTGTACTTGTAATGGCAAGTCAGAGTTTACATTGTATAGACTTGCAAGACATAGTACAGTAATTTTTATGCCCCCACAAAGTGGGAGCATATTGCGTTGCACTTGTCTGTCCGTACGTCCCTAAATCTTGTGAACGCAACTCCACTTAAACCGGATGGCAGATTTTGCTTAAGCTTGTAGGGATAAACAACCTTAATGTGTAGATGGTAGTAAAGGAAGGAATTTTTGCTGCAACCAAATTTAACAGAATTATGGCCCTTTATTGATTTTTAGCTCACCTGTCACAAAGTGACAGGGTGAGCTTTTGTGATCGCTTTTCGTCCGGCCGTCCGGCGTCCGTCCGTCGTCCGTCCGTCCGTCCGTCCGTAAACTTTTACTTTAAATGACATCTCCTAATAAACCACTAAGCCAATTTCATCCAAACTTCACAGGAATGTTCCTTTGGTGGTCACCTTTGAAAATTGTTCAAAGAATTCAATTCCATGCAGAACTCTGGTTGCCATGGCAACCAAAAGAAAAAACTTTAAATATCTTCTTTTTAAATATCCAAAGAGCTAGAGCTTAGATATTTAGCATGAAACATCTTCTAGTGAGTGTCTACCAAGTTTGTTCAAATAAAAGCCCTGAGGTCAAAATTGGCCCCGCCCCAGGGGTCGTTGATTTTCCCTATATGCATATAGTAAAAACTTAAAAAATCTTCTTTTAAAGAACCCAAAGAGCTAGAGCTAAGATATTTAGCATGAAACATCCTCTAATGGGTGTCTACCAAGTTTGTTCAAATAAAAGCCCTTGGGTCAAAATTGGCCCCGCCCCAGGGGGTCATTGATTTTCCCTATATGCATATAGTAAAAACTTAAAAATTCTTCTTTTAAAGAACCCAAGGAGCTAGAGCTAAGATATTTAGCATGAAACATCCTCTATTGGGTGTCTACCAAGTTTGTTCAAATTAAAGCCCTGGGGTCAAAATTGGCCCCGCCCCAGGGGGTCATTGATTTTCCCAATATGCATATAGTAAAAACTTAAAAAATCTTCTTTTAAAAAACCCAAAGAGCTATGGCTAAGATATTTAGCATGAAACATCCTCTAATTGGTGTCTACCAAGTTTGTTCAAATAAAAGCCCTTGGGTCAAAATTGGGCCCGCCCCAGGGGGTCATTGATTTTCCCTATATGCATATAGTAAAAACTTAAAAAATCTTCTTTAAAAGAACCCAAAGAGCTAGAGCTAAGATATTTAGCATGAAACATGTTCTAATGGATGTCTACCAAGTTTGTTCAAATAAAAGCCCTGGGGTCAAAATTGGCCCCGCCCTGGGGGGTCATTGTATTTCCTTATATGTGTATAACAAAAACTGTAAAAATCTTCTTTGAAAAAAACCAAATAGCTAGAGTTTAGATACTAAGCATGAAACATCTTCTAGTGAGTATCTACCAAGTTTCTTGTAATAAAAGCCCTGGTGTCAAAATTGGCCCCGCCCCGGGGGTCATTGATTTTCCTTATATGTGTATAACAAAAACTTAAAAAAATCTTCTTTGAAAAAACTCAAAAAGCTAGAGTTTAGATATTAAACACGAAGCATCTTCTAGTGAGTGTCTACAAAGTTTGTTCAAATAAAAGCCCTGGGATCAAAATTGGCCCGCCCCGGGGGACATTGATTTTTCTTATATGTGTATAGCAAAAACTTATAAAATCTTCTTTGAAAAAACCCGAATAGCTAGAGTTTAGATATTAAGCATGAAACATTTTCTAGTAAGTGTCTACAAAGATTGTTCAAATAAAAGCCCTTGGGTCAAAACTGGCCCTGCCCCAGGTGTGTCATTGTTTTTAACTATATGTGTAAAGAAAAAACTTGACCAGCTGGACTTTAGATGTTTAGCATGAAACATCTTCTAATGGGTGTCTACCAAGTTTGTTCAAATAAAAGCCCTGGGGTTTAAACTGGCCCCGCTCCGGGGGCCTATATACAGGTGAGCGACTTCAGGGCCATCATGGCCCTCTTGTTTCACTATATACTATGTAGAAATTTTGTGAACGCATTACTCCTCTTAAACCAAATGGCAGATTTTGCTTAAACTTGCAAGGATAAACAACCTTAATGTGTAGATGGTAGTAAAGGAAGGAATTTTTGCTGCGACCAAATTTAACAGAATTATGGCCCTTTGTTGATTTTTAGTTTTCAACTTGTGGCAACTTGTGGACCTAGAGTCATAAGATTGACAGAACAGTGGCATTTGGGGGCATCCGTGTCCTACGGACACATTTCTAGTTTCACTATTTACCATATAATTATATGTTGTCAGTGGGGGCATCTGTGTCCTTTGGACACAGTTCTAGTTTTACATACAATTCTGTAAAATAAAATTTTGGGAAGTAAAAAGGGTATAAGTTTTTCCCTTTAAATTGAATTTTGGGTTGATAAAATATTAAAATTGATGAGGTTTTTATTTATTTTTCCAAAATACAGGCAATTTGTGGGGGGTTTATTTCTTCATTTACCTGCAGGACTGAAATTTCAACAAGAATTTGCTGATCTTTGGTCCTGCTAATCCTGGGGCATGTGGGGGTGGGGGTACTGTTGTTTCATGATCTGGTGTATATATTTAACTGTTTAAACAGCTGGCGTCTGTGGAGCAGCAAGACCTGATTATTATATCAAAAGCATTTATGATATAATTGTAACACAAGCACCTGCAGCTCTCTAATTGTTACTACACATTGTTATTATTGTATATACCGTTATAATAATAATGATACAGCAGTTTTCTATATTTGAAAGTAATTATGGTTGTAAAGACAGGTCTGTTGATATGCTCACTGGTTATTATAATAGAAATAATTTTCCTCAGTCCTCATTAATTGTTCACTTACGTAATATTGTACAGTTTTGACATGTTGAATTAAGGCCTGGTTTTTGATCAAAATTATCCATAAAAAACTTCAGCCTTCTCTGGTTATTGGCTTCAGGTGCTTGAATACTTTGATGGAGATTAATTTTCTGATGTAAATATTGTTTTTGAAATCATGTATCTGAAGGAAGAAACTGCCATATACTTGTCAATAATCTATAGATATCAAAAGAGAATATTTGACCATAATTAATTGTTTTATTGATGTGTTGAGGTTGGATTTGGTATCGATGGTGTCAAAACCTTTTGTAGAACCTTTCAAGTTAACTTCTGATACCTGTGGTTAATATGTTGTTCAATTAGGATTCAATGTATTGATGATGGTTGAAACCCAGTGCCACAAAATTTAGTTGTTTTATAATGAGAGAACACCCTCCAGGGCCAAAACATTACAGTCACTGACTTAAAAATCTGGTGGACCTTATCACTATGTGTTTGAAGCCTGCAAGAGACTTTGTATTCTTGTATGGGGGTAACCTTACTAGTGATCAGTGGTTATAAGGGGGTGACAGCTTTTACCTGAAATAATTTCACATGGGCATTTGAGACCTTACTCCATTAGCAAAACTAAAAAGTTACTATTATGACCTTTAAAGTGTTGGTGTGACCTTAAATCCAACCAACCATCAAAATTTGTACTTTTTACCCATTAGTGTATGAATATTTCTGTTAGTCTTATATTGGACAATTTATGTTGTCCAGACGATTCAGGTAACCAGGTCAATAATACTTTGCACAAAGTTATAACTGATCTGTTACCTAAGCCTACTGACCTTATTTAACAGGTTAATATATTTATATATATCATCAAAATGACATTCATCTTCCAGAACTGTTCAAACTATAGTAGAATATTGAAATTTAAGTAGAATATTACAGTTTTTATTTTCTCATTTAAAATAATGGGTGTTAACTAATTTATCTAAATGTGGGGGAAACTTTCCTTCTAGTTACCTACATTCTGTAAGAAAGGGAAAACTATAATGAGGTTTGAATAAAACATATTGTAATGTAATGTGTTAAAGCTCGGGTGTATATACAGCCAAGTATAAAACAATCTATTTCAAATATGAATTCTTTTGCGAGCAAACTTGCTGATTGTATTTTGGTGCATTTGATCTGAGATGCATGACGATCAATATAAATGATAGTTAATACTGTACCTGCTAGGCTCTGCTTGAGGCAAGTTGCAACTAATTCTAGCAGACCAAGATCATGTATATATTTAGAATTTTTTTCTTTAAAAAATGAATGATTTAAGCCAGATTGAAAGTTGGACAAGTCAGTTTAAGAGGTTATAGTAGGTTAAGGGTTATGCCTGTGTGAACATTAAAAAGCTATTATGTTGGCCGGAATACTCAATTTTTTGCTCCCCGAAAAAATTTCGGGGGAGCATATAGTCGCCGCCTTGTCCGTCCGTCCGTCCATCCGTCCGTCCGTCTTTCCGTCCGTCCGTCCGTCCCGTCCGTCCGTCCGTCCCGTCCGTGCCGTCCGTCCCCTTTTCTTGTCCGGGGACATAACTTTGAAACAAAAACAAGAAGGTATCAACATGAAACTTTGTAGGTAGATAGATCTCATTGAGTAGGTGTGCAGTGCATAAGAAACCGTAACTCTGCCTTGCCTAATTTTTGAATTATTCCCCTTTGTTTATTTTTACACTTGAACTTTGTCCGGGACATAACTCTAACAGTAAATAAGAGGTATCAACATGAAAACTTTGTAGGTAGATAAGATCTTATTGAGTAGGTGTGCAGTGCACAAGAACCATAACTCTGCATTGCCTAATTTTTTTGAATTATCCCCCCTTTGTTTATTTTACACTTTGAACTTTGTCCGGGACATAACTCTTAAAGTATTAGAGGTATCAACATGAAACTTTGTAGGTAGATAGATCTCATTGAGTAGGTGTGCAGTGCAAAAGAACCGTAACTCTGCCTTGCCAAATTTTTTGAATTACCCCCTTTGTTTATTTTACACTTTTGAAATTTGTCCGGGACATAACTCTTAAAGTATTAGAGGTATCAACATGAAACTTTGTAGGTAGATAGATCTCATTGAGTAGGTGTGCAGTGCACAAGAACCATAACTCTGCCTTGTCTTATTTTTGAATTATCCCCCTTTGTTTATTTTACACTTTGAACTTTGTCCGGGACATAACTCTAAAAGTATAAGAGGTATCAACATGAAATTTTGTAGGTAGATAGATCTCATTGAGTAGGTGTGCAGTGCACAAGAACCGTAACTCTGCCTTGCCTAATTTTTTAATTATCCCCCTTTGTTTATTTTACACTTTGAAATTTGTCCGGGACATAACTCTAAAAGTATAAGAGGTATCAACATGAAACTTTGCAGTTAGATATATCTCATTGAGTAGGTGTGCAGTGCACAAGAACCGTAACTCTGCCTTGCCTTATTTTTGAATTATCCCCCTTTGTTTATTTTACACTTTGAACTTTGTCCGGGACATAACTCTAAAAGTATAAGAGGTATCAACATGAACTTTTGTAGGTAGACAGATCTTATTGAGTAGGTGTGCAGTGCACTCTGCCTGGCCTACTTTTGGAGTTATTGCCCTTTGTTCATTTTGACACTTTGACTTTGTCTGGGACATTACTCTAAAATTATAAGAGATATCAACATGAAACTTTGTAGATAGATAGGACTCATTGGGTGGAAGTGCAGTGCTTAAGAATCATTACTCTGCCTTGCCTTATTTTGAAGTGATTGCCCTTTGTTTATTTTTACTTTTTGACTTTTGTCCTGGACAATACTTTAAAACTATTAGAGATATCAACATGAAACTTTGTAGGTAGCTAGATATAATTGGATAGAATTGCAATGCTTAAAGAACCTAAACAAAGCCTGGTCTTATTTTGGAGTTATTGCCCTTTGTTCATTTTTACACTGACTTTTACCCGGGACATAATTCTGATATCATCAGGAAACTTTATAGATAGATAGATCTCATTGAATAGAAGTGCAGTGCAAAAAAACATAACTCCGCTTTGCCTAATTTTGGAGTTTTTGCCCTTTGTTCATTTTTTTTATACTTTCCTGTGTCCAGAACCTTCTCGGGGAGCATCACCCGGTTCAACCGGTTCTTGTTTTATTTTTTTTCTTCTAGATATCCTTGACCATGTAATAGACAGTTCTGTATATTTGAAGCAAGCTAGAACAGTTTAAAAAGACATTACAGTAGCAATGATTTTTGAAGAAACAAATTGGAAAATTTTTAAGAGAGAATCATTAGATTATGGCCGATTTGGAAACTCTTCCATAGTTACAATATTTAATATATTAAAATTTAAGTTTAGTCAACAATTAGTTAAACTTAATGAGAATTTTTATGTCATGTTAAAGGGAGGCAATAATATTCTTGTATAACTTAGGGATAAGGGAGATCATTTTACTGTTGAAAAAAAAAAAAGTACGGTATTCTTATACAAGGGAGGTAATCAATTATTATAGTATAAGGGAGGTTATTTTACTCTTGTTATATTGTAGTTCGAATCACAAATCGTTCAGCAGGTCGTGGAAATGGCATTGTGGGTAAGTTTATATTTGCAGTCAACTGTCCTATCTTTCTCAGCTTGGCGTCCTAGGCCCACTCCTACAGCTTTCATTTTTAAAGTCTACAAAAATAAATATATTAATATTGTAACTATGGAAGATCAGTTTCGTCATGTTTTTATTTTTTGAGGCATCTTATTTTTTTGTGAGATATTTTTGTTTACAACTTATCATTGTGATTCAGTGTATGTAGAATTTAATATTATGATATGATTTCTTAAAGACTAATTTTATAAATTGTACACATTTATCATTTCAACACAAGAACCATGCTACCAAGTTAACTTGATCTAATTTACAATGAAGCATGTGTGATATGTGATAAATTATTTTCATTTAATCATGTTATCAAAATCTATATAGTATATAAATAAATAAGGATATTAAAGGCTTTTAACAGAAAAGTAAAAAATAGTGTAAGAAAACAAATAAACAAATACTTTCTTAAGTTTTAATATTTAAATATACTTATGCTGGTGTGTTATTTATTTTGCTGTTTTGCTGTGTCTTTAAATTCGCACTATCCTCTTTAATATTATATACATAAAATTAAATCAACAGTTACAAGAAAGGCTATAGTTATTGCCTATATACATGTTAATGGCTATGTATTAATTGAGCTATATTACAATGGGTTCAAATCCCACAATGGAATTGGGATTCTTTTAAGATAAAATTGTATAAGTAATATAAAAGGTTGGTGGTTTAACTGTCAGGATTTCTACCACATGTTCAGCTTGAAAGTAATAAAATTAAATCTTTACAATATTTGATTGACATAGAACCAAGTCTTTAACACTTTATCATTCAAACAAGTTTTTAATAAAACATTTTGCACCCAAGTCATTTTCAAAATTTAAGTGCAGATTTTCAATATGTTAAATTTTTCATCTATCATAATTAATTACTTATATATAATTTCACACTAATAAATTTCTTTGACATTGCACGTGTTGCAAAAAGCAAAATTCTTTCAACATTTAATTTTGTATCACTGACAACTTTAACATTAAGAACATTTTAATTTGTTTATTTTTTTCTTGTAAAAAAAACCCTATCAAATAGCTGTAGGTACAACAATTAAACTTCAATTAATGTTTTTGTAATTAAGATTTTCTGTTTACAGGTATGTTAAATGAAGTATGTGAAAATAAAACATATGTGTTCTATTAGTTGAATTCTGGGTGGTTTATTAAAAAAGTTTATGTTGGAACCTTGTATTGTCATAAAGTAGCAGTTTACAGTTATTAAGATGTTGTATTAAAACTGCATGTGCAGCATGCCTCCCTGCTATACAGCTCCTATGATTCACCCAGTATTTGTGTCGATCTTTGATGATGTGCAAGCAAAATATAAAATGCTTAGTTAGTTGATAAGCAGGTTATTTGATAATTTTACTGAGAAGAAATTTTTCAGATGCATGGTTTGTTAGATTGTGATTCTCTTTACTTTTGTTTATAGCTAGCGCTTTTCAGTATTTTAAGAGAAAAAAAAGGTTTTACAGAAATCAATAAATTTGCATTACTCCCACATTTCTGTTTAAACCCTTCTGCTCACATCATTCCATCATACACCCACCATTCCTCCCCCCCCTCCCCCCCCCCTTCCTATGAAACAGGGACCCACTTGATTTGCATATAATACAATTTCCATTCAGTTATTCCTTAGTTGGACATTTGTAGATTAAGTGTAAAAAGAAAACATTAAATGGACTCCTGACATTTTTTTTGTCATGACAGGACTAGGAATATTTTTATGAAATTTGTAGACAATTTGATGAAGGTCTAGGCCAATAACTTGTGTGCAAATTTTCAGATAATTACCTCGCCCTGTTTTTTCAGAATCATCATGTTTATTTTGTGCAAAATGACCCAAAGACAAAAGACATTCCAAAAGCATGCTGAAAATTTGACAAAAATTTTTGACCATTATTAATTTCTTTAATTATTCTCTGCATATTTTTCAATTAAAATGCTTCCCTTGATCACCATATTTATGCTTTTAGGATTTTTGACTGTGATGTTGCTCCTTGAAAAAAAAAGACTTGACAAAATTAAACATCTTGGAGTGTATTTTTGCAATGCATGATAAAGAGAAAGGATAAATCATATAAGAATTTTTTTCTGTCATACCTTAAATTGAGCACATAGGGTGTAAAATGTGGTTATGTCATAGACTCTGCTTTATAGACTGGGAAAATGCTTGTTATGATAAATCTATGTTATAATGCAAATGGATAATGTAAAAATTATCTAGGTAAAATTGATGTACCACTAATATATCTGCAGATATCATGATATAGAAATCCTACATAGATTCCACCTTGGCACAGAAATACATTCATTATTTATTTTCTCACACTCTGGTGTGAAACACAAAATACAAAATTCAGCAGAAATTTTACCATGAATCATAATTATCCTGAGGAATATTGTAATACCTTTACTGTACTAACTATGATAATAAACAATGTTTTTCTTCAATAAAGAATGGTCAAAAATGGAATCACTAAAGATCGCACAAAACTCCAAAATTGAAAATGTTACAGGCTTGGTTTGATTGAGCCTGTTCATGGAAGGTAGTGGTAATTGCAAGCTACCACCTAGGCGGTGTCTATAGACTTATAACGGTACCCATGGCTGCTAGGCTAGCATGTAAACCTGTGCACTTTGACCAGGCTGTTTATCCCAGGCATAGCTATTTTAGTATTTTGCATTGAAATCCCTTAATCTAACAATTGACTTTCATAAATTTAAAGGGCAAGTCAGTTATTCAAATTTAATTGGGTGATAGAATAAGAATCAGGTGAAAGGAAATATTTTCTTTCTCATCAGATTCTATGAGAGAGAGGATTTTGTTTACTTCCTGTATTGTTTTTTTTTCCTCCTCATTTTTTGCCTTTCAAATTTCCCAAACATTCCAGATTCCAATAATTTCCCAGGGTGAGAGTGACTAATACAGGTGTAAAACATATTCTGTTCAATAAATAGATGTACCTGTCAAATAGAATAAAATGTGTTTGAAATTTTCTCAGACAATTTATTTATACTATTAATTAACTGAATAATGGAATTATTTACCTATATTCTAGGGGCATTTGTTTCGCAGATAAATTCTAATATTCTAAAAGTATTTATTATGTAACAATTTTTGTCAAATTCTTCTATTACACTCATCTTTGCAACAGAAATTCTGTAGAAATAATTTTCAGTGTAATAATTTTTTGTCTTATATTTGTACATGATAATTATTTAGACACGAATTAACATCATTATATCATAAGCAAAATTATGTATATACAAAAGCATTGTGCCAAAACTTATATCAACATTATTTGGGCCCTCCCCTAAAGAGTTATCTTATTAGTTAAATGATAACTAAATGTAAATCTTAGAACTTCTACAATATGTATAAATTAAGCTTCAACTTGTGTGTCTCATTAAATAGTGAAAGAATACCTTGTAGCTGAAATATTTTTAGTGTAAATTAAACTTATGTGTGTATATTAAAATGTTTGCACCAATCAGATCTAACATTTTGTTAATAGTGATATGAAAGAGAGAATATAATTATATACTATTTTATTTTCAGCATTATTATGTAATGTGTCTGAACAGCTGTTATTTTGCATTTTTTAACATCTATAGGTAATATGTTCTTATAATAGATTTCAAGCTGTATATATATATATATATTGTTGTATTTTCAGAACAACGAACTACACAACAAGGTCAGGTATATTTCCTGCACACACAGACCGGTGTCAGTACCTGGCATGATCCCCGTGTTCCCAGGTAAAACAATTAATAATTGAGCCGCGTCACGACAAAACCAACATAATGACTTTGCGACAAGCATGGATCCAGACCAGCCTGCGCATCCGCGCAGTCTGATCAGGATCCGTGCTGTTTGCTTACCAACTCTATTACAAGTGGAGAAACTGACAGCGAACAGCATGGATCCTGATCAGACTGCGCGGTAGCGCAGGCTGGTCTGGATCCATGCTGGTCGAAAACCCATTATGTTGGTTTTGCCGTGACGCGGCTCATACATTGTATTGATAATTAGATATTTAGTCTACAGGTATACTCTTTGTGTCAAAGGAAAGTTTTTATTGATAAATTTGTTTTAAATATATTCAAAACTTAAATTCTTTGACATTTTTTCATACCTTTTATTTATTAAACGTATTTTCATGATACAAATGTATAGTTTAAAAACTTATAATGTAAAAATTCAGCACTAAACTAGTATAGAATTGAGGAGGCTAATCTTACATTATCTTATAAATCATTACATTTTGTTCAAAATATGACATAAAGTTTGTTTTATTTATGTTTTCACAGAGATATATCAAATTTGGATGTGCTGGAACGAGAGTTAGGGCCACTGCCTCCAGGATGGGAAGCAAGGCATACAGGCAATGGGCGTGTATATTTCGTTGACCATAATAACAGAACAACTCAATTTACAGATCCTAGACTCACTTCTAATATTGACTTGATACAGAGTCGAATGTAAGTTTGTTAAGTTAGGTATTAGAGATCAGTTATTTTATGCAGTTATTGATATTAATATGTTTATGTTTGCTCATACAATAGAATGGAAAATGTAATGACTTAGAGACCATTTTACAGCATGATCATAGATATATTAATTTTGGTATTATACAATGTATTCAGTGGTTATAAACATTTTTTTGTCAATCAAATATAAAATAATATACAAATTTGATTAGTTATCATGTCAAAAGAGAGTAGTCACACCCAAAGATAACACAAAAGGGAGAACTTAATCATATTCAACGATATCTCAAAAAAGAATGATCACATCCTAAGGTTACACAAAAAAGCATGTATTTCCTTATATACCAACTGTTTATCTTTTATTACTGTTTATGTAGAAGAAATGGATCATTATATCAATTTGCATTGAGCTTGAGATTTGAAAAAATAAGTTTGACAAAATATACTGGAAGATCTGTCAATATAAAGTTGGCAGAGCCGTCACTGTCACTAATAAATGAGCCACGTCACAACAAAACCAACATAGTGCGTTTGATCAGGATCCATGCTATTCGCTATCAGTTTCTCTACTTGTTATAGGGTTAGTAAGCGAACAGCATGGATCCTGATCAGACTGCGTGGATGCGCAGGCTGGTCTGGATCCATGCTGGTCGCAAACCCATTATGTTGGTTTTGTCATGGCGCGGCTCAATTATTTATTTTAATTACAATTTCAGAAAAAATACGAGTGATAAGGAGAATGAGAACCCCGTGCCAAAATACAAGCGAGATTTGGTTCATAAAATGAAGATATTAAAACAAGAGTTTACTAGTTTACAACCTCAGGGCGGACATTGTAGACTAGAAGTTTCTAGAGAAGAAATTTTCGAGGTAAATTAATGTAATAAATTGTTGTACATAGTGATATCAGCTGATTGTCAAAACTGTATAGTCTGATTAAAAAGACTTTGCAACACATATAGATATTTTGTTAAATTTTTTTATATTATATTCAGATATTGGAAAGTGAAGATGATTTAGAGAGTTTATGTTTCAATCATTTTTTAGCTCACCTGTCACAAAGTGACAGGGTGAGCTTTTGTGATCGCTTTTCGTGATCGTCCGTCGTCCGTCCGTAAACTTTTGCTTTAAATGACATCTCCTCATAAACCACTGAGCCAATTTCATCCAAACTTCACAGGAATGTTCCTTTGGTGGTCACCTTTAAAAATTGTTCAAAGAATTTAATTCCATGCAGAACTCTGGTTGCCATGGCAACCGAAAGAAAAATCTTTAAATATCTTCTTTTAAACAACCCTAAGAGCTAGAGCTTAGATATTTGGCATGAAACATCTTCTAATGAGTGTCTACCAAGTTTGTTCAAATAAAAGCCCTGGGGTCAAAATTGGCCCCGCCCCCGGGGGGTCATTGATTTTCCCTATATGCATATAGTAAAAACTTAAAAGATCTTCTTTTAAAGAACTGTAAGAGCTAGAGCTAAGATTTTTGGCATGGAACATCTTCTAGTGAGTGTCTACCAAGTTTGTTCAAATAAAAGCCCTGGGGTCAAAATTGGCCCCGCCCGGGGGGTCATTGATTTTCCCTATATGCATATAGTAAACACTTAAAAAAATCTTCCTTTAAAGAACTGTAAGAGCTAGAGCTTAGATATTTGGCATGAAACATCTTCTAGTGAATGTCTACCAAGTTTGTTCAAATAAAAGCCCTGGGGTCAAAATTGGCCCCGCCCCAGGGGGTCATTGATTTTCCCTATATGCATAAAGTAAAAACTTAAAAAATCTTCTTTTAAAGAACCCAAAGAGCTAGAGCTTAGATATTTGGCATGAAACATCTTCTAGTGAATGTCTACCAAGTTTGTTCAAATAAAAAGCCCTGGGGTCAAAATTGGCCCCGCCCTGGGGGTAATTGATTTTCCCTATATGCATATAGTTTAAACTTAAAAAATCTTCTTTTAAAGAACCATAAGAGCTAGAGCTTAGATATTTGGCATAAAACATCTTCTAGTAAATGTCTACCAAGTTTGTTCAAATAAAAGCCCTGGGGTTAAAATTGGCCCCGCCCCAGGGGGTCATTGATTTTCCCTATATGCATATAGTAAAAACTTAAAAAATCTTCTTTTAAAGAACTGTAAGAGCTAAAGCTTATATATTTGGCATGAAACATCTTCTAGTGAATGTCTACCAAGTTTGTTCAAATAAAACCCCTGGGGTCCAAATTGGCCCCTCCCCAGGGGTCATTGATTTTCCTTATATGCATATAGTAAAAACTTAAAAAATCTTCTTTTAAAGAACTGTAAGAGCTAAAGCTTATATATTTGACATGAAACATCTTCTAGTGAATGTCTACCAAGTTTGTTCAAATAAAACCCCTGGGGTCCAAATTGGCCCCTCCCCAGGGGTCATTGATTTTCCTTATATGCATATAGTAAAAACTTATAAAATCTTCTTTTAAAGAACCCAAAGAGCTAGAGCTAAGATATTTAGCATGAGACATGTTCTAATGGGTGTCTACCAAGTATGTTCAAATAAAAGCCCTGGGGTCAAAACTGGCCCCGCCCCGGGGGTCATTGATTTTCCTTATATACATAGCAAAAACTTAAAAATCTTCTTTGAAAAAACCCAAATAACTAGAGTTTAGATATTAAGCATGAAACATCTTTAAGTAAATATCTACAAAGTTTGTTCAAATAAAAGCCCAGGGGTCAAAACTGGCCCTGCCCGAGGGGTGTCATTGTTTTTTACTCTATGTGTATAGTAAAAACTTAAAAAATCTTCTTTTAAAAAACCCAATGAGCTAGAACTTAGATGTTTTGCATGAAACATCTTCTTATGGGTGTCTACCAAGTCTGTTCAAATAAACAAATAAAAGCCCTTGGGTAAAAATTGGGCCGTGGGGGGGGGGGCTATATACAGGTGAGCGACCTCAGGGCCATCATGGCCCTCTTGTTTAACTTATAAATATTTTTTTACTCTAGAAGTATGTCTGATTGCTATTTTAAAACATTGCAAGCATTTCTTTAGATTTTATTGCATACATATGTGCTAAAGTGTTGTAAAAAAACATCTTCATAAGCATTTGTGTATTTATTTAATGGCCACCTTATTTTTATCAATTAAAATTATCTTTTCTAGTCATGTTACCATGTAGGAGATATTAATTTGTGAATGTACACAAATGTACTGATCATCAACAGTATGTGTAAATATATAGTAAACTTGCAGTGTGGCTGAGTGGCCTCTGGGATTAAAACCCGTAAGGGTCAAGCTGTTTTGTCTTGAGACCAAGAAATTTTATACAGGAAAGGATTGGAGAATGTGTCTATAAGCTTATAACTTCCTCCATGATCAAACTAAAACAAATTCTATATAAACTAAACATAGTAAATTATATATACATATATGTGTGCTTATTACTCCTTGAACAATTTATCCAAAGTGCAGGGCACCGTTTTACTAACATTGCGTAAGTTTTTCGTAAGTATTTACGTAACTTTACGCTTACGTTTAAACTTACGTGAATCGTAAGTGTGTTCCACAAAACGTTCGTAAGTTTTTTCTTAAACTTACGTTAAAATAGTGCGTAACTCTTCAAAGAAGGTTTAAGGGAGGCGTTTTGGTAATATTTAATGAACGCAAAACTGTTTTAAAAAGGCTGAACTGGTATTTCGTAGAGTCATTTACGGATACTCGGTAATGTTGCTGGACAATTCGTATTTTTAAGTGCATATTGTGCCGACGGCCATTCATCACACAGGGGTTTATCTCGATTTTGAATAAATGTATTTAAAGAGTAGAAAGGAAAACCCTATATGATTCATCATTGAAGATATTTAAAGTGTTTTGTTTGTTTTGAGAAGTGAGAAAACTGTAATGTCCGTAAGTGAAAATGCGGATTTTTTTCTCATTTTTATATGAAATATTTAGGTTATTCATGTAACCCACATTTTTTCAAATATATTTTTTTTTCTATTTATTTTTATTTAGTTTATACCTATCAAGTAAAGAAAACCCCTTGATTTTTAACGATTTTACACTAAAACTTGCGAAAAACATGCGTGAAAAGATGACACAAAAACGCCACATGCAAACAAAATTATATTAACGATTTTAGTTATCATTGCAGTTTTTGGTGAAGTAATGATGTCTGAATATTTGCCATAAAAAATAAGTGCAACAGATAATTTTATGTACATTTGCAAATCATATAAATTTAATGAACAAATAATGTCCATCATCATTTTGAGATACTCTCCTATTCCGTCTTCATTTACTTGATACAGTATAAAACAAATGAAATTTACTGAGTTTCAGTAAATATTATTTATAAAATTCTCAATAAATCAGCATCAAAAGCTCGTGAAAGTAAAATAATATAAAACACTTAATAACTGATTTATAATACATTGGGTCCAGGTCAATCACAACTAAAGGCGGAATGTGATACCAGTATATTTTTGGAGAAGATAAGATTTAAAAGACTTTCGTCTTTAAGCTGATAGGACGACTTCCGTATTCGTATATTATTTTTTTTTACTAAATTTAATTTTTAATAAGTCCGTTAAGTCACATTATCCTTTTCTTATTTAGACTTTACTTTTCTAGAGCCGCTTTCACCATTTAAATATATTACCTGTCATATCCGTCTCTAAAATTCTCGTTTTCCTGCTCTGCCATTATTCATAGATGATGTCAGTCGTACATACGTGAGTTTTAAGTCAACAAATTTTAAGCGTAACTTTACGTAAAAACTTACGAAATTCTTACTTACGCAAATTTTTTAGTAAAACGCTTTTACAAAAAAAATCAGACGTAAGTTATAACTTACGCAAATCTTAGGCGTAAGTACGTTAGTAAAACGCTGCCCAGGTGTACAGATGTAAAAACTGTCTGGCATTTTGGTCATTGAAAACATCTGTTAAATTTGGCAAAGATTAGGAAAGTCTTATTAACATGGATTTTTTGTTTTATTTTCATTGTTGTATTTTTGCAGGATTCATATCGTCAAGTTATGAAAATGCGAGCAAAAGATTTACGTAAACGATTAATGGTAAAGTTTAAAGGAGAAGAAGGGTTAGATTATGGTGGTGTAGCAAGGTAAATATACTAAAAAACATTATATTCTTCGTGTATCATTTACTTAGTTTAAACAATTTTGAGGGGGAAAAAATCTCAAGTTTTATGTTAATGAACAGGTTACTTGTCCAATTTTTGTTACAAAGGCAAAAGACTGAGATCTTAGCTTATTTATAGAATGTTTTTATTAATTAAAGTGAAAATTATTTTAGACTGTTTTAAATCTTGGTCAATATTATATAAGCATACTGTTTTATCATTGCAAACCACTTGCCCCTCACGGCTGTGGGTTCGAATCCCGACAGGGACTTTGGATTCTTTCATGTGAGGAAGCTATCCAGCTAGCTTACGGAACGTTGGTGATTCTACTCAGGTGCCAGTTCGTGCCTGAAAAAATGCACGGAGGGGCACCTGAGCTCTTCCTCCACCAGTAAAGCTGGAATGTTGCGAAATGACCTTTACTGTGTCGGTGTGACGTATAACCCATATCAAACAAAAGCATCATCATCATTATTATTATCATTATTATTATGATGATGATGATTATAATTATTATTCTTGTTATCATTATAATTGTTATTATAGTATGACTATTATAATGGATATTGTATATTTACAGGGAATGGTTTTGTCTACTGTCTCATGAAATGTTAAATCCATACTACGGTTTGTTCCAGTACGCGAGAGATGATATTTACACTTTACAAATCAACCCAGACTCTCATGTTAACCCAGTAAGTGTAAAATACCTCCTTGTTAGTTTGTTAAATGTTTGGTATTGTCCCTTGAAATGATAGTCTTACTTTAAAGTTTAACCTGACTTGCAAATAAGTGCAAAGGGCAAGTTTTTACGCAAGTCCCTTCAACTTCGACTTACCAAAGTTCTACTGTATTTGCATTTTAAAATTACCTTAGAAGTTCATGATAAATTTTAAAAGTAAGGTGATAAATTCTAATGAACTTGAGGATTCTGACTTGTAAAAAGCAATGAAGACAGAATAGTGCTACCAGTATACAATCATGCCAGCCTATATTTTAGTCTAACCAGACTATATACTGTAGAGTCCGGACTATTCCTGAGCAAGCTGTCCAGCTAGATTTATAGAATGTTGATGGTTCTACTCACCTGACCCTTTGTGCCTGAAATAATGCATGAAGCGGCACCTGAGGTCCTTCTCCATCAGTAAAGATGGTAAGTTGCCACATGACCTATACAGTGTTGGTGTAATGATTAAATCCCTCATTGCAAAAGAAAAACGAAAAGGTTTTGACTATTTGATTTATATTCTGTCCCTGATCCTTCTAATGAACTGTTTTAAAGTCAAAACAAGGAAAGTCTGGTAAACGAATTTTCTAGTATAAAGGCTAGTATGCATTTCCACTTATACTCTTTTTTTGAGGCTGTATGTGAAATATATTTCATCATGTCAATTTTGACGTCTGTAGGCATTAGCAGACAGGATTATAGAGTAAAAAAAAATAACTTCAAACAAATTTGTGTAAAATCTGTTGCATGTCTGCCAGAAAGTGACTGTATATTTTTCATCAAGGTAGTAAAATTGCTATGAATATTTAGTGTAGGAGGTTTTTGCCTCCTTGAGGGAAAATTTACAACAATTTGTCACCTAGATTCTAGACAACGTGTTGAGTTGTATAGACCAACTAACCTGTTTTAATTGGACAAAAGTGTTATATCAGAATACAAGAAAAGTTAATGATATAATGTTTAAATGTTGTATATATAATTTGTTGACCTATTCCTGTATATAATATCACAAAAACGGTTTAAGTAGACCAATAATATTATAGTGTTTTATCTTCGTAAATAAAAAATAAAACTTACCTTTAAGTTTTTCTTGAAGTTCACAGAACTGTTTTGAAAGAAATTTCATGACAATATTGTAGATTTTAATTAATTTTTAGCTCACCTGTCACAAAGTGACAGGGTGAGCTTTTGTGATCGCTTTTCATCCGGCGTCCGGCGTCCGTCCGTAAACTTTTACTTTAAATGACATCTCCTCATAAACCGCTGAGCCAATTTCATCCAAACTTCACAGGAATGTTCCTTTGGTGGTCACCTTTAAAAATTGTTCAAAGAATTTAATTCCATGCAGAACTCTGGTTGCCATGGCAACCGATAGAAAAAACTTAAACTATCTTCTTTTAAAGAACTCAAAGAGCTAGAGCTAAGATATTTAGCATGAAACATCTTCTAATAGGTGTCTATCAAGTTTGTTCAAATAAAAGCCATTGGGTCAAAATTGGCCCCGCCCCAGGGGGTCATTGATTTTCCCTATATGCATATAGTAATAACTTATAAAATCTTCTTTTAAAGAACCCAAAGAGCTAGAGCTAAGATATTTAGCATGAAACATGTTCTAATGGATGTCTACCAAATTTGTTCAAATAAGAGCCCTGGGGTCAAAATTTGTCCTGCCCTGGGGGTCATTGATTTTCCATATATGTGTAAAGAAAAAACTTTAAATTAAAAATTCTTTGGAAAAAAACAAATAGCTAGAGTTTAGATACTAAGCATGAAACATCTTCTAGTAAGTGTCTACAATGTTTTTTCAAATAAGAGCCCTTGGGTCAAAATTGGCCCTGCCCCGGGGGTCATTGATTTTATTTATGTGTATAGCAAAAACTTATAAATTCTTCTTTGATAAAACCCAAATAGCTAGAGTTAAGATATTTAGCATGAAACATCTTCCAGTTAAGGTCTTCAAAGTTTGTTCAAATAAAGCCCTAGGGTCAAAATTGGCCCTGCTCCGGGGGACATTGATTTTCCTTATATGTTATAGCAAAAACTTAAAAATCTTCTTTAAAAAAAAACAGAATAGCTAGAGTTTAGATATCAAGCATGAAACATGTTCTAGTGAGTGTCTCCAAAGTTTGTTCAAATAAAAGCCCTGGGGTCAAAACTGGCCCTGCCCTAGGGGTTTCATTGCTTTTAACTATATGTGTATAGTTAAAACTTAAAAAATCTTTTTTTTAAAAACTCAACGAGCTAGTCCTTAGATGTTTAGCGTGAAATATCTTCTAATGGGTGTCTACCAAGTTTGTTCAAATAAAAGCCCTGGGGTTTAAACTGGCCCCGCCCTGGGGGCCTATATACAGGTGAGCGACTTCAGGGCCATCATGGCTCTCTTGTTGATTAAGTATTTAATCTTAACCTGCTGGAACTGAAAATGAGTAGCATCAGATTAACGTTTGCCCCCAATATAGAGCCAGGTTAACCTGCACATCAGTACATGGCCTGGCTCTATATTGTTGCCTGCTGAAATTTTATTTGTCATCTTGATTTCCTCTAAAATTGATAATGGACAGTTCCAAAAATGGAAACTGGACATGTCCATTAAAGAAATTCAGCAGCTTAAGTTTATGGGAAGTTTAAGATACTGCGTGCTTTTTATTTGAAAAATATGATAAAATGCAACCACTGGCTTATGCAAACCATTTTGATAACAGTTATTTGTGATTACACAGAAATTGATACTTTGATTATTGTTTATGCTTAAAATTGGGGGGAAAAAAACCTGTTGTTGTAATAGAGCATGCTTGTTATTATGTTAACAATGGTTTGATATTGATGGTTTTATTATTTCAGGAGCATTTGTCGTATTTTCATTTTGTTGGACGTATACTGGGCATGGCAATATTTCACGGACACTACCTGGATGGAGGCTTCACAATGCCTCTGTATAAACAGTTATTATCTAAACAAGTGACCTTAGATGACCTTGAAAGTGTTGATCCAGACCTTCATAGAAGTTTACTATGGATGTTGTAAGTTGATTAATAAATTATGGGGATAATATTGTAAATATGTGTTTTATAGTCAAATCTTTCTTTAAAAATCACACTCGTAAAGCTTGTACTGTTAATGAATTGTCTGCTGTTATTGATATTGTTTTAAAATATGATGGTGTTTGAATAAATATATAATATTTGATAATATGAATGATTAAGAAACTACCTTTGATTATAGGAGTTTGTGTGAACTCGTTTTAGTGGTTTCAATATAATTATGATATGTGTTAACTCTTTGAATGTTACCAATGTTATTAGCAAAGATTACTTTTCTGTACCATCAGTGTAGTATCTGCCTTGTTTGGGTAATCAACAGTTGCTCATTTTAAGCTATTAGATATACAAACCCCTTGAAATGAAAATGGAAAGTTTCCTTTTCAAATTAGGACAAGTTCAGTGTAAAACAATACATGCAGTGGTACTGGTTAAGGTGTAATCTAATTGTGTATATTTCAGGGATAATGATATAGAGGAAGTCTTAGACCACACGTTCTGTGTAGAAAGTCACTCATTCGGTCAGTTCCAACAACATGAACTTAAACCTGGTGGTGATGACATCAAAGTTACAGAGGAAAACAAGAAAGAATATGTCAAGTATGTGTGATCACAATAAATAATATAATATTTATGGGGGGGGGGAGCAAAAAGAAACTGTTTCAGATTTTTATTTTAAGTTTCAACCAACTTAAGGAATACATCTTTATGTCCATTATTAACTTGTACAACTAAAAATATTTTCATGCATGATTATTTGGAAAGGTTTGTGGCTCAACTCAGGCACCTGGCTTGTGCATAGAATATTGTACAGATGAGCATGTTGGGGTCTTTATTCATCAGTCATTCATCAGTGAAAGCTGGTATAGACTTCATTAAGCTTTGACAATGTTGATGTTACTTTTAGCCCAAGACTTCTGGAGCCACAAAGTTATGAACTCTCATGACATTATTTCTGTATGTTATATATTTATGTATGCAGGTTGTATGTACAGTGGGTATTTATGAGAGGTATTGAAGCCCAGTTCCTCGCGTTACAGAAAGGTTTCCACGAGATCATTCCACAACATTTACTCCGACCATTTGATGAAAGAGAATTAGAGGTTAGGCTCATATATATTACATTGATATCTTTTGTATCTTGAAATATTATACAGTGCTTAGGCTTATAATCTGCTTTCAACATCCATGAGAATTGAAAGATATTTATGTCCAATGATCTACTTTGAATACATATGACATATTTGATTTAAACCCCCGCCGGGAGTTTTTAGCTGACCTGTCACAAAGTGACAGGGTGAGCTTTTGTGATCGCTTTTCGTCCGGCGTCCGTCCGTCCGTCGTCCGTAAACTTTTACTTTAAATGACATCTCCTCTTAAACCACTAAGCCAATTTCATCCAAATTTCACAGGAATGTTCCTTTGGTGGTCACCTTTGAAACTTGTTCAAAGAATTTAATTCCATGCAGAACTCTGGTTGCCATGGCAACCAAAAGAAAAAACTTTAAATATCTTCTTCTAAAAAACCCAAAGAGCTAGAGCTTAGATTTTTGGCATGAAACATCTTCTGGTGAGTGTCTACCAAGTTTGTTAAAATAAAAGCCCTTGGGTCAAAATTGGCCCCGCCCCAGGGGGTCATTGATTTTCCCTATATGCATATAGTAAAAACTTAAAAAATCTTCTTTTAAAGAACCCAAAGAGCTAGAGCTTAGATATTTAGCATGAAACATCTTCTAATGGGTGTCTACCAAGTTTGTTCAAATAAAAGCCCTGGGGTCAAAATTGGCCCTGCCCCAGGGGGTCATTGATTTCCCTATATGCATATAGTAAAAAATTAAAAAAAATTCTTTTAAAGAACCAAAAGAGCTAGAGCTAAGATATTTAGCATGAAACATCTTCTAATGGATGTCTACCAAGTTTGTTCAAATAAAAGCCCTGGGGTCAAAATTGGCCCTGCCCCAGGGGGTCATTGATTTTCCCTATATACATATAGTAAAAACTTAAAAAATCTTCTTTTAAAGAACCAAAAGAGCTAGAGCTAAGATATTTAGCATGAAACATCTTCTAATGGATGTCTACCAAGTTTGTTCAAATAAAAGCCCTGGGGTCAAAATTGTCCCCGCCCCAGGGGGTCATTGATTTTCCCTATATACATATAGTAAAAACTTAAAAAAATCTTCTTTTATAGAACCAAAAGAGCTAGAGCTAAGATATTTAGCATGAAACATCTTCTAATGGATGTCTACCAAGATTGTTCAAATAAAAGCCCTGAGGTCAAAGTTGGCCCCACCCCAGGGGGTCATTGATTTTCCATTTATACATATAGTAAAAACTTAAAAAATCTTCTTTTAAAGAACCCAAAGAGCTAGAGCTAAGATATTTAGCATGAAACATCTTCTAATGGGTGTCTACCGAGTTTGTTCAAATAAAAGCCCTGGGGTCAAAATTGGCTTCGTCCCAGGGGGTCATTGATTTTCCCTATATGCATATAGTAAAAACTTAAAAAATCTTCTTTTAAAGAACCAAAAGAGCTAGAGCTAAGATATTTAGCATGAAACATCTTCTAATGGATGTCTACCAAGTTTGTTCAAATAAAAGCCCTGTGGTCAAAATTGGCCCCGCCCCGGAGGTCATTCATTTTCCCTATATGTGTAAAACTATAGCAAAAATTGAAAAATCTTCTTTGAAAAAACTCAAATAGCAAGAGTTTAGATATTAAGCATGAAGTATCTTCTAGTGAGTGTCCTCAAAGTTTGTTCAAATAGAAGCCCTGGAGTCAAAATTGGCCCCGCCCCGGGGGACATTGATTTTCCTTATACAAGTATAGCAAAAACTTAAAAATCTTCTTTTAAAAAACCCGAATAGCTAGAGTTTAGATATTAAGCATGAAACATTTTCTAGTAAGTGTCTACAAAGATTGTTCAAATAAAAGCCCTGGGGTCAAAACTGTCTTGCCCCAGGTGTGTCATTGTTTTTAACTATATGTGTAAAGAAAAAACTTAAAAAAATCTTCTTTTAAAAATCCCAACGAGCTAGACCTTAGATGTTTAGCATGAAACATCTTCTAATGGTTGTCTACAAAGTTTGTTCAAATAAAAGCCCCGGGCTTTAAACTGGCCTTGCTCCGGGGACCTATGTACAGGTGAGCGACTTCAGGGCCATCATGGCCCTCTTGTTTAATATAACTTTTCAGCTACAATTAATTAGCTATTTGAGTATCATGTCTCCAGATTTAGAGAATGATACAGATATAGATATAAAACCTTATGATATGGGATAACAAATGTAATAGCAGAGAAAAGCAATGTTGCCTGTTCATGATCTATTTTTTGTTTTTCAAATCGTTAACATATAAAGTATATATATAAACATAAATAAATAAGTGTTCTAGTTGGCTCATCATTATTCTGTTACAGTCTAAGCTACAACATAGTTTTGGTTCTTATGCAAATATAAAAGCATAGATTAGGTACTGAGAAAAAAAATGCCAACACATCATTATATAACCATAAGTTCCTTTGATCATGGAACAAAATCTAGTGTAAATTCATTATTGAAAAGTTGATAGCTTTCTAAAATAACTCTACTTAAATATATGACATAGCTTATAGTACTGGAGGAGACATTATTTGAGCCGCGCCATTACAAAACCAACATAATGGGTTTGCGACCAGCATGGATCCAGACCAGTCTGCGCATCCGCGCAGTCTGATCAGGATCCATGCTGTTCGCTATCAGTTTCTGTACTTGTTATACAGTTTGAAAGTGAACAGCATGGATCCTGATCAGACTACGCGGATGCGCAGGCTGGTCTGGATCCATGCTGGTCGCAAACCCATTGTGTTGGTTTTGTCATGGTGCGGCTCATTTCTATTATAGATATGACATGTCTGAGTTACAGGACATATTTAACATGAATATATAACACAGACATTTAGATTGTATCCGTGCATGTGACATTTAGCTGTTTCTATCATGAAAGATTTTATGTCATTATGTTTACAAGAGTGGAAAATTACCAATCTAATCTTGATGTCTGGCGACATTTGTACACTTAACTTAACTAATATTTGTTAAAGGTGATATATATTATTTTCGTCTGTAATCAAATGCTTGGTAACTTTATTGTTTTTGGTGCAATGATATAAAATATAGAAAAAATAGGGAGATATAAGGGGGAGAAAAAATAGAAAAGAATGTTTATTTAGGAGAATTTTTGTGTAGATGTAAATTTGAGGGTAAATGGTTTGTTGTTTCATCTGGTTATATGAAGTATACAAAAACTATATCTTTGATAGTTATGAACCATTTTATGTGAACTTTTAAAGGGGGAAACAACTATTGTTACTCTTTAATTGTACAAAAAAACCCAGTAAAATCTTTTATTTCATACTCTGAAAAAAATACTTGAATATTGTGGTCATCAAGTACGTTAGTTTATTGAGCATCAACTTACAGCAATAAATGCATATCATATATATATGGCCATATGACAACTTTATTCTTAAGTCTAGAGTGTGTAAAAGTTAGATCCTAACACTTTACATACATATAGCAATAATATCAGACCTACTGTGTATACACACTGCCACAGTCATATGTTGACAGCATTCATAAGTCGAGTGTGTTAAAGTTACATCTAAACTCTTTACAACTTTACAGCAATTGTAACTGGCCTAGCATATATACCTGGTCATATGTTGACTTTATTTATAAGTCGTGAGTATATTTTGATGGGGAAAAGACCCTTGCTTTTCATTGAAAATGGAAAGGATATTAATATGATAAATATCAAATTCACAAAATTTAGTAGCCAACAACATAGAGTCAATTCAGAGTGTCCAGATGTGTAGACCTGTCAGCCTCTATACTAGTGGCATAGGTGTGTCATCCCCTCTGGCACACAAAAGGTTTACTTATGGTTTTTTATTTTATGTGAGTTGTGTTTGAATTAATTTATGTTATATTATATTACAGTTGATGATAGGTGGATTAGGGAAGATAGATTTAGACGACTGGAAGTTACATACAAGATTAAAACATTGTACACCAGATACTAGTATAGTGAAATGGTTCTGGAAGGCGGTAGATAGTTACGATAATGAGATGAGGGCTAGATTGTTACAGTTTGTCACTGGAAGTTCACGAGTTCCATTACAAGGATTTAAAGCATTACAAGGTAACTTAAATATCTAAATTTTGAGGATAAATTGTGGTCTAGTGGCTCCGGTATATGCAGCTTAACAGGCAGATAGTGAGTTCAAGCCCTAGTTAGGTCATGATCATATTACCTTGTATGACACAAGCACTGACTTATTGAGAAAGCAAGTTTGAGAGTATCAAGTCAAGTAATTAAATTGCAAACAATTCCAATTTTATTGCAACACCTATTACAAGTTAAGGAAGTTAAGGAGTCAAATCAAAGGGCTGCAGCTCTATGGTATTTTCTGATCTTTGCAATCTAAATCAGACTGACTATCTGTATGTACTTCCTGTATAAGTTTATTTTTATATACTATAATTCATCTTATGCAGCGACAGCGTTTTGATTTTCTTCTATAACAGTTTGAGATTTACATATGGAATTTTGCCATGAAAAAAAAATAAGAATTGCCTCGATCTAGGATTGGAACCATAGGCCTCTCACACCTCAACGAGACCGCTTACCTCTGCACCACGTGCGAAGTTTATAATATGAACCTGAAATAAAAACGAATAAATTATGTAATTCTAAAAATTGGACAATTTCATTTCGTGTGTTTGTAATCCTTATTAATTTCGAGGTTATTTTGTTCACGATTAAAACGTGTTTTTTAACACTGATGGAAAATAATTTTATCGAAAAATCTTCCGCCCAAAAAAGTCCCAATGATAAGTCCCGGGCTGAAGTGATTCCCCGGGTCTTCAAAAAAACCAATACAATCCTTTAAACTAAATATTATTTTTTTTTTTTTTTTTTTTTTTTTTTTTTTTTTTTTTTTTTTTTTGGGTTTTTTTTTTTTTTTTTTTTTTTTTTTTTTTTTTTTTTTTTTTTTTTTTTTTTTTTTTTTTTTTTTTTTTTTTTTTTTTTTTTTTTTTTTTTTTTTTTTTTTTTTTTTTTTTTTTTTTTTTTTTTTTTTTTTTTTTTTTTTTTTTTTTTTTTTTTTTTTTTTTTTTTTTTTTTTTTGGTTTTTTTTTTTTTTTTTTTTTTTTTTTTTTTTTTTTTTTTTTTTTTTTTTTTTTTTTTTTTTTTTTATTTTTGGTTTTAAAGGTAAAAAAAAAATTGCCCAAAAATTTTTTGGGGGTTATATCAAAAAAATTCAAAATTTTAAATTTGGGTTTTTTTAAACCCCATTTTTAAAAGAGCAGTCAATTGGAATTAAATTGGAATTAAAAGAAATATTTAATTTTTTTTATGCTTTATTATAATTGAACTTTTATTTTGGGTTGGGTTTTTAAAAAGGAAATTTTTTTTGAAAAAATTTAAAATGGAAATGTTTAAAAAAAAAATTCATTTACAAAACTTTTTCGTTTTTATAATGTCTTTAATTAGCCATTTTTAAAGGAAAAAAAGGGGTAAATAAAAGGTCGGAAAAAATCAAATTCCCCCTTACAGTTCGGTATAATTTCTCTTAATACATTTCTCAATATCATCTATCTGTCTATATACCAATGTGACTTAAAGAACCTGTATGTTTTGTGATTGATATTGTTACTGTGTTCACGGCAATTTTGCAAAAATGTATATGGATATAATTATGCAAATAAAACCATTTTCAAACATCAAAGAATATGTAAAATGTTTATTGCAAATATTTGTGCACATTAAATTTAATCAATAAATTGCATGCATTGATTTCTTATTGGAAAATTTGACTTAGAATTTATAGAAAATAAAATTCTAATTACCTCCCTTTAATGGCCTTTATTTACATGGATTGTTAAATTGAGTGATATCTTTCTAAATTATGCTTATTTGAACTTACAATATTGACAAATCTTAATTTGAGCATCATATTTATGAAATAAAACCGTGAAAAAATTGTGTTACAGGATCTTTACTGTAAACATATCCATATCCAAAGCTTTTTCTGGTTTGGTATCAATATTTTTTCCCGTATTAATTATGCAGCCATAGAAAGGTAAATTAAAAAATGCTGCCTAAAAATTTTTCCGTGGGCACTCTATAATCAAAAAAAATATCTAACACATGTCTTAACCCAGTTTACTCAGGTAGTACATTACACACACATCGATTGATGAACCGACGCTACGTCACTTGGTACATGCTAACTGTGTAATTGAGATAGAGCTAGGTGTGTAGACTTTGTTTGCTATAGTGCTGGATTATAATTGGACTTAATTATTTTGGCCCTCTGGGTGTTATAATAGGTAATCTTTATCTGATTAACGGACAATTAAAAGGTGTGAAAGTCGTTTAAATCAGACAAAACATTGCATTGGGACCAGACAATTAGGGTCGCTTGTCACATATGACAGGGTGTCGTTTAATTCAGACCATTTATATAGGAAAATACGTTGGGAGTACTGAAACAAGGTCGGATAAGACAGGGAGTCGTTTAAATCAGGGGGTCGCTTAGGCAGTCTCGACTGTATATATTCCACTACTCGACAGTCAGATTTATTTGTGTACTACGCTCTGGAGTATTCGGTAATCGGCATAGCTAAAAATAGCATTTTCATTGATTAAAATGATATTCATGATAATCCGAAGCTTTACGGAAATAGCCGAACATTTTTCATTGGGTAAAAAAGATATTCATCCGCGAAATTTGTGATTGTAACCTCATATTTCTATTGACTAATCTAAACTTTAAATGCAGTGTAATTCGTTAAATGCCTACATTAAAAATTATTCTTTCTTTTAAATTGCTGGTTTTTAAGCAGTTTTGAGTGAGAACTACTTTGCGTTGTTAGGACTGTTAGGAAATTTTGTGTTAGACCGTGGATGTTAGCTATGTATTTACTGATCTTACGATCAGAAAATACAAAAACAAGCTACAATGGTATGCAAAACATTGATTAAATGGTCAAGGCTTTAGGAAAAACAGAAAAGAATAACAATTTACAGTTATTAAATTTTGACTTGAACTAAAGTTGAAAAACATTTGGTTTATTTTATTATTTAGTAGAACAATACAGCATTTTTGTTTGAAATTGCAAATTAATTTTGGACAGATTGAAATATTAATAATAGTTAGATGTTTTACTTTCTAATCCATTTTCAAAGTATGAATAAGTAATGTACTTTATGATATACATGTTGTATATATATGACATGTAGTATCAGCATTATATAATTAAGACTTTACTTAAAGATATTAATAGAGCTTACATAATGCGTATACCTTATCATTATTTTGACGTACAGGATCTACAGGTGCTGCCGGACCACGAATGTTTACCATCCACCAAGTTGATACAAATACTGATAACTTACCCAAGGCTCATACATGGTAAACTTTTTCTCACACATTCTTTATTACACATATTCCTAGAAAAACTGGAGAAGAAATTGAATTCCTAGAATTCCAGAAAAAGTCAAGCTATAAGGAATTTTGTGTCCTTTATTTACGCTTTAAATGTTTCAATGATGAGTACTTTCTTGTGCCACAAGAACATCTCATTAATCTGACCAGGCTGTGGCCTGTTTCCTGCTTAACCATCTGCAAAATTTATTTAATGGAATTGTCCTGCTTCTATATTGTTAACTGTCCATTATCAATCTTGGGGAAATCAAGATGAAAATTTAGTCGACCAACAGTATAGAACATGATGACCAGGCTGGACTGGCTGTTAAACTGGTGGCAAAGGGTTAACATATTTAGTTCTACCAGGGTGAAGGTTGATATTTATACCCCCAAAAACGAAGTTTGGGGGGGTATATAGGAGCCACCCAGTGGTCGGTTGGTCGGTCGGTCGGTCCAGACGTCCGTTGCATTTTCCTTGTCCGGACCATAACTTGAAGACTAATGGTTGGAATTCAATATAACTACATACAATGGTCAAGCACATTGAGAGGAAGTGCAGTGCACAAGAACCATAACTCTATCTTGACTAATTACAGAGTTATTGCCCTTTGTTACTTTTCCTTGTCCAGGGCATAACTTGAAAACTACTGGTTGGAATTCAAAACAACTTCATACAATTGTCAAACACAATAAGGGGAAGTGCAGTGCACAAGAACCATAACTCTATCTAAAGTAATTACAGAGTTATTGCCCTTTGTTACTTTTCCATTGCTTTCTTTTGTCCGGACCATAACTTGAATACTAATTGTTGGAATTCAATATAACTACATACAATGGTCAAGCACATTGAGAGGAAGTGCAGTGCACAAGAACCATAACTCTATCTTGACTAATTACAGAGTTACTGCCCTTTGTTACTTTTCCTTGTCCAGGGCATAACTTGAACACTACTGGTTGGAATTCAAAACAACTTCATACAATTGTCAAACACACAATAAGGGGAAGTGCAGTGCACAAGAACCATAACTCTATCTAAAGTAATTAAAGAGTTATTGCCCTTTTGTTACTTTTCCATTGCTTTCTTTTGTCCGGACCATAACTTGAAGACTAATGGTTGGAATTCAATATAACTACATACAATGGTCAAGCCACATTGAGAGGAAGTGCAGTGCACAAGAACCATAACTCTATCTTGACTAATTACAGAGTTATTGCCCTTTGTTACTTTTCCTTGTCCGGGGCATAACTTGTAAATTACTGGTTGGAATTCAAAACAACTTCATACAATTGTCAAACACAGTAAGGGGAAGTGCAGTGCATAAGAACCATAACTCTATCTAAAGTAATTACAGAGTTATTGCCCTTTGTTACTTTTCCATTGCTTTCTTTTGTCAGGAGTATAACTTGAAGACTAATTGTTGGAATTCATTATAACTTCATACAATGGTCAAGCACATTGAGAGGAAGTGCAGTGCACAAGAACCATAACTCCATCTTGACAGATTACAGAGTTATTGCCCTTTGTTACTTTTCCTTGTCCAGAGCATAACTTGAAAACTACTGTTTGGAATTCAATACAACTTCATACAGTTGTCAAGGACATTAAAAGGAAGTGCAGTGCATAAGAGCCATAACTCCATTTTGACAAAATACAGAGTTACTGCCCTTTGATACTTTTCCTTGTCTGGAGCATAACTTAAAACGTAATGGTTGAAATTCAAAACAACTTCATACAATGGTCAAGCACAAAAAGAGGAAGTGCAGTGCACAAGAACTAAAACTCCATCTTCAGTATTTATAGAGTTATTGCCCTTTGTTTATTTTCTTTGTCTTTCTGGACTTATTACAGAGTAATTCAATAAAACTTCATCAATGGCCAACCACATTGAAAGGAAATGCAATAAACAAGAACCACAACTATCTTTAATTGCCCACAACCATAACTCTATATATCAATTCTTTTACAAGATATTCTGTTACTAGTAACATCCTCATTTCCGAAGCAGTCTTGTGGGGGTATTAATCACATTTAGTGATAGTTCTAGTATTATTTTGATGTTGAAATCTACTTGTGATAGACAGTTTTCTTAATTTAAAGCAGGACAAGTAAATATTTATCTCAGTAAACATTAAATTTGTAAGCTATTTTATATCCCACTGATAAGATATATAATAAGGAAGAAAACTTGTATAGCTTTTGAAAATGTAGTCGTTTGGAGTTTATTATCTTTATTTTCTTATTTTCAGTTTCAACCGTATAGATATCCCACCATACGAGAGTTATGAGAAACTTTATTCTAAACTGACATGTGCTGTTGAAGAGACGTGTGGATTTGCTGTAGAATGAACAGTTTATTTCTATGCATTGTGGGATTGACTTCTCACAGGAAGTGATGTCATTTCCTGTTTTTGATTTATTTCGAACAAAGAAATATTCCAGTAAATGTGAATAAAAAGTCAGAAAACTGCAATATAAATTGTGAACATTTACATGGCATTAACAGTGAAGAATACGAATGAAAAATCATACAGAGCAAAGTAAGACGAAGGTATTTGTTCTAGAAGAGTGTTCTGATACTCGGACTTCCTGGTTGTGATAATTATAGTTGTCAGGTCCATACACTCATTGACATTATTCAAACTTCAGGTGAACACAAAAACATTATGCAAGAAATTGCCACAAGTATTACAACACAAGTGAACACTTTCATTTGAATATATGTAATAAGTATCAACATATAAACTACACTGTATGTACACTGTGTGTACTCCATATGTGTAAAGTATCTGTGTATTATGATTTATTAACACCAGTCAATTTCTACAAAATGCTTAGCACAGGATCTGGACTGAGGTCAGAAAAGAGCAAAAAGTAACTTTATGGAAATAGAGGAAAGTGAGGTATGGTGTTGGTATAATGGTATGAGACTATACTGCACATGACAATAAGTCTGGTACAGTGACTTGTGACGTGACGGGATACAGTAGTTGACCAGTATTGTGATATTATATACATGTGTTGTTTGTTTTATAGTTGTACAATATAATTACTAATATTTACTCACAATGTAAGCAAAATGAATTTGTTTTTTGCCCAGTGCTCATGTAATAATTGATTAATAAGTAATTGATTTACTAACCAGATTTTTAAAATTGAATTTCAAAGTAGATGTAATAAGCAATTTAGTGGACCAAGTCTTCAACACAGAGTACTTTACAATTGAGAGAGGCAGCAAAAATCAGTTTACTATATACTAGTATACTCTGTGTTATAGTAAGATGTTTGGGTCTGTCTTCGAAATCAAAACTGGAAAATCATCACCATATGATATTTGATAATAAAAGAAATGTGACATAAAGGCTTAATTTAGTGTATTACAATCATGCTGTGCTACTGGCACATTAGCAGGTTTTTTTCCGCATATTTATAGCAAAAAGAAGAAAAAAAGTTGTAAGAGAGAAAAAAATGTTTTTTAAGCATATCAGAAGGAAAAAAGCCCTGTCTTGTCTCTGGAGAACGGTTTTTGTATTACATGATTTTATATCCAAGCCTCTCCAGAACTCCAGTCATTTTGAAAGTCTGTTATTTAGCCTTGAGATTCCACTTGAAGAAGAGCGAGATTTTCTGTAAAATAGTCAACATGCTTAAAGACAATCTGTTCTTGTTGTTTTGTGTAAATTTACTGAAATCTATCTCAGCATTCAGGTTTACAAACTAAAGTTCTATGATTGAAAAGACAACTGCTGTGAGCATTTTGTATGTTTCTTCTTTTTTTTTTGCTAAGTTATATACTCCACAGGGTGAGCTGATTTATGTATATTTCTGAACTTTTCTTTATTTACTCTGTTTATTTACAGGGTTTTTTTTTTCTTCTTTTCTTTTACATAAATGTTAACTCTGTAAACTCAGAGACCCGAAATTGCTCCTGCCCTTTCTAAATATTTCCTGCCCTTTTCAAATATTTCCTGCCATGTAAAATAGTTAAAAACACAAAGTGCACTTAGTCAATATTTATTTTGTGATGAGGGAAAGGAAATGTTTATATATTTTTAATCATAAATATAATACTGATATTATTGCAACATGCAATGCTATTATCTTTCTTAAATGAATGAATTTCATAAATTTTACAAACAAGTTTCTAAACTGGATATGAGCTCAATGTCCTGGTAATTGGATAATGTTCTATATATAGGGCTAAAAATCATGACATAATTTTCTATATTTAGACTTTCTATATTTAGAAACATACATGTATTTGTTGCCTTTCCTTAACTTGTCTTTCATTATCTCTATTTGATGTTGTACAAAATTCTATGTTTATTGCCAGTACCCTTTTTGTATGATAAATAATATTTTCACACAATTCACTCAATTGTAAATATAACTACCATCCCCCGTTCTGATTTTGTACAAGAGTGTATTTGTTTTCATAATTTCAATATTTATATATATAATGATATATTTATCAGCATTTTATTTAGTCTCTATTTTGATAGAATTATTTAAATGGGAGTATATGGGCTGAACAAATGTTGATATTTTCATAGAAATGACAAATAAATGAATAAAGAAAGTAATTTTCTAGCTTAGGTTAATATGGCCAATTTATGATTAATTTATCAATTTATTATTGTGTGTATACTTATCTGTAGATATAGTTCTATTTGGGGAATTTTTTTTGCAGAAGGACAGGTATATAAAATTATAATTTTAAAATTTATAGTAAAACATTTGAGAAAATAAACCAATAAATTTAATGGGCATTGTTTCCTTATCGTTATTTTACACACCATTTTTTTTTATAAAAATCCTTTTACATTGACATAATGAGTGGGTGTGTTTCTGTGTATTTTATATTGTGTATATTTTGCTATAGATCTATGCATATATGCATTGAGGAGTGATTTATTTATGTTAACACAGGTGTTGAAGTTTGTGTAATCTACCATATCATATGTACATAGTCTCACATCAGCATGTGTAAATCTATAACTTTACTCATACATTATATATATGTGAAAATTGTTAATTGGTTTTTAATTGATCACAGAATTTCCATGTCCTGGATATTTTATCTAGAATTATACAATATGCAGTCATGAAACAAGTATTTAGAAAGAATGTCGTTCTTGTATGGATTCTTCCTCTATATGCAAATTTTAACTCTATGAATTGATGAAAGTATACAATTGTGAAGCGAGGTTTAGAATATTTGACTTTTACCATGCTAAATATCTTAAATGGACTTGTCTTCCTTTCAGTCTAAACAAAAACATTATCATTTTTACGGAAAATTTCAAAAATATGTACTGACTGAATAGCTAACAGTGCAGGCCATGATCAGACGTACATATTTGCCAGCTGATCTTGTTCTGCACTGGTCATATAGACAGCAGACTAAAAATCAAGTGAAGAATATGCCCATTGTATAATTGATATATTATATGTACTAATCAGTCCTAGTTATAATTAATGTACAATTGACAATTTTGTTATTAATGGTTTTCATAATATTTTTACATGTAATAATGTTGCCAACAAAAGAAATGTATACCATATTACTATTTCTTCATCAAATGTTATAAGATATAAAAGTTTCAACTGTGTAATGCGGATGTTTTCCCTCGATACAAGTTTAATTCCAGCAAGTTTTTATGAATCATTAGGGCATTTTGATTTATCTTTTACAAAAAATATCATTCATATAGGTATGTGTTGTGATTTTTATATAAAAATAAATTTCAAAAGTTCATTTAAATACTGAATACAGATTAAAATATTTATTTAAATTGAATATTGGGTTGTGTGTTCCAACTATATATAACCTTTATACTTGTCAATTTATTTAACAAAATAACCTCTGGAAGATAACAGCAATAAGCTTGCTGATTTTTGGGTTTGAAAGTCCAGGTAGGCATTTATGTGTGAACTATAAATTATTAATGAATGTAGATGTATGCATATCTAACATGGTTACCTTATTATACTGATCCTTTTTCCTGGTTCAACAAGTAGCCTTATTATATATTATCTTGTAATATAAGTTCAGTTTTATCAATATTACAATATCAAAGTAAATTATTTACTGAATGTCCTTCAACTGACTCCATCAGAATATATTTCCTTCAACTGACTTGGAAGGTCCATGTTTGAAATTGCTTGCGGTCAGACACAATAAATCTTGTCAAACCTGCCATATTTGTGGTTATATAAGTTGTATAAAATCCCACAATAAATTCTCCTAATTAAAATTGATTTTCTAAATAATAGCACAACCATTAAGCAAAACTGGCAGTGTATTGTCCTAACATTTGCATTGCCCTAATTTCTCAAATTTCAAGGATTCCTAAAAATTATAAATTTCAAGGATTCCTAAAAATTATGTCATTACTTATTTTCTTTTACTCATACTAAGGTACGAAATTATTTTAACCGTTGATAAATCATTGATTGTTCATCACATTGTGTTAACATCAAGTGAAGTATCCCTGTTCTAAACATATTTTTGACTTTAAGGACTAACTCTGTATAACATGACCAACATGAATGTTTTATGTATGTTAAAGTGAACATTGTAACTGCTCTAATTGAAGGTTATATTTGTTGTATAAATACATAATTATTAGAGATTGCAAATTTAATAAATGTGAAATATGCCATGTCTTTTTGTTATTTTAGTTTATTAGTTTAAAAATATTAACAAGTACAAACATATGGTATAACATTAGCTGTTGGAAATAAATTGGTTGTCAAATGCAATAAAGTATTCACTAATGAAAATATATGTTATTAAACTTTAATTTCATAATCAAAAACAGATTTCATTATCAGAAACGGACAACATTTTGTTTTCTTTTCCATCAAATCACAGTCTCATCATTCACTTCTTGTTTTGGACTCTCTTGTTTTCCCTGAACATCTTGCTCTATGGTTTCAACCTGTTCACAATTATCAGTGTCACCGTTTGTTTCTTTGCATTTTTTAACACACTCTGCATTATCATTATCTACCTTATCATTTGTCTCACTAACCTCTTTCTCTATACTGTCTACTGCATTGTTACCTAACTTATCAATTGTTTGACCATCTTCTTTCTCTACAACATTTTCTTCATTTTTCTCTTGATCCTCACTTGTTTTTTCACTGTTTTCATTAAGTTCAGCTGTTTCAGCATCTTCTACATTATCATCTTTATCAGCATCAATACTTTCCTCTATTGTGTCTTCCTTTGTATCATCAACAGGTTTTCTCACTATCTCATGTAAATTATACTTTTTGAACTTAAAGTAATCTTTGACAACACTAAAACAGCAAGATTTCTGCACAACTTCGGCAATTATAACAAGATCTGGTTCATCATGACACAGCTGGTGGAGAGGATTCATTTCTTTGATAATTTTACCAAGAGTTGTAAGAATCATATTTTTAGAGACGCTATTATTGTTCCTGATTTTACATGCAGCCGTGTACTTTAACCCTACTCCGAAGTCTGTCTCAAAATGTGGAGCCAGGACTGAGGTCAGTGTGGCTTCTACTTCTTTGTTTCCAGGGTTACATATAGCTTCTATAGGTAACATTCTGATTGCATACCGTGCCTTCTGTACCTGCAGTTATATTATCCAAAATTAGTATCTTGAAAACATTAAAAGCAATAGAGAAAAGTAATCTAATGTTGACAAAAGTTTGTTTGTTTGTTTCATTTTACTCCTTTTCCCAACAGTATTTCAGTCATATAGGCGGGTAGTTTCATAACCATCGTTCCTGGAGAGTTACACCGGTACTAGACTGCCTTCCTCTGCGCTAAACTACCAAAGCATCTCCCAGGGATCAAACCCACGCCAGAGAAGTAACTGGATTAGAAGTCATCGACTCTAACCCCTCGACCACGGAGGCGGTTAAACAATAAAGAACTAACAACTTAAAAAGCTAGAAATGTGCCTTTAAGAACTGTAGTTTATTATTACCACATATTTAAGTATTCTAAATCTTTCTATATTAAATTACACACAAACAAATGATAACAGTATTCTTGTAAGCTTTTTCACATTCTCAATATCATACCTTCAATTAAATTTTTCCGGATAATGCTGAGTGAAAGAAATTTGCATCAACTTTTTTTTCAAGCCACTGTGGTCATTAAATTTATGTTAAGAAATATACAAAATATCTTGATAATATACCTGTTTATCATAGATATCTTGAAATATTGCATGAGCCAGTCTACAAGGGTCTTCAACAGTTGTCCGAACAAAGATTACGTTGTTACACTTAGTGCTGGTATTCTGAAATCTTCTCTCACTGGTATTAGCCTGTAACAATTATGTACATATATGTACTTCTATATACATGTATAATCTTTATATTTCCTTAAATAACGTAAATCAATGTGTTTATATTGAAAATTCAATTCAAAATAACTGAATCTGTTACAAGTTAAACAAATAAACATAATCAGTTGACCAAATTATTTTTTGTTGGGAATTGCGCTTGTTTAACAATGTTATGCTCAAATATGACAGATAAACTAAACAATTCTTTCTATAAACAATCTGTTCTTTCTATAAACAATCTGTTCTTTCTATAAACAATCTGTTGTAGAACAAATAAATGTCAACTTCTTTACAACATTCACTAGGAACATATGGTATTATTCAATAAAATTGCAACAGCAAATCATCGCCCATGCCCAGGATTTGTGATGATAATCTATTAAGGCAGAATTTATTGATTTTCATCAACACTTAGATAAGTTAGAAATACAAATCCAATACATAAAAGTTTATTATTATAGTCAATGTATAACCTGTTTTAAAGCCGAAGTTTCCTTTGCCATAGCTTTCTCCATATCTTCCTCTTCACTCTCACTGTCATCTGCTGACTTTACTGCAGGCTGAAAATATCATCTTATTATAAAATATCACAAGAAAATATGACTAAAGGTACAGTTGTCATCTTTTGCCAGAAACCAGAATCCATTCAAGAAACCTATTAATCATTATCTCTTTGGGCAATGAGTTTGTGTCTGGTCTATTATAATTTCTTTCATACAATATTTTAATTAAAATACAAACAAACCTTCTCAAAGCATGGAACTTAAGTCCCACATATGAAGAAAGCTGTTTAATACAAAGAAATAATAGAAATAAATTCCTACGATTCAGACAATAATAACAAAGATCAAAAAATTTAACCCGATGATATATAAACAACAGTTTTTGTTGTAATTTTTATAATGCTTGTGTTAACCACAATTATATCTGACAGCGAAGTTTGAACAGCACATTGTCAAATTTTATGCACTGCTTCCATTTTCACTCTGAACAGTAATCATTCAACAATTATTATTAATCCAAAGACTGCGACTGTTCCACTATCGGAATACCCAACCTATAATCATTAAGTTACATTGAAAATGGTGGCGCCCAACTAGATTTTTACTGACACTGAAAATTTCATTGATTGGTATAGTATTCTATATATTCTTTGTTTATTATTTGATTTTCTTTTAAATATACACATGTAGTCCAAGTCTATATACGAGGCAAGCCAAATACCGGGGACCGCTTTGCAGTACCTGCCTTTGCCTTCCCCGTATCGATACCACCTTGAAGGCCTAGCTACTTCCTACTTGAATTAATCTAACATAGCTTACATCGTCAAGTTCTGGTCCATATATTGTATCAGCATATTCATTAAGCAAGTTGTACATTTCTCTGACCGTTTCTCGTTCATATTTATTACAGGTGACAAGAAAGCCTTTCATTCCTGCACTGAGTACATTTGTCTTTTTCTGTCTCTTTCCACCAGCTGCACATTTTATATAGTATGATTTTGGTCTCTTTTTCCCTTTCTTCTGGTCACTCATTGTTTAAGATACCTGAAACATTTAGAAAAGCATTCCAGTAAGGTTTAATTTTGTAAAGATTGATTGGCCTAATAGCCCACTCCCCTCTACCAGACACTCTGTGACAATAAATACATTCAAAGTAAACCTTTCAGCAATATTATCCGAAATGTATACATATCCGAACTGTAAACTATGATCGCGAAAAATAATACAATTCCAGTAACAGTTAATTTTTTTCACCCTACATTTAGAATTTGGATAATTCTATTAACTTCGTTGCTTAAAATAAAGTATTTATCATGGGATTATACCTTTTTTGCACAGAGAATGGAATTAAACTTATTGACAATTCCGTTTTCGCCGTGCATATAAAATTTAAACGAATACAAAAAGAAATTGTTGTCATCTTCACTTACCTAAGTTAGGTCAAGGTACTCTATTGATTTTCCTTCATCTTCCAGGACAGAATGTTATTCTGTTTTGTCCCGGATAGTATAGACACCTTCCATTGTATACTTGTACTAGCACATCGATGCAATTGTTAAAGATTTATTATGAATTCCTGAATTCCTTGTGCAAGCATATAACTAGAAATCACTTGCAGCAGTTATACTTTGTATCTTTAGCAAGGAATAAAGAGGAGAAAACTGCATAGAGATTTCATATGTTCAATGAATTAAAAATGTTCTCTATCAAAATGAATATCTTGGCAATGTGAAATTGTGTCTCTTCTTGTTCACTATTCAAATATGTTTTAACTTTATACATTGCTTGATTGAGGCTACCAAAAAAATGGCATTGTTGTGGGGTTTAATAAAACGATGACCATCTTTTCAAACTACATATAAATGTAATAACATCTAAAATTAGTCTTGACTCGCTAAAAACAGTTTATTAAGACATGCTTTTGTTGCATCTAAATGATCTTTAAAAGTGGCAGACGACACATGTTAAGTTAAACATACAAGGATAACTGCAGCGACAAGGGGCATTAGTCCCATGAATCTATTTATTGTCACCTTGCTGTCAATTTGCAACACAATATCTAATCATTTTCAGAAGATGGATAACAATTATTGCCCAGAGGCAAGGTCTATAATTTATATACAGGTGCTGCATGTGTTTGATTTTTTTCCATTGACATTTTTTTTTCACAGGACAGACGAATATGGGGAATTCAATCTCTAACATTGGGAAATGGTCAAAATATAAAGATTTCTTAAAATCCAACCGGAATATCACATGTGATTAGAACATGTTAAAATACACTGGAACAATCTTGTAAAGAATTACATTTTTTTTAAAGTTTTATTGTAGACAGATCAACAAGATGTGATTATGAATACACTTTAATATATATTTTCTTCTTTTAGAAAACACATCATAGCCTTAACTTCTAAAATATATATGTCAAATATTATTTGACCCTTATCATCAGAAAACTACACAATATAAATTTGATATATCCAACATAAACTTATATTTCAATTTAATATATTATCTCATTTAATCAATGGTGCTGATATCTGCAAGAAAATCAACAAGATTAAAATAACAACATTATATATTACAACCTTACATTTTTATTCAGTTAATCATTTCGAAACAATTGGAACATATATTTATTGCACTCTTCCTTGCGCAGTCTACCTTATCCCACTTTATCCCACTTGTTGTGATATTGCATTAACTGGTCATTAACCTCGTAGCAAAATTATACAAGATATCTTTTGTTTCTGCAAATTTTTTCAAATAAACATCTTTGCAAAATTTACAAATAAACAACCTAAAAACCAAGTACATCTACAGAATTTCTTTTCATTATAAAAATACTTAATAAAGACATAACAATTCAAAAGAAGTAACTCAGCTGGAATAACACTTGATATGGTGCATATATAATAACAACCTAGCAAAATTTACCAAGTCAAAATTCTCATAATATATCCTGATATAATAATAGCCACTTTATACAAGCATATACATGTATATATGACATACATGTAGTTAAAACATGTTTTTTTAAACAATGATATGCATAATTAACAAAAGGAAAACTCAACTGTTTTATGACTACTGAGATTATCGCACTTTTTATATCAACTTCCAGTACCAGTTCATTTCTATTTCCCTATTGTAACGTAATACTTATTCACTTCAAAATAACGGAAGTCTTCAATACATTAAACATCATAATACCTTTAGGCTATTACTTAACCCTAAACCCACTGAACTTCTAAAACATGTAAAATGGACATGCCTAGTCTCTATTTTTGGATAATTCCATTATCAATATTAGGGTTATTAAGATGAAAATTTCATATTGGCCGACCAAAAGTGGACAACCTGGTCAGACTGGAAAAATGATGCCTGTCTCTATACTAGAAAATAAGACTGCTTTCTATAAGTTACAATACTTAGACTTAACAACTTAGAGTTTATGGCACAGTTATATAGAAATTAAAAATACTAGTATCTCAAATGTTGGTCCCATGCACCAAATGGCAAATATAGATCAAATGAAACCTACTGGCAAGACTAAGAACAATTCAGCATTAACAAGCTTTGCAAATACATTAAAAGAAAATACACAATATGATACATGAATATAATACACATCATGGTTTTTCAAATAGGTAATCATCAAAATGTTTCAAAAAACCTAGTAATATTTGTAATAGAGACAAATCTCACAAAATATCTGGACAAGTTACTTCTCTAATATACAAAAATTAACATATTTCAAGATGCTAACTCTAATACTTGCTCTTCACAATGAGAAACCTGATATGTTACATATTTAATACTGTATGCTAGGACACAATGAACTATATAATATACTATGTCTTTGTGAAATAGAAACGTAATGTTTACAATACTGTAAATTCTTATACATTTTATTGTACAGTGAAATATTTGCAGAACATCCATCTATAGAGCAAGCCCTCTCAACAATAACCAAATATTTTGGTTCTCAACTGATGTTGCTCTGTACAGGTTCTACTGTATCTGTGGAGAATACATTTGGGATATTCAAGTTTTTCTATAAATACAGGATTTATTTTCATCAAATGGTATGAAAATAAATTTTCATGAGTGGGAGTAGCCACCAATGAAATGTGATAATTATGTTCATACCAAAAGATGAAAAGAAATCCTGTATTAATAGAAAAACTTGAATTTCCAGTTTATTATATACATTTTTCTCTTTTTAGACATTGCAATTTAAAAGACTCCCCCTATCAAATTTGTGTCATGGCTGAATTTGGAAGAAAAGTATTCTGGCAAGACACCAGTGAAAATACTGAAAATAAGCATTTTATTTCATCAAATATTTCCCAATATTTCATTTATAAGTATATAATAAAAATTCTTCCCTGGTGATGAATAACATATACAAATTTAGCTGTTAAATAAAAATTTTGGAACTGAGATTACGGAAGAAAGCAACTTTTATGGCAATAATTTAAATCATAAAGCAGACTGCAAAATTACATTTTTTTTACATCAATATTTTTAAAAATTTAGTTTCTTACCGAGGGAACATGTATATAAATCATGTAATTTACAAAGCAGGCATTTGTTTTTGTTTCTAATGAATGTTTTGTTGTTAAAATATATATATGTAATTTAAGAAAGATTAAAACAAGTTTTATGAACATGACTAGATTTTCATAAAAAAGGTCTTGGCATAAAAACTCTATATCTTCTTTTGCCAATATAAAACATTGCTACATCATCATTACTTTTTTTGACTTGATCCTTAAATACCAAATAATCTTGACTATTCATTGAGTTCAAAGACAAATATCATATATCTGTTATATAATAATGACTGAATGATGGTTAATTAACAATTATCTAACATATCAACACTTATTGACACACATTAGATCTGTATTCATGAGAACATGCCGGAACAATGACCAATTCTTTTATGCCAGTCACTAACAAAACATATAGACCAGAGAAAGATGGGTAGTACTGTCAGGGTTACTGTCATCAGTAGTAATGCACTCATCATTCCTTTATTTGACACTGGTGCATTTGGTCTGAAATATTAATATATAGCACATAATAACTGAGACATTCAGAATATAGTAAATCTACGCAATTTACTTTTCATAGTATTGAATAAATACATGATAACAAAATAAGCATTAGTTATCAATTTTAGTTATCAATTTTATAACTTATATTAACAGTGACTTATGATGTCAATATCAGTAAATTTAGAAAGTTTTTATAATGTCTCAGCTGCTGTATACAGACCTAGGCCTTCACAACATTTTCATTACATCTACTATCATTTTAATCTATATGCACATGACTTATTTCCAATAATGGTTTGAGATTGAACAAGCGCACCGCATGTTCCGTTATATCCAAGATGAAAGGGGCATAACACCTTCATGAAATATAGCTGTCAGAACAGAACAGAACATTTCTTTTATTTCATAGACACAGATTACAAAACATACATTTTGTAATAACATGTGAACAAATAAACAATTAGTTTACAACATAATAAATATGTTACAGCATTTTTAACTATAACCATACAGGATGGTGAGATATGGGGATGTCATAATTATGCCCCTTGTCTTACTTCTGCAGCAAGTATTTCAAATTTAAAGGTGAAAAAAAAACAAAAAAACTTTTGAAATGTTGACAACAACAACAATGCCACACTGATCATAACATCTCAACTTTTTCTTTGAAACAGACAAGCTAAAAATGTTATGTAAGACTAGAAATATCACAAATTTGCATATTAAAACACAATTAGAACTCTTTTTAGTAAGATTTAAATTGAGTAAGTTGTTACCTTCCAATACTTGTAAATCTGCACAACCCCAGCCATGTAATAATAATTAACAAACCTCCCATCTCCCTGAAATTACACACAACAATTAAAACCATGGATAAATATTAATAAGTAAATGACACTAAACAAATAATTAAGAAAACATTTTTGAATTCTTAATAGATACAAGGAGTTGAACATCAATAAACAACTGGATTTTTTCTCTGAATTGACTTTAACCTTTGACCTACATGTCTAAAATTTGACAAACATGTACATGTAATTCCTACCATATTTAAGAAAAATGTATTCCCAAGCCTCTTATATTGACCTTTCAACTAAACATGTTATTTTCTCTTGTGTAATGTAATCCCTTTAGGTGTAACAGTAAGACATAAACATGATCTTAATTTTGATAAATGATAAGATACAGATAATCACTGTAATAAGCTCATAATGACAATATCTGTAAAAAATATGTAAAACAATTTAAAATTTTAAGTATCAAACTGGAAATAGTCTTAACTCATTGTCAAATTAGCTAAAGATACATGATAAAACAATAGTCAGCATCATTTAAACAGGTCTCAGAGGTGATACTAATGTTGACTATTATCAAGTATTTCTTCTGTCGAGACTAAAGGTCTAAATGGTACTATTTGTTTTTACCAAGTTTGGCTAAACAGATGTATTGAAGGAGAATAGATTCAATACTGAATTTACTGAGCCTCAGACAAGCTAAATATTTTATTCATAATTTTCAATAAATTCAGTAATGAAACTTCACTAATATAATTTTTTATCACATACCCCCAGTGCCTATTTTGGGACTCCGTAAAAATGGTATTGCATGTGACATCATTTGCATTATATAATTATAGTGTTAAGTCGCGCTAAATGTTAGTGTAATACTAAAGGCGCATCAATGAAAAATGGTTCTTTTTCACTTCAAACAGTCTTTATTTTTGGTATGTGATAAATAGAATATTAAATTTGTGAAAGTTCATTACTGAATTTATTGAAGGCTTGCATAATATAATTTTATTCATTGACACATCTAAAGTGTAACGCGTCTTTATGCTATGTTTATACAACCCAATTAAAGTCACGTCAATATATATGCACAACCATGCAATACCATTTTCACAAAAAAGTTGCAAAAGAAGCAGGGGGTATATGATAAACTGGGATATTTTATAACTAAATCATCTTTATAAATGTAAATATTTCATTATTACAGGTGAATGAGATACATGTACATATGTAAAGTAAATCCTCTAAATATAAATGTTTTCATTATTAGTGTAAGTACTAACCTTCCAGCTTCATGTTGTAGAGGATTTTCCAGTCTGTTACCAAGAGCTTCTAGTAGTAACACTATCTGATACAGGCCATACGCACAACATAACGTGAAATATATCACTGTAGAGTAGTTATAAAACTTTGATTCTGAAAGTTTATAAATATACATACATTGTTACTGCAAGTTAGCAGTACATATGTCAGTACATGTATATTTGTTTTCAAGTTATGCGTACGCTAATCATAATTGTTCACGACCATGTTTCTTCATATGACACCAGTACTGGTTGGTTTCAGGAAGCAGGCTCAAAAGTGGTTAATATAAGTTGCAAGAACTTGTTTCACAGTCTAGCTTAAATACATATGTTTTAACCAATTGTTCTTGGCTGAATTAATTGTTCAACTTAAACATAGAATTAGACTAGCAAGCTTAACTGTCAAGCCATCTTTTCTCAAATGTACTTTCTGATGATTGTTATCTTAATGGCTGTTTGTGACTTTTATGGCTTTTATTGAAATTCTTTTTAACTTTTCGGCATGAAACATCTAAATTTCAATGCTTTTATAGCTTGAATTCAGCTGACATTATCTCCCTATTTAATTGTCGAAGGGTCATATCTTTATTACAGGTACATCCAGTGTAAAATCAAAATATATTTTACAAAGTAATGGAATCAACTTCTATTCATTATCATTTTTATTGAAATTGTCATGGTATTATACCAACAATAATAATTTCTAACCTGCAAACGATGGCTTTATCACAATATATGCTGACAACAGTCCTGGCAGTGCATATATTGGCTGAAATACAACAATATGTCAAAGTCGTTACTACATAAAAGCAAGTAAAACATTTTCTATTTTCTATCTCTTTCCTTATAGAAAAGGCTGATAAGTCATAACATCACAGTCACTTTGACAAACAGTACAAATAAATTATTTAGTAAAAAAAAAACCACAAACATAAAGTTTAGACCTTTTCATTAATGAATTTTTTAAAAAGTCACCTTTTATGGAAAAATATCTACATGATCCTTCAAATATTCTAGTTGATACAAAATAAACTACAGTAAACTCTGCTTATAACAATATATTCAGGGGATCATCAAATTTATATTGTTATATCCAGATGACGTCATATCCAAGGGCCAACCAATTTGAAAACAAGAGTCGAGATTGTGGCAACAGTATCATTAATGATATGCGGTTAAATTATATAAGGAGAGTTTACTGTATTTATTTTTTTAAGGAAAATAAGAAAGTTACAGAAGTGTAGTTATATACTTACAGCCCATAGGTACCAATCATCATCATTCATCTATGTATGAAAAAAAAAAACATACAAAAATAATTTAATTTACAAATTACAGATACATGTAGTCGTATTTATAGAAAAAAATCAGATTTAATCTAAAAATGAATTTTATTCAAACCATAAAAGGCTATTCCCTAAAACGAAGCACTATGCGGTGTATTATCAGCATGAAATAACATAACATAGCATGACCCTTTAATGATTCTTTTTTTTCCCAATGTAGCCATTGGTGAAAAATTTAAAACATTTTTTGTTTCATATGTACTTTTCATTAACTGTTTGACACAATCTTTTTCTTTTGCAACAATTATTGCCAATGAAAACTTTAACATTTTTGACATTATAGGTTAATTCACTGCATTATAGATCAGTAACATTGATATAAATATGAAATACAAACATTTGCAAGTGCAGCCAAACAAAAGAAGACAGCCATGATGAGGTTGACAACCTGCCACACGTACATAATCTCTGATCTTGGTTTAATCTCAGACCCAAAATAAAAACTTTCCTCTGTTTTACTCACTGAAATATAAACAAGAAAAAATATCAGCGAAATCTGGGACAAAAAAAAAAGACAAAAAATATAATATAGAAATGTTCATGATATAAGTTGTATTACACTATTTTGATATTTTGTTAATATAAAAAAAGGCATGTTTAATAATACATTAGGTATATCAAATATGTGTTAGATCTAAAGAAATATTTGTCTTTCTTTTTTTCAGGTTATATGATTAAATACAACTTCAATAAAAACAACAAATATAATCTAATAGTAAACTGGTGGCATCAAACATCACCTGTAACATCCAAAATTTAAAGACCACAACCTTGTTCTGGTACTTTAAATATTTCAGTTATGTAACAAAAGCAGAAAAGATTAAAATTTAATACAGAATCATATGAACAGAAATACACTTTGTATATGTATTACAAATGAAAATATACAGCCTAGTAATCAAGTGAAATATTAAATCTTAAAAATTTAAGTACAAAATATCCTTACAAATTATATAGTGGTATAGTAAGTTAAAATATCATAAAAGAAAAAAGAAAGATTAAAGATAAATGTTGCAAATTATTATTATAAATAAGCATTATCAATAGATAAATATATCAGTAACTTAATCAGTAAAAGTTTAATTATCAAGTTCACTGCTTTCTTTAAGTTCAAGAGATAACTAATGGTTAATCATGTCACTTCATTCATAGAATAGTAACAGATTCATCACCTATATTTTATCTTACAATTTAATAATAAACAAATATCAAAGTGAAGTAAAGATGATTATGTCCACAGTTAAGCAGTTTTAAATATAACCCAAATCTATTAATTCACTTGTAGTTAAAATCATTTTCAAAATTAATGAGCAACACAAAATATATACCGGTAGTCATATCAAAAACCAATTGATAATCTACACAGTGGATAAACGAATCAACATTCATCTTTTTGCAATGAACCTTCACATTATATTATTATATAGACTCACAACAAAGGAATAGTGCCTGGAAGTAGAAGATGCTTGTAATCTGAAGACATGGCACACATATATATTGTATACTTTCAAGTTTCAAGCGAATTACTAGATTTTGTTTATCTACTGTGATCTAAAAAACTAGCAAACAAAATGGTGTAATTTTTATAAAGCATTACTCAATCTATATATTAATATTTATCACTTATAACACAAAGAAACTATAATCTTTAAACAATCTAAGGAAATGGTTAACTCAAGTTACAATCTGACAAATAAGGTTCTATACTAGCAAATATACACAGCATTGGGAAAAAGAAAACAAGAAAAAACTGTTCAAAACGTTACAAAGGAAAGGGTGGACTGCATAGAAATTGAGCGAGCATAGGAAATGTGCTTTTTTCTAGTCTGCCTTACCGAGGTATTGTAAACATGTAAGACACAGTATAATAGTGAAGATAACATTATGATAATTGCAATTTCATGTTCTGGTTTGCTATTTCCGCAACCTTAAGACATGATGTCATTCACCCAATGGTGTTGTCATAATTTATCATGAAGACTTTGAGTATGCTCAAGTCACAACAAAAATTAAATCTGTACATAATGGTCTCATGTCATTACTGCTCAATTTCATTGAGAAGAAAATTTCATTGGTCACAGCAAACTATGATAAAATGTATCCTAAGCAGTATACCTTGTACTATAGCATAAAGGTTAACAAAATAAGTGCTCAAAACTTACTTCTTGGCCAGACCTGTAACAAAGTCATATACATTGTATATCATCATAACGTTTCAGTAATTTTATCAAGCCTTTAAGACATTTGAATAAATAAGTAAGTATTAACATTCATTTTTCCATGATAATATCTGCCTACTTTATCTGTTACTTTTATACATTTTCATTATGTTTTCTTTACTGTCACATTAAAATTGTGCATTTATTATGTTGTAACATTATAAATTTTGTACCATATATGAATAAATGTACTAATAAAAAAATGTTGAGCAAAAGACAACAAGACATGGTATGCCTTCCCCAACTTCCACTCCAATTACTCATAGTTACCAATACAAGTATTATATTTAAATTGAGGACTGTAAGTGAAATTGTGTGGCAAAGATCATCCATTATATTGACCTTTGACATTAAAAAAAAAACAACGCTTTTTTGGTCCAGGTGACTGTTAATGTTGACCTATAAATCTAAAAAGATTTACCTGTATCTGTTCAGACATCTAGTATTAAGGACCATTTCTGGTATAATTCTACGAGGAGGAGGTTCAGAAGTGATCTAGTGCCCACAATACTATCTTGCAGATGGTTCCAACACACTAGCATTTCCACAAATAATTTTAAACTGATTTGTGAGGGCAAATGTTTTTCCAGCTATTTTGGGTGAAGGCTTACATATATAGAGAAAAATTTAGAACATTTTAGGAAATTTGAAAAGATGAAAACTACTTTATACATGACTTTTAAAGCTTGATTACAGTGATAAGCTGAATTTACCTGTCACATGGTGAGAAAAATGTGCAGCCTGACCGGGACTCTAACCCAGGACCTTCGGAATACCGTAACATGGCTACTTACACATGTTCTCCCCTAAATATTGAACTGTTCTGAACCGTGACATACATGTACTCCCCTAGGTGCTATATTGAAATTCATCCTTGAATCTCGCAGAGTTACAGAGCAATGAAAATTAAACTCTGAGCTATATCCAGTCACGGCCCCACGTTGGGCGCCAAATGTCACAGGGTGAGAAAAATGTGCAGCCTGACAGAGACTTGAACCCGAGACCCTAGGAATAACGTACCACTGCTCTATTGCATGACTGAGCTATCTAGCTGGCCACTTACAGATGTTCTCCCCTAATAAATACTGAACTGTTCTGAACCGTGACATACTCCCCTGTTATATTGAAATTTGTCCTCGAATTTCTCCCCTATATAGTGAATAGCTCTGAACTGTGACATACCCAGATGTTGAATTTTTTAACTACTTATAATCAGTGATAATTGGGGGGAAAATGTTAATTTGGATTGGGAACATAAAATGATAAACAAAAATTTTGAAAAGTGTAAATAACTTTTTAGTTAAAAAATACGTTGAACAGTTAAAATAGATATTAAAATAATTGTATCTCACCTTGTAAAAATAGCTACACGTGGTGTTAAATAATATTTTCAGTGTTCACCTGTCATCTCTCACGTTTGTTTACATTTTTACCAATCGCAACTTTTCGGCCAGTCTTCGAACTTTTGATAATAGCCGAGATGTTCCTATTGACATCTTACGTGAAATTTATATGCCTGTGATAATCGCTCCCATTAACAGATTGAACACCACTAAATATTCTCCCATACGGCAATTTCCTCTGTAATGTGAATATAAGAACTAAGGCTTGCAATTAAAGGGGTTCCAATGAGGTTTTTTGACATGATGGGACTGTAAATAATTTTTCAAGATTGATGTTCTGTTTGAGGTTAGTACGGAAGCGTCCTGGTGCCAATTTAACATGTTCTATAAAAAAAGATAACACTACCTAGGACCACGGATTTATATTACAATAATATAAATCCGTGTAGGACTTTGCAACTCCTACGTAGGACTTTATAACTCCTACGTAGGAGATAAAAAAAGCCTAATTAGGAGTTTATAACTCCTACGTAGGAGATAAAAAAAGCCTAATTAGGAGTTTATAACTCAGGCCTACGTAGGACTTTATAAGTCCTACGTAGGACTTTATAACTCCTACGTAGGACTTTATAAGTGTTCCTCTATGTAGGAGTTTTAAAGTCCTACGTAGGAGTTATAACATTCTAATTAGACTTTTTTAACTCCTACGTAGGAGTTATTAATTTATTTAATTAACTCCTAATTAGGCTTTTTTAACTCCTACGTAGGAGTTATAAAGTCCTACGTAGGAGTTTGTAAGTCCTACGTAGTTTGTAAGTCCTACGTAGGACTTTAAAACTCCTAATTAGGTTTTTATATCTCCTACGTAGGAGTTATAAAGACCGACGTAGGAGTTTCAAAGTCCTACGTAGGAGTTATCTTTTTTTATAGAACATGTTAAATTGGCACCAGGACGCTTCCGTAGGTTAGTCTTGACCAATAGTTTTTGTGCAAAATTTCAGATCAATTGCTCACTGATTTAATCAAATCAAATCAAATCAAATCAAAATTTATTTATTGTCGGTATGTATATATAACATTTCACAAAACATAAGCTATGTATAGCTTTTGACAGACATATGACTAATTACTTTATAAGGGGTGTACCTTTGCACAAATGAATTTTAGGAATATCTGTCCTTTTGAATGCTTTATTTTTAGCTCAGGGTGAGCTATTAGTATCAAAGGGGGATGCTCCGGCGTCCACCGCCCGTCGTCCGTCGTCATGCGTCAACAACCGTCTTCTTCTCTGAAACTACTAAGCAGATTTACTTCAAATTTGGTCTGTAGCATCCTTGTGACAGTCACACTTGAATTTGCTCATGTCATTCCAATTGGCCCCTTTCAGCAGAACTAAAAATAGAAAAACCTTTAAACATCTTCTTCTACAGAACTAATGGATGGATGATCACCAAACTTTGTCTGTAGCATTCTTGGGTAGTCTTTTATCAAATTTGCTCATATTAGTTTGATTGGCCCCTTTTAAGGGTCTTTAGGGCTAAAAATAGAAAAACCTTTAAACATCTTCTTCTACAGAACTATAATGGATGGATGATCACCAAACTTTGTCAGTAGCATTCTTGGGTAGTCTTTTCTCAAGTTTGCTCAAATGAATTTGATTGGCTCCTTTTAGGGGCCGCTAAAGCTAAAAATAGAAAAACCTTTAAACGTCTTCTTCTACAGAACTAATGGATGGATGATCACCAAACTTTGTCTGTAGCATTCTTAGGTAGTCTTTTATCAAGTTTGCTAATATTATTTTGATTGGCCCCTTTTAGGGGTCTCTAGGACTAAAAATAGAATAACCTTTAAACATCTTCTCCTACAGAACTTATTGATGGATGATCACCAAACTTTGTCTGTAGCATTCTTGGGTAGTGTTTTATCAAGTTTGCTCATATTAATTTGATTGGCCCCTTTGAGGGGCCGCTAAAGCTAAAAATAGAAATACCATTAAATGTCTATTTCTAGAGAACTAATTGATGGATGATCACCAAACTTTGTCTGCAGCATTCTATGGTAGTCTTTTATCAAGTTTGCTAATATTATTTTGATTGGCCCCTTTTAGGCGTCTCTTGGGCTAAAAATAGAAAAACCTTTAAACCTCTATTTCTACAAAACTAATTGATGGATGATCACCAAACTTTGTCTATAGCATTCTAAGGTAGTGTTTTATCAAATTTGCTAATATTATTATGATTGGCCCCTTTTAGGGACAGCTTAAGCTAAAAATAGAAATACCTTTAAATGTCTTTTTCTACAGAACTAATGGATGGATGACCACCAAACTTTGTCTGAAGCATTGTTGGGTAGTCTTTTATCAAGTTTGCTTATATTATTTTGATTGGCCCCTTTAAGGGACTGCTAAAATTAAAAATAGATATACATTTAAACATCTATTTCTACAGAACTAATTGATGGATGATCACCAAACTTTGTCTGTAGCATTATTTGGTAGTCTTTTATTAAGTTTGCTCATATTAATTTGATTAGCCCCTTTTAGGGGCTGCTAAAATTAAAAATAAAAATACGTTTAAACATCTTATCCTACAGAAATAATTAATGGATGATCACCAAACTTTGTGTGTAGCATTTTTGGGTAATCTTTTATCAAGTTTGCTCATATGAATTTGATTGGCCCCTTCTAGGGGCCGCTTAAGCTCAAAATAGAAAAACCTTTAAACCTCTATTTCTACAAAACTAATTGATGGACAATCACAAAACTTTGTCTGTAGCATTCTTAGGTAGTGTTTTATAAAATTTGCTAATATTATTATGATTGGCCCCTTTTAGGGGCAGCTTAAGCTAGAAATAGAAATACCTTTAAATGTCTTTTTCTACAGAACTAATGGATGGATGATCACCAAACTTTGTCTTCAAAGCATTGTTGGGTAGTCTTTTATCAAGTTTGCTTATATTATTTTGATTGGCCCCTTTTAGGGGCTGCTAAAATTAAAAATAGATATACATTTAAACATCTATATCTACAGAACTAATTTATGGATGATCACCAAACTTTGTCTGTAGCATTATTGGGTAGTCTTTTATTAAGTTTGCTCATATTAATTTGATTGGCCCCTTTTAGGGGCTGCTAAAATTAAAAATAAAAATACGTTTAAACATCTTATCCTACAGAAATAATTAATGGATGATCACCAAACTTTGTCTGTAGCATTTTTGGGTAATCTTTTATCAAGTTTGGTCACATTAATTTGATTGGCCCCTTTTAGGGGTAGCTAAAGCTAAAAATAGAAAAAACCTTTAAACATCTTCTACTTCAGAACCAATGGATGGATGATCACCAAACTTTGTCTGTAGCATTCTTGGGTACTCTTTAATCAAGTTTGCTTATATTATTGTTATTGTTTGATTAGCCCCTTTTAGGGGCCACTAAAGCTAAAAATAGAAAAAAAACTTCGAACATCTTTTCCTACTGAAATAATTGTTAGATGATCACCAAACTTTGTAGCATTCTTAGGTAGTCTTTTATCAAGTTTGCTCATATTAATTTGATTAGCCCTGTTTAAGCTAAAGCTTAAATACCCCAGGTCATGGCATTTCTTCAAATTATTGTTTAAACATATTCTATGCTCAAATTTAATATTAGAATATATTGACATTCCAACACTGAAAAGCAGTTGTTTCTGGTGAGCGACTCAGGGCCATCATGGCCCTCTTGTTTTAAATAGTGATTAGTATATATAAAACATAAGCTATGAATAGCGTTTGACCGACATAAGCTTTAATCTATAGTTTCAGTTTCTGAGAAAATGGACCTTAACCAGGGCAAAATAAAATTATCAGAGTTAAAATGGGGTATAACTTTGCAAAAATAATTATAGGATTATCTGTGCTATAAAATGGCATCCTTTTATTAAAATAAACATGTAAAGCAAGTTAAATAATTATCATAGTTTCTGAGAAAAAGGACCTTCACAAATTAGGTTAACCAAGGCTGACACAGACAAGAGGGTTATGACAATAGCTTCACTTTTTTTCCAGCTATGATATAAATTTCATTATCATAATGAGGGTTTTGTCCTTCTTTATACAACCATTTCTCATCAAGTTCTCTATTAATGATGACAATAACCACAAGAGCTGAGAAATTTGTTCACTTTTATTTCTGTAGAAATAAGATAAAAGAATAATGTGTATACAACTACTGCTCAAACATATAATTCTACGTTCGACAAAGTAAGAATGAATACAAAAATAAGAGAAAACATAAAATATGACTGGCTAACGAAGTAAGTTAGTAAATGATGTAAAACTAACTGTTTAATTTTTTTTTTTTTTTAAAGAAAGTTTCTACTCTCTCTTGCTTATAAAATATATAAAAATATTTACAGTACTTGCTCTAGAAATGATTTGATAATATAACACAGAAATGTTTCAGGTAATTTTTTTTTAAAATTCATTTTAAAATTCAAAATTCATGTACGCATGCATGCTTGAGAAAACAGAGAACATAATTCATGATCCCAATTGGTTATATAGAGAGACAAGAAATCATTCTTCAAATAAAAATACTTTATGTGTAAAAAAATAAAACTGAATATAAAAATTGTGTAGTAAATAGGCCGCCCAAACAGATAAAAGATACCTTTTGATTTAAAACATGTCTTATATGCGCTGTGTAAATAAATAAAATAAAAGTAAGCATAATGTGTAGATAATATAATGTGTATATTTAATGTGTATTTAAAATAGCAGCTAAATATGATAAATAAAACTTAAGTATGGTGCACATGTGTTTTATACTATATAGATGTGTTTAGCATATTTTAAATCAAAAATGGTAATTACTGACATAATGTGAATTTAATTGAAATATGCTTTACCTCCCATGTCAATTTTTTTTAAAAAATTACCCATTACTTGCTAAATTTCTGAAATTGAGTTGAGTTGACCAGCTACCATTTTGGGAATGTCAAATGATTTTCAATTTTGTGAGCGTCAAGATAACAATGTAAAGTTGCATGATACATGTAGGCCATTGCCATATAAATTTCATAAGTTGTACTTGTCTAATATTAAATGTTTAAATCACCATAACAAAGGCAAAACTATTAAAATACTGGCTGTCTGCATTTATATCACAAAGGTATATGAAAATATGCAATATAAAAGGCAACTTGGACATTTAAAAAATATATATATATATTTATAAAATGAAATTTGAACATTTTAAAAAATTATATTTTATGAAATAATTTTCTTGTTATGAGCAAAGTAAGCGCTGTATGAGCATAAACAATGTAAAATAATAGAACGCTGTAGTCTATATATAGACATGTTTTTTAACTCCATTTCATCGTCATCTAACAACTTACTATACTACCCTCTTCATTATTTTCTCTTAAATCTAAAATGTCCTAGGTATAAATATACAAAATTTATATACAATGACATCCCATAATGTCCATTTTTGATAGGTTGTTTTTGTCTAAGACTGATTTGTTTATGTAAATATTTCATGTTACATGCAATCAATTAAAATTAGCCATTTCTCATTTCAGCAGACTTAATTAATGTAGAATTTGTTAAGGTGAAGGTCAAATCAAGTACAGATCAGATGTCACCTGTGAATGTCTGATTATTAAGAAATAATAATAAATCATAAAATGTAAATGACTTACATTAGTATGCCGCAACCATGTAATATATAATCCATGTAACCATGTAAAATATATGTAACCATAACAAACAAAGCTAACTTATTCTTACTCTGCATGTCATTACATCAAATTTTAACTTATACTCATAAAAAGTCCTCTATTACATAAAAAACACATTTAATAAATGAAGCAGGTAAAAAGTTTGCTATCACATATAAGTATGATTTACACACCAAGATTAATATCCAGATAAAAACATGAATAAGTTCTGTCTAAAAAGAACACATAATTATGTATGCAGGTAATTTTACGCATAAAACACAAAAAGTCAACATAGAAATATCACACTTGTTACATTTATAATAATAAACTCAGATCTATTTTTTTGTCTGGAATTTCACATTTTATCACTGAAGGGGTGGTTGGTTATATGTGGAGAAAAGAATAATTATCATTGGATTAGTTTAATTCAGATTTAAGGTAAACCTGGTATTAACTGCTTAAAATAATGTAAATATTCACATGCAAATAAGGAAATCTGAAATATAAACAAATAGAACAGCAAGTGCCAGTAACTAGAGAAAATGAAGTAAAGTTCATTTGGAATAAGGTAGTCAAATTTGATCAATGATTTAATCATTTTACACCCCTACATTTTAAAATGGATATACCCAGTGTATCACCATTCACATTAATATGAGGTAGACTGGATGTGTTGCATAATGGATTTCAAACGGAATCACAACATAGATACATGAATGTTAACTACATGTATATTACACAATTTAAGAACATCCAAGTTTCAATCAAAGGCATAAATTGTTCACAGAATATAGATATGTAAGGACATACAACAGGTTTAACATAACACTGATAAACTTTGCTGTACATTCAAAACTTTGCTGTACTTTCAAGAACTTTGCTGTAGTTTCAAGTTCCATTAATATAAGCCACATACATGTAATTAAGTTTTGACACAGATATACAATACATCTATATTTAACTCCATGGTTTTGATATCAAAATAATTTTGGTAAAATCTGTTAAAAAAAAAAGACACATTAAAAATTTGAATTACTTGCAATATAAGATACATATTGTAATATAAAGTGTAAGAAAATATTAATATAAAACTGACGAGAGACCATGATAATGTCAATCAAGAAATGATTTGTGGTGAGATACAGTCACTTGTAATATACAACCACTTGTGTTCAGAGATCCTTAAAATTTAAAAATAAAAAAAATAAAAGTTATTAAACCTATAAAGAGCTGACCACCTGGATTTCTATTATTAAAGTTTTTTTATAACATATAAGATCAATTATGACTTAATTATGTTCACAAATATCATCACAGTGTCACAGCTGTACAAGAAACATGAAAGTCCCTCTAACATATTTTTCAATTACAACTAACATATTTACACTACATGATACATCTCATCCCCAACATCTAATATATATACATTACCTCTCATACCATGAAAATTCAATAATTCATTTTCTTGTAAAATATACAATGCTGACATATATAGTTCATACAATATAAAGTTACTTTACTAATATAGTAATGTTGATAAAAGCAAAGATAATAAAACATTTGATAAAAGAACAGATGAAATTAAAACATTGTTTTTAAAATATTTTTTTTGTAAACTTGTTCAACTGTGGTGCAGCGTAAGAACTGCGGGTCATGATATTTACAAGTCATCTAGTACACTAGCTGTGTTTGGTTTTGTTGGTTGCTATGATACCATTTAATTGTTCTTCTTCTGTCTCTCAAACACAAGGTATTCCTGAAATTAAAACAATATATAATGCTTTGCTAAAATAAACAAAGGAAAGTAACTCACTTATCTATAGGAAATAAGTTACTTTCCTTTATAACTTATTTTATAACTTACATGAAACTTTGGTATTTTGCAAAATCAACACAGCACATATAATTATATAGGTAGATTAAAACAAGAGGGCCATGATGGCCCTGAGGTCGCTCACCTGTATATAGGCCCCACCAACCCCCCCCCCCCACAAACTTGGTAGACACCCATAAGAAGATGTTTCATGCTAAACATCTAAGCTCTAGCTCATTGGGCTTTTTAAAAGAAGATTTTTTTTAAGTTTTTACTATACACATATAGTTAAAAAAAATTACACCCCTGGGGCAGGGCCAGTTTTGACCCCAGGGCTTTTATTTGAACAAACTTTGTAGACACTTACTAGAAGATGTTTCATGCTTAATATCTAAACTCTAGCTATTTGGGTTTTTCCAAAGATTTTAAGTTTTTGCTATACACATATAAAGAAAATCAATGACCCCCCCGGGGCGGGGCCAATTTTGACCCCTGGTCTTTTACTTGAACAAACTTGGTAGACACCTATTAGAACATGTTTCATGCTAAATATCTTAGCCATAGCTCTTTGAGTTCTTTAAAAGAAGATTTTTCAAGTTTTACTATATGCATATAGGGAAAATCAATGACCCCCCAGGGCGGGGCCAATTTTGACCCCAGGGCTTTTATTTGGACAAACTTGGTAGACACTTATTAGAACATGTTTCATGCTAAATATCTTAGCTCTAACTCTTTTGGTTCTTTAAAAGAAGATTTTTTAAGTTTTTACTATAATATAGGGAAAATCAATGACCCCTGGGGCGGGGCCAATTTTGACCCTAGGGCTTTTATTTGAACAAACTTGGTAGACACCTATTAGAACATGTTTGATGCTCAATATCTTAGCCATAGCTCTTTGAGTTCTTTAAAAGAAGATTTTTTAAGTTTTTACTATATGCATATAGGAAAATCAATGACCCCCCCGGGGCGGGGCCAATTTTGACCCCAGGGCTTTTATTTGAACAAACTTGGTAGACACCCATTAGAACATGTTTCATGCTAAATATCTTAGCTCTAGCTCTTTGGGTTCTTTAAAAGAAGATTTTTTAATTTTTTACTATATGCATATAGGGAAAATCAATGACCCCCCGGGGCGGGGCCAATTTTGACCCCAGGGCTTTTATTTGAACAAACTTGGTAGACACTCACTAGAAGATGTTTCATGCCAAATATCTAAGCTCTAGCTCTTATGGTTTTTTAAAAGAAGATATTTAAAGTTTTTTCTTTCGGTTGCCATGGCAACCAGAGTTCTGCATGGAATTAAATTCTTTGAACAATTTTTAAAGGTGACCACCAAAGGAACATTCCTGTGAAGTTTGGATGAAATTGGCTTAGTGGTTTATGAGGAGATGTCATTTAAAGTAAAAGTTTACGGACGGACGGACGCCGGACGAAAAGCGATCACAAAAGCTCACCCTGTCACTTTGTGACAGGTGAGCTAAAAAAGAGTAGTACTGTATTTAGTATTTATATCACTTTTGAGTTTGCCGCTGTAACTTATTTTATAGCACTTGTACTTATATTTGATATAAAATTCATGGATTTATTATACAGCCATCAAAAACAAATCAATTATAAATCAATTTAGACTGTAGGCTGATTTTCATTATCTATTTTAATTTAATTTTACTTTGTTTACCTCATTCTTATGGATTTATAAATAATTTCCTTTCTTTAAGTACTATAAGTAACTTGTATTTTATATTATACATGTATGTTTTATCTACATAAATTATGTATAATGTTGTTGAATTAGACTAACAAAGGTTATAATGACAATGTTTATACTTACGACCAAGAAGAGAGATCCTAACAGCAAGGCCTTACAGTCAACAGTCATGTCAGGTGGGACTGAAAATATAAATATCATTATCTACATTATATGATCTAACCAAGACCAAATGAAGATATCAATATCACAAGGACGACAGATATCTAATTGCATGAACATAAGGGTTTAAAAAGAAAGAAAAAAACTGAAAACAAAAGTAAATAAAATACACAAATGTTTTCAAATTTCTTGTTGTTGGTTTTTAAATTACCCTTTAACAAAACTTTTTTATTGAGGTGTCCGTGGCCGAGTGGTTAAGGTCGTTGACTTCAAACCACTTGCCCCTCACCTCTGTGCAGGGACTTTGGATTTTTTCATGTGAGGAAGCTATCCAGCTAGCTTATGGAACGTCGGTGGTTCTACTCAGGTACCCGTTCATGCCTGAAATAATGCACGGAAGGGCACCTGAGGTCTTCCTCCACCAGTAAAGCTGGAACGTCGCGATATGACCTATACTGTGTCGATGTGACGTAAAACTTAAAACAAACAAACAAAACTTTTATAGCATTTCCTATTTCATTAATAAAGACAGAGTCAAAATTTTGTTATGTGCATTATTCAGACATATGAATACAACTGGGTCAAACGATGAGCAAGCTAGAGTATATCACACTTTATTAAATAAGGCAAATAAATTTCTCTTATTTTGATTGGTTTAAACACTTCGTATACAATGCCATATATACTGTAAAGAAGCGAAGCGAGCACAAACAACAAAATATTTCTACAGTGCAGACAGTGCCTACATAATTATGTGCATAAATTTATTGATTTTTGTTATTTATGGCATATTTCTCGATTCAAATTTCATCACTTCAAAAATATAGTTAAAAGTTACTCTGCTAGCTATGATGACTTTTATTTTATTCGAATTACTTTTAATTGTGCAGCATTCCTGAAGCTGTTGAAGGGTTTATGTAATCTTAGTCAAAGTGGGTGTGCTTTTTCTTATGAACCTATCGTCAATACTAATTTTCATTATTATAAATTTGTTAGACAAGTTGATGACTTGATATACAGGAAAATATAGCTTTGTTGCTATAATTCTCGCCTAAATAATCACTCCCTCAGGTCATAGTCATCTCATTCAGTGGCAAGAGCCTCGGGTCATAGTCATCTCATTCAGTGGCAAGAGCTTCGGGTCATAGTCATCTCATTCAGTGGCAAGAGCCTCGGGTCATAGTCATCTCATTCAGTGGCAAGAGCCTCGGGTCATAGTCATCTCATTCAGTGGCAAGAGCCTCGGGTCATAGTCATCTCATTCAGTGGCAAGAGCCTCGGGTCATAGTCATCTCATTCAGTGGCAAGAGCCTCGGGTCATAGTCATCTCATTCAGTGGCAAGAGCCTCGGGTCATAGTCATCTCATTCAGTGGCAAGAGCCTCGAGTCATAGTCATCTCATTCAGGCTATATTCTCCTGTATATACTGCAACTTGTATCACTAATAATATGTAATCAATAGAACTGCTATGTGATGAACTGTCATTAGTCCAATTTTTTCTTAATGTGTCATAGTAAAAAGAAAGTCCCAATTTATTCCCGTTATATAAATTCTTAATGAAAACCTAAATTAAAGTAATATTTTTCAATGTTTTTACATGGTTTGTATAGAATAATTCTGACATTTGACCTCCAAGGGTGACCACAACCTTTCACCAGCACAACCGCAGCATAGGTTCTAAACATCGCCTTGTTGAGGTGTTCATTTGAGCCAAGTTTAAAGAAAATACTTTTCCCAGTAAAGCCCCCCCCCCCACATTATGTGCAAATCCCTTCAACTTTAACTTTTACTATATAAATACTTACATGTCAAACAATACTGGTCGGCATCAGTGAAAGATTCCGCACAACATCCTCTCCACTGCTTCGCAATATTCCCAACACGTGTTTGTAATGATGGGTCAGTTATCTACAACAGTTAGGATAAAAAGTATTTATTTGAAACCCAACAAGAACTGCCAATAAGATAGTAAGCTCAACTTTATTCAGTGCTTGATAGTAAGAAAAGGAGCATAACTCATAAAATGGTAACTCAGAGTTATGGGATAATAGTCTACAATGTAAGATAATCAAAGAGAACAATTATGTGATGTGCATGCCTCCAATGACATGCCCAAGGACCACAAATTCCACTTTTCTCAGTTTTGGATAGTATAAATAAAGCAAATCAGGAATGGGGGCATATATTATTCAGCAAAAATGCTTTACATTAACTAATATCCATTTTCAATGTGTCGCAAGACAATTCCTACAGACATGTTACACTAATCTGGACATTAAATATTTATACACACTAATTGACAATGTTCATGGTATGGTTAAAGGATCAATATATTGATAACCTACACTACACTGAAAAAGCCAATAAATCTACAAAACAAAACACGCAATCTTTTGTAACAGGAGAAATAGTTTTATTCCCTTGGGTGTTTTGTTCCCTTTTATCATTAATACAAAATGTTAATATGTATATCTTTGTGTTAATTAATTATCAATTCATACAAAATACGAACAATTATACATTATTTTCTTTTGTTAAATGCACTAATTCTGCTTCAAATCAAAAACAATGACTGCCCAATATCAGAGTATAAGGGATTGCAGAACAACAAATTAACAAGACAACTTTATAAAAATAAAATCTGGTCTAACTCACTCAGAACTATTAGATCATTTATAATGGTGGCATAGATTATGCCTAATCAAACTTGTTTTTGAGAATTCTCACTTCCTGAAAACATATATATCTATATTTTTTACATAAATTTTTTTAAACAGCATTAGTGCAAGTCATTACGAAGAAAAGATTGACTCAAATATAAGTATCTAATATGCAGAAACAAATTCTATGTATTACAAGAATGATACCTTACCGGGAAATCAATATCTTCTGGGCAGCAGACAGTCTGGAAAGGACAACATGGCCCCCAGATTGTAAACATGTGGTTGTCTGCAGCATCAAAGATCTGTACGTGATTCTTCCATTTGGAATTTCTGAACAACAAACAAAATTAATACATTTTATGTCATAAATGTGTTTAGTAATTCTTAAATAATTTTATATATTTATGAAATGTTCAGTCACTGTTAAAGCTGTCAAATGTATCACATGAGCCAAGAAAACATGTTACAAATTACAACCATAAGTTGACGGCAATTATTTAAAATCCTATAAAGAGATTAAAGAAAGATGAGCCATGCCATGAAAAAACCAACATAGTGCGTTTGTGACCAGCATGGATCCAGACCAGCAGTCTATCAGGATCCATGCTGTTTGCTATCAGTTTCTCTACTTGTAATAGGGTTGGTAAGTGAACAGTATGAATCCTGATCAGACTGCGTGGTCTAGTCTGGATTCATGCTGGTCGAAAACGCAATGTTGGTTTTGTCGTGACGCGGCTCATATATTAAAGTCAAACAAACTTATGAATGATGTATTATATCATTATAACAGCTGACTCTTAGTTCCTGATACTTTGAATTGGGAGTAGATTTCAAAATTTCACTAAGAAGGAATGACTGACATCTTTTTTGCTTCTTAATACATTTCTGGGGCATAATGGGCCTTAAAAATATAAGATACTATAACTTTCCTTTACATCTTAAAAGTAAGAATACTTGTTTTAAAGACTCAACTTTGACCTGAAACCAGTAAATAAAGAAAAGACCGATCGTACAAACATGAAAAAGTGTATTAATTTTATATACATTATTTCAAACTGAAACAAGATTATTTACCTCCTTACAGATGATAATATTGTTACATTATTTATTTATAAAGAGAAAAAATCCCCTATAACAATATATATAACTTATAAGTATTCTTATTTGTATGTTTATCACATACCCAGTCCTAATTCTGCCGATAATACGCCCTACCGGAGACTCAACATTGATGGTCATGCTACAACAACCCTCGCCACACCAGCAACATCCTGTACAACACTTGAACTCTCTCGAGAACTGCATCACTTCCTGTTTCACAAAACATAAGCAACATGAATGTTTATCAAGTAAAATTGAACCAATTAAGAACCCTAAAGGAAGCAACTGCTGGGGAGCAAAGTGATTTCAATCTCAATCTCAAACCTTCTCAAACCTTCTTTATATGAAATCCTATTGCTTACTGTTAATGATGTACATTCAAAACAGTGTGAAGAAAATGATTACAATCAAACCGATAGTAAATATTTAAACTTTAATTTTTATGAGTTTATTGTACAGAATAAAATTAAAATAAGTTACTGATCAAGTATCCTAAAAGGTTTGGCATTGTCAATATTTCTCCTTGTACTATTATAAATAGAACAAACCCACCTTAAAAAGTGGAAAATGAATTCATGTTGACAAAGTTTTTGGTATTAGTTTCATCAATTTCATATCAATTTACACATGTGCATTTTGCCCCAAACCTTTAATCATAAAGTATTCAACTTAAAAATTAAGTGACAAATATTGCTTGTCTTATCTATAAAGATGGGCTGACAAATATTGCTTGTCTTATCTATATATAAAGATGGGCTGACAAATATTGCTTGTCTTATCTATAAAGATGGGCTGACAAATATTGCTTGTCTTATCTATAAAGATGGGCTGACAAATATTGCTTGTCTTATCTATAAAGATGGGCTGACAAATATTGCTTGTCTTATCTATAAAGATGGGCTGACAAATATTGCTTGTCTTATCTATAAAGATGGGCTGACAAATATTGCTTGTCTTATCTATAAAGATGGGCAATCTTTTGAGATTTCAATGGAGTGATTTTATTGGTGAGCAAAAGATGTTGAATACTTAAACAGCATTGTAAGTAATACTTATTAAATACTTGCCTACTTAATTTCTTAGAACCATGGCTAGATTCAGATATGAATATAAACATTGCAGAAGAAGGTCACTGGGTCACATTAAAAAGACATAATTTTTCAAGCTTTACTGGTTGAAAGCATGCATTTTCACATGAAAATATTGAAGTTGCTGGGTTGATTTGTCAGAAGTGACCTTAACCTACTACACAACAGAGACCCTGAATTTGTTTAATCGTAGCATTTAGTATTGGTATATATATAGAGTTATTAAAATTATGTTAAGTATAATATTAATTTTGTTTTTCATTTACTGATACAGTATATAAATAACACAAAAGTTAATGAGTAACAGTGAAATTATCATTCCAAGGAAAATACTTTTGCGAGGTTTAATGTATTTTTACGAGGGCTGATATGTTTGCTGTTACTTAAAAACCTGTGTTATTTATCTTATTATCCAAAACAAACACTTCATTAGGAAGTTCTACTTACTTTTTGTCACATGGTTCACCTGAATTAACAGAAAGAATGTAATTCCCATTGGCCTATGGGAAATTAACATAACAAAAATAGCTAGGGGTAATAACAAGTACTATAAGGTTAAACAGTATATTTTTGTTTGTTTTGATTGGGTTTATGTCGCACCATCACAGTATAGGCCATATTACGACATTCCAGCTTTATTGGTGGTGGACGACCTAAGACATATGACATGTACATTATTTCAGGCATGAACAGGTCGAGTAGAACCACCAAAGTTCCGTAAGATAGCTGGATAGCTTCCAGTCACATGAAAGAATCTAAAGTCCCTAACCGGATTCGGACCAACAGCGGTGAGGAGCAAGTGGTTAATCAGTATATAACATGTACATTACTGTTAACTTACCACAGAATTGTTGTCAGTCATATGGAGCTGGAAACCTCTATTCTGGGGGAAAAAGCAACGCTCACACAAACTAGACTCTGTGAAAAACAAAACAGATTTTTAAAACTAACCACTTTTCAAACTTTCCTACAAAAAGAACATTCAATTAATTTTATATTTTTATAACACAGTAACTTTCTGTATGTTTCTGTAAATGATCAAACGGGAATGTTTATGTTTTAAAAAAATACAATATAAAAAGAAAATAATACATGTATGTAATATTAATTTACCTTCTTGTACAAAGAATATTTGTTGTCCTTGATTGTTTAATACGGCATATCTATTTCTTGTCTCAAATCCAGTCAATACTGAAATAAATATATATATATATATATAAATAATATAAATAAATATAATAATGATATGTGCTCGTAACAATTTCAACAAATTTGATTTAGGCTAACTGTCTGAATTATGTGACATGTGGTCACATTGTTTAATATGTATTGAGATGGCTATTTTAACAAACTTTAATAAATTTGGTATATACAGAATTCATTTTAGTTTGACGGGAACCAATCAGTACAAAGCAATGAGGGTCAAGTTTCATGCGGATAGCGATCCTTAGATTATTGGTCTGACATGTAAACCACTTGGTGATGCCACTAATTGATCATTCTTTCTTTATTAATTCAACTTGTGTTATTTTTTCTCTACATCATGTGTAACAGATATCTTTGTGATGTATTAATTGTACATATTATGTTGATATTAACCTAAGTACAAAATATATGAAACTAAAATGTTCACATCTAAAGACAACTATTTATACAGCTGACATCAACATAAGCTTTTTATCTGTGCTATTGGTAATATCAAAATACTTCAAAGATAAAATTAATGACAGATTGTTGAATTGTCAATCATGTCGGGTGTACTATATAACTGGATGTTTACATTTTATGTCCTCTTATCAAATTAAGATACGAATATTCAAATTTTAATTCATATAAATAATTTTCAATCCATATAAAAAATCTAAATTAGATTAACTAAAGGGATTTTTACTGAATTTAAATCACTAAAATTTCAAGAAATTTAACTCAAAATGACTTTGTTTATTCTGAAGCAAGACAAGACATAAACATGACTATACGAACATTATACTGAGCTGCTAATATATCACTTTAACAGATTGTTTGTAATAATGATTGCAGGAGTATTTGGAAAAGCAGGGAATTCAGAAGACTGGGAAAATGCGTCACTGCAAATTTTTCTTTGACATGTAATATCTTGTGTTACAACATAATCTGGAGCCTCTAAAGTCATCTTGATTTTTCTTTACTCTCAGCCAGATATTTGCCTAATGCAACAATGATGTTGTAAACAGAATAACATTTAGCACTGATCACAGTTTTGTTATTGAAACTTGGTTCAGTTTAAAGTCACCCTGACAAGTTAAATGTATAAAAGGATTTTCTAGAATTGAATGCCCATGAAAGACCCAAGATGTCTGCATCTCTGTACATGTATGACCTGTCTTCAGTTAGTTTGATGAATCTGACTTTTACTTTCAGGTTGTTGCACTTGTAAGTCAATATAACTATCACAAATGCATAAGTAGGGATTTTAAGCACAGGCAGGTATCTAGATAGAACCAAATAATTTCCCTGCAAGTTAACCAGATTGAAGGATACTCAAAAAATGTTTGTCATTATTTAACGACACTGTTCATACCTTCAAGAGCCTCAAACTTTTGTTTGACGATGATTTGATCTAGTCCTGCCATATATTGTAGACTTGGTGGCAACCCGGGCACTCCTGGAGCTGCAGTCATCTCCACTAAAATAATACAAGTAGAATAATGTAACCATGACAACTTGACAACTATTCCTGGATTCTGCATTAGTTAAAAAGAGTTTACTGCCAGTGTTCCTGTAGTCACTGTGATGAGATGTTGTCACTATAATGTATGTACACTGTTGTATTATATAAGCTAAGTCATATAATTTTACTTATGTTGCACAATACAATCACTTATGTCTATGGAGTCTGTATATGTAACAAACTTTATAATATTTCCTTAAACTTTGAATCAAAAAGTAAAATTAACTATAGTGTCTACATGACCAGAATGGCCACTTATTGAATATAATTATGTAAATACATTTCAAAATCAAACTATGAACTATAATTGTCAATGATCATCTTTTTAGGTCATAAAAACATGTAATGTTTTGGTTTAAACTAATGTTTTAAAACCATTTACATAAAGCACATACATGTGTAATATGATTACACATTATGCAGTAATCTTACACTTACTTTTCTGAGGTTGTGTGGCTACTGGAAACGATGACATGGTTCTTTTGTTCTGTATCTCGCTGTAGAAAATTCAGTAAAACTTTTCACCTGCAAATATAAATTAATATATAATATGAAAATTACAATTAATTAATTTTTCACCTTCAAATATAATTATATGAAATTACAGTTACTTAATCATTTAATTAAGTTATCAATTAACCATCAATGTTATGCTAAATATCTTAAATAGACTTGTCCATCTTTCAATCCAGACAAAATCATTCATCATTTTTCGGGAAATTTTTTCAAATATATGAAAAGCTGAATCAGTGCAGACCATTTTAAGACAAATGTTCACTGATGTGCCAGCTGATCTTTGTTGGCACTGGTGGCATTCAGTTGCCACTAGCAACGGTGAAAATATTCAGCACGGACAGCACCTATATAAATATTAAATTAAATAAATAACATCTCTTATTTATTGTCTTATTAAAATGACATTTTCAATTTGTTAAAGGAAAGATTTAATGCAAATGCTTCAGACAAAATATCCTGCCCTTGTAGTAGGATTCAAACTGATGTCACCAAGGATACAAACACAATTTAACAGAACTCTCGAGACCACAGTCAGAAGATTGATTCTTGGAAGCACATATCTATTCCTGTAGTATGTGTACCCAATAGTAATGGAGTCCATTCACAGAGCTGTGATCATTTACTAATAACACTATAAATGAATCAATATGTAGCTCACAGTTATGGAGGGCGATCGTTGCCAAAATTCCAGACATGTAATGTGTTCCTTTTGAAAACTACTTTTGAAAATGCGAACATGTATGTCTAGCATTTTTGATTGCATTCGTGCACAGCAAATGATATGCCTCTTAATCCAATTTTTTAATTGAAGGCACCCGCTTTTAAATAACAAGTTTACATGTAAATCTTAACAACTGACCTAACACACATTTACAAGTTCGTATCTACCATTGCATATAATACATAAGCATGTTTGCACACTTGTAGATATATATATATGTACCTGAAAAACACAAATGAAATGTAAAACTCGAATGCAGAAAATATAATTTAATAAAACGTGTTTCCAGTCCTAGAACTACAACAGTACATTTACACAATTACATGTTTAAAATGACAAAAGTAGATTCACAAAGTTAAACGATTTTAAGTCATGCATGACGCCCCGCCCCTCTCTGAGTACTTACGATCTTCTATCACGGAAATGTACGGACAGGTATAATACCCGTCGCCTCTCTCCTATTTCTCAATAAAGTGAAGGAAAACACGGCGTCCATTCTAACTTTTTTTTATTTCTATAAAAAGTCCAATATAATTTGTATCAAATGAAAGATTACTCCATAAGCTTTCTATGAGTGCCTCGGAAATAAAAATGAATTAAATAGATGTATTGATTTTTTTGTTGTTTTTTTTAGTCTGAAAATAACACTCTCGAATTGGTAAGAAAAACACGGCGTTCCCTCCAAACTTTTTTTTTATTTCGTAATATATTTTGATAATTTTGGATTGAAATAAAAGTGTGATTAATACGATTTATGATATATAATTATATAATGCCTCAAAATAAAAAGGAATTAAATCAAAATGAATTAACTTTTCGTTAAAAAGTTTATCATGTTATTTTCTGTAAAATAGAGAAAATAAGAATCCCTAAAGAACGCTCAAAACGACAAAATTGAGAATGTTTCAGGCCGGTTTGATTGAGCCTGCTCATGGGCGGTAATGGAAAGAGCAAGTTATCGTCCACGCCCCCTAGCACCGGCTTAAGCAAAATTCAACATGAACTGGTACAATTTTGAATTTTGAAACATCCGCAGATGTGTTAATATGGTGATTATCATGGAACCTTCAATGTGACACGTAAGTGCCATACCATGAAAAACGGCATATGATCCCCAAGTAAAAAAAAACAAAACACACTCTGAAATTCAGTAAGAGAAACATGGCGCCCCCTACTTACTTTTTTTATTTCTTGGTCAATTTTGATAATTTAAGAATATGATAAACAAGATCATCAAGGAAAGGCGGCGTTGATAATTTTAGACTCAAGTAAAAAATTCTGGAAACAAAGTGATCCCTCGGAAGCATTAATCACAACAAAATTACATAAGAATTGCAGACTCGGTTTGATTGAGTCTGTACATGAGAGATAATGAATAAGTGCAACATCCCTCACGCCCCCTAGCACCGGATTGAGCGGTACTCAATTCTCAACAGTTAATAGTGCTTAAGAATCCTTAATGAACTTTCTAGTGATGCCTTAAAAATGAAAATTAATTACGTAGAAGTATCAAAAATTTTGTTTCTAATTTATCGTTGTTTTTTTTTCTCTTAAATCCACACTCATATATTCGGAAAAAAATAACGTCGCTTCCTTTAGATACTTTATTCAAAAAGGAAAATAAATATTGAATGAAGTTAAGACCATAAGTTTTGAACAAGTATATTAAAAATCTGGAAACAAGGTGATCCCTCGGAAGCATTAATCACAACAAAATTACATAAGAATTGCAGATTCGGTTTGATTGAGTCTGCACATGAGGGATAATGAACAAGTGCAACATGCCTCACGCCCCCTGGCACCGGCTTGAACGGTACTCAATTCTCAACACTTAATAGCACTGGCATCAATGATCCCGAAAGACCAGAAAATTATAACAACACTGAAGTGAAGTACGGGGCAACTTTTTACATCTGCCTCACGGCACTTGAAACCTGATGTTGTGAAGTATAAAAATCTGGAAACAAAGTGATCCCTCGGAAGCATTTATCACTACAAAAAATTACATAAGAATTGCAGACTCGGTTTGATTGAGTCTGTACATTAGGGATAATGAACAAGTGCAAAAAGTTTTTATTCATACTGAAAATACCTTATTAAAGATTGTACATATGTGCTACGGATAAGTATTTTCTTGATTTCGGAAAGGAAATCTCGGTGGCCGCTTTAAAATATACTTGCATAGTTTTTGTTGAAAATGAAATTTGTGCCAATACATTTTTCAATGATACCAATAAGAATATTGGGTGGTTTTTTACATTATTAATAAAATTACTCCCTTGAAGTTGGTCATTGTTTCCCCTAAAAATTTCCCAATCGCCGATGTTTCTCAGGAATATATGATAAACAAGATCAACAAGGAAAGGCGGCGCTCAATGAACGCAACCCCACATGACCCAGCAACAAGAACAAGTGGCAAGAAGCCAAGGCGGACCCAAAACAAAACACAGGACAGAGCACTAGGCAGAGCACGGACAGGCTAATCACTAAAATGATAAATAATTTGTAACTGATAAAAACACGATGTTAAAAATAAGGTAATGCATAAGTTATCTTCATCATAAATGGTAAAATCAGCAATTTTCAAGTGATGTTGCTACTGACAAAACTTTTGTAACAAATGTAACATATATATTTTATGAAAAATGCCGTATGTTGTCCTTCAGTTTTATTTAAAAATATGGGAGAGGCGCCGTTTTATACCTGTCCGCAATAGAAGTTCGTAAATACTCCGAGAGGGGCGGGGCGTTATGCTTGACTTAAAATCGTTTAACTTTGTGAATCTACTTTTGTCATTTTAAACATGTTACTGTGTTAACGTACTCTTGTAGTTCTACAACTGGTTACACGTTTTCTTAAACTCTATTTTCCGTATTCGAGTTTTACGTTTCATTTGTATATTTCAGATCTATAAGTGTGCAAACATGCATATGTATTGCATGCAATGGAAGATACGAACTTGTAAATTTGTTGTCGTTTTAGATGTTAGGTCAGTTGTTACGATATATATGTAAACTTGTTATATAAAGGCGGTAACCTTCAAATAAAAGATTGAATTAAGAGGTTTACAATAAAAATGGTAGGCATACAAGTTCGCATTTTCAAAAGTCATTTTAAAAAGGAACACTTTACATGTCTGGAATTTTGGCAACGAACGCCCTCCATACACAGTAGCTTATCAGTTAAGTAACATTTCAACAGAAATAAAACATGTAATCCATTACAGTAAATATTTACAATGAAAATTTGTGTAACCTATGTCACATTGACATTACGATGAGAAAATTAATCAAGGACATCTTAAACCCAAAATATTATCTACAATTTTCCCTTGCTATAAAATGCAATTCAAAAATTTATATCCTTTACAGAAAGTAAAACAGATTAAAGATAATCTTATTCAACAAACCTTTTCTAATGATTTTAACACTACAGTTTATAAATGAAACCCATAATTATAAAGATGAAAATGAATGCACTGTTCATAAAAGTAGAGAGAAGTAATTAATTATTCATATTCCTCAACATTCCAACAATAAAATATGACATCATAAACCAGATACCGTAAAATTCCTATTAAACGCCCCGGGGGGCTAAACATTTTCCAAAAGTTGGGGGCTATTATTACAACATGGGTTTTCCTAAATCCTAAATTCATTGAAAATACATTTAGTGTTAACAATTAAGTGTTGGTAATAACATTAAAATATGTTAAGATTTTAAAGTTCATGTAATACATTTTTGTGTTTACTATGAAATAAAATGGATTCTGAAGGATTTGAATAAAATTACGGATTTATTAAAGAATTAAAGAGTTCACCACTCATGAGCAGATTTTTTTCCATATCAAAAAGCCTAGGGGGGGGGGGGCTTTTGTCAGGGGAGGGGCGTTTATTAGGAATTTTACAGTATGGTTGTTATACATACATGTATAACACTAGTGGTTGTGATGATTTAAAGTTGAATTCCTACATTTTTGCTACCAAGGTACCTTAAAGCTATGTTCTCACCGCCCATCAGATCAACTTGATCGTCCCGATCACATTAATTCCCCAATGAAGCCCCACCAGATCGCTTGATCGTGCTTGATGGAGTTGATCTGATCGGCGGTGAGAACACAGCATAAAGCAGCATGCCTCAAGATGTATGTTAATTTTCATGAAAATGTTAAAAATGAATTTAAAAGTAAAGTGTTGTGAAGTAAACAAAGAAATTAATTCCGTAATAAACCCACTTAAAATACCAGAAACGAGGTCAAAATATGCAAAAATAGCCGTAACAAAGTAGAAGTGTGATAATAAATACTGCAAAATAAGTCATTTATCGCACAAAACATGTACATAATGGCTTGAATCTTGTATATGTTTAATTTTCTTAAAATCTTAGTACTTTTTTCTCAAGTTTGATTTTCTTGAAATATTTGGCTCATCTGGAGGCATGCAGCTTTAAAGTTTACAATGGACGATTCCAAATTCATAGCAGGACAATTAAGTATGGGTGAAGTTATATTAGTTTATTTGCTGAAAGTCATTGGTCATTTCCTTCTGTTCATTTACTTCCTTAAATTAAATTACTAATATATATAATTGTCCGTGTTTTATCATGGTCTTATCTTCCAGTCTGGACACAACCATTCACCATTTTAGGGAAAACTTTCAGACACAATCATTCACTATTTAGGGAAAACTTTCAGACACAATCATTCATTATTTAGGGAAAACACAATCATTCACTATTTAGGGAAAACTTTCAGACACAATCATTCACTATTTAGGGAAAACTTTCAGACACAATCATTCATTATTTAGGGAAAACTTTCAGACACAATCATTCACTATTAAGGGAAAACTTTCAGACACAATCATTCATTATTTAGGGAAAACTTTCAGACACAATCATTCGCTATTTAGGGAAAACTTTCAGACACAATCATTCACTATTTAGGGAAAACTTTCAGACACAATCATTCACTATTTAGGGAAAACTTTCAGACACAATCATTCACTATTTAGGGAAAACTTTCAGACACAATCATTCACTATTTAGGGAAAACTTTCAGACACAATCATTCACTATTTAGGGAAAACTTTCAGACACAATCATTCACTATTTAGGGAAAACTTTCAGACACAATCATTCACTATTTAGGGAAAACTTTCAGTCGCAATCATTCGCTATTTAGGGAAAACTTTCAGACACAATCATTTGCTATTTAGGGAAAACTTTCAGACACAATCATTCACTATTTAGGGAAAATTTTCAGACACAATCATTCACTATTTAGGGAAAACTTTCAGACACAATCATTCGTTATTTAGGGAAAACTTTCAGACACAATCATTCACTATTTAGGGAAAACTTTCAGACACAATCATTCACTATTTAGGGAAAACTTTCCTAAAATATGTACGGACAAAATACTCGATAGTTCTGGCCTGCACTGGTCAGCATTTCATGGATAAAGTCAGTTTCCACTACACATGTACCGTAAAATCAAATGTACTACATGAATATATATTTTCAAACAGGTTAAATACTCATTATTCCCAAGAAGCTTTACAGTTTTGGTGTAGTTTTGTAATTTTACAGGCCATTTATCTGAACGTTGCTCTTTGGCAATAGTAAAGTTTAATTGATTATTTTGTATACATACTGAATTTAGACAAAAACAATCAATACTGCTTATTTCTTTATCAAAGATCAAACAAAAGATATCTACATAGGTAAATAGATTTACCAACAGTTTTCAAATTGCTAAAATGTAAAATATCTGTAACATACCATTTCCTTGTCAAAATGCTTTTAGAGTATTAATTGTGAAAACATTAATAATTTCAATATTTGTAAATTAACTTTAACATTTTTATCAATCATTAAAAGAATTCCATGTTGCATAAATATTTTGATAAAAACACTTTTAGATTCTCAACTAATAAATTTTACAACTCTAGCATAACATGTCATAGAGGTCAATTAGGAAATATTATCACCTTTTGATTTTAATACCTTATGGCTAAATTCTCAATTTCCTAGTCTTTTATCAAACAAGCCATACTTGATTATCCTTTGGTATTTATTACGCTCAATCACCATGACAACTCTTCCTTAATTTATATCGTTGATTTTCATATATTTTAAAATTAGTCTTTTTTTAAAATTGGGAACTTACAACATCAATAGTCTTATCTTGAGTTCTGGATGTGTTATAAACATCAACTTAGAAAATAAATAAGAAATATTAACTTAGTAAATTAGGGTGCTTGCTGTGAAAGTATATATGTGGACTATATTATTATTTGATATTTGTGAATTATATCAATCACTATAAAGAAATAAATTAAATAATATCAACATTGGACTCTTGTGTTATAAAATACAATCATTTATAAACAGGATACTGGATGTCACTGAGTAAAGAAAAGAAACTCATTCTCCAGTATCCCACTACAACCAACAGAGGGTTTCCGTGTAGGACGCTCACTACGCCAGCAAGTTCAATTTTCCAACACAACCCCAAAGCCAAGGCCCTGCTGGGGACCATCGGCTACATATCTCTGGTTAAAATGGATTAAATATCCATTCAGCTGAGAAATTAATTAATTAATTACTTTTTCCCACAAGACATTCTGTTTTGTCACTTTAATGGATTTTTGTGTTAAACAAACAAGTATTAGGGGTACATTAAATGACGTACATTCCATGCCATAAGGTCATCTACACTTATCACTACTTAAGATAACATACACTAAAGTAGAAGTTTGATAAAAAAATACTAACATTGAATACATTTCGACTACCGACTTATTTTGTAACAGATAAACTTTTATAGTTTGCACAAAATTTAAAAATAGATTCACAACTGTAGTATGAAACTTAAATGGTACTTGTAATTAAAATGTAAAATGACTCTTTTTTTTCAGTTATTTGAAACTTAATATAAATTATGTTAATGTATTTGTGTATTTCAAAGGTAAATCTAAATTTAGTTGTTTTTTTAAATATATATTTTCATGTAAAAAAGCATCATTTAAACTTTTGAAAATGGCATAATTATGTCTACAGTATGCAATTTAGGTTATTATCAGGTACGGCAGCATTTATGTGTTGATGACGTGTTAGAATCGAAATAATATATCCAAATCGGTGATTTTATCGCTTGATAACATCAATGTTTGGAGTTTGGATGCGCATCATTATATCACTTGGACTAGACCCTTGGGATATATGTTGCATCCGAACTACAAACAGTGATGTTATTGAGCGATAAAATCACTGTTTGGGATATATTATTTCTTAAATATAAAATTTTCACAAAATAATATATGACAGTACATATGGGGATGTGTCACTGTCAGAAAAGTAATTCTTCAATTTCTTGATAATAAAGATTATATTTTGCATGGGTAGTCTGTAGGGGAGACTGGGGTACTATGGAACACGAGGCACTGTGTTATCTCCAAGTTTAAAATAATAATCTCGAAGTTTAATTTATTATTTTAGGATTAGTTAGTTATCTATTACATCCAGTACATATTGTCTTTTTCATCCACAAAAGAGAGCAATGTTCAATCCTTAATGTTAAGTAGGAGACTGAAAAAAAAAGATTTTTGTCCCGGAGTGCCCAAGTCTCCCCTATTATATTGGTAGTATCTCAATTTATTTGCTTCAATTTATGATTTTATTAGGACTCTGGTGCATTGTGTTTTACATATTTAAATTATTTAGCCTAAAATTCTATTTATTTAGATATCCTATAGTCTCTGAGATATCTAAATAGAACGTAATACTACTCTAAAATTAAGATTACCCTGTAATAAATGTTTTGTTGATGACAGATGTTCCAAAATTCTTGTATTTTACAGTTGATCTACGTTGTACTAGGCTATAATTTAATGGAATACTGTACATTGTTTTTTACTTAGCATCCCACTAAAATTTCCAGTACTAACGTAACTTACCTGTAATAAATATCCCAGATATACCCGATTTGTTACGCTCTCAGACGGGTAGAAAATGTTATGCAATGATAACGACGACCAGAAAGACAAAGTAAAAACCTGTTTACATACTGTTGAAGTTGGGCATTTCACAATTATTTATTTCAAAACTAATTAGGATCGAATGCACATTACAACATTCTAATAAGTAACAATTCTAAAATAATCACAAATATTACCTTCAACAGTTTTGAATAACAGTGAGAAAAGAAAACTGTGAAATACCTGTAATTAGTCCTTTAAATAAAACTGACCTAAATGCACAATTTCACGACCTAGCTTTTCAACTATCAGTATCACGTGACCAATTTCTAAACATAGCTAGGCGCGGTTATGGACAATCGCAACTTTTCGGCCCTTTCCGTCAGTCTTCGGATCAATCATATCCGTCAATCTTAGGATAAGGAGCACTGTTCGAGTAATGTATTCATAGTAAACATCACAAGGTTAGCTTTTAAAAAAGCTAGTAGCGACTCGCTTCGTAATTTTTTTCAAGGGGTGTGTTTAAATGTAAAAATGACAGTTCTGTTAGCTGAAGAGACTTCAGCGAACATCAAAATAAAAGTGAAGTCAACACTGGCTCGGTGCCCGATGGCCAGTGTATATAAGTTCAGGCCAGTGTAAATTTAAGAAAATTTTGTTAATTATTTAGTAGAATAAATTCAAAACTGGAATTCGGGGCCAGTAAAATATTCAAAAATCTTAAACTCATTGACTGAAAGTGACATATAAAATTTTCTCAGTTTAACCAAGATGGAGTATGAGTATATATGAAGGTGCATGTAAACAGATAGAATGAAGAACCTATGTCTATGCAACATTTACTATATGGCCCTGTTGACCTTGACCACAAAAAAAATGTTAGATAGGTAGATTTCATAAAGATGTCTCTTTATAAAAATTAAGTTGTAATACATGTATGTTATTTAGTATTGGAATGAGAGGCACAAGTCCTAAAGTAAAACACAAGTTGTCAATCAATTCAGCCAGAAAAGCCGTGATCGTATTAAAACATATAGGGATCCGGGAATTGACCAGTTCAAGAATATAGTTTTCAGAAAAGCCGGGATCGTATTAAAATGTAAATAGATCTCACGGATTGGCCAGTTCAAAGTATATAGTTTTCAGAAAAGCTGGGATCGTTTTAAAAACATATAGGGATGCCCGGGATTTTGGCCATTTCAAGAAAATAGTCTTTGATTTTTCCAATTAATTAGGCATATAATTATAAGTATTGGTGATTTCCGCATTTTAAGTTTGTTAATAAATAGCTCTAAATATATATATATTCTAAGTTAAATTAATTTAACGTTCATTATATACAATAAAAAAAAAACGTTTAATGGCCTTTCATTACGACAACAATCAACACACAAATATAGTTCATTAGGTTTTCTCCATATCTTTAAATACGATCCCGGATCCCGGGCGTCCCGGATCCCGGCTAGTAATACATACACACTAAATACCGGAAAGGATAAAATGACCGGAAAAAAATAAAAAAAATGCACAGAACCAGATGTACACTTAATATGTTAATTAACCAAACGAAAACTTACTACAGAGAAAACAGGTGAAATCGCTAAATCAGAAGTCAGTGTAAATATGATTTATTGAAAAGAATTTATAAAGACAAACATTTTAATCATCATTATATCTTTCGCTCAAAAAAAAATACTTGCTGATTTTTAAAAATGGCGTGAAAATTGAAGGTTTTTGACGCTATGTAAGATTAAATTTGATTGGCTAAATAATTTTGGATCCTAGCCCTGATAGATAAATTTTGTAGAAAGCTGGAAGCCAAGCTTCGATTAAATTTTTGGATGGCTTCGGAGTTTTAGGTTGTTTCTCAGTAAAATCCTACCGTAATACCGGCTCGCCGTGGCGAGCCGGCAAAAGGAGAATGCAAACAAATTTCTTGCCCAGTTTAAGCTGTACTTCACGTAAATTTTGACTGAAAATAACCACACTATCCAATTTTTTTGAAAATTTTAGTAACGTCATCAGCCGTTCGCCACTTTTTAATGATTAATATGATTCAACATTGTGATGTATTGTATATATGACATGCTTGGAATGAGACAATAAACTATTAAACTTCTTTTTTTATCTACTATTGCTATATCATTTATTTTGTTATATTTTGATATCAATGTCATGCTGAACATGTCATACATGTATATTTAAGAATTTCCTATTGAACAGATTAGTATGTACATTTAGCCATGCAATTATAAGTATATATACATGTATATTGTACCGTAAGATAAAGGGAATGGATTGAAAAAAATCCCATATGTAAAACGTATTTTCCCTTTTCGCTGATATTTAAAACTTTAAAACAGAAATACCTTAAAAAGTGTATTTATGTATATACCATTCATTACATTTAAGCTGTATATATAGTGGAATAATGATTATATATATTAGTTATTATAGGAAAACCAACAAATGTAAACATGTATATATCAATTCGCTAAACAGGCAACATCTTAAAAAAAATGCTAGTTTGAATTTGTTGTAGCTTTCGGTCTTTTGGCCTTCTTCACCAGCATTTACTATACATCAAGAATTATATATGTACAAGAATAATATATAGATGTTTTTATATTACAGTAATTATATTATACATCACAGTTCACGAAAATTAGGCTTTTACCATTTACAATAATATCACGGAGGAGAATCACTCCGTTCGTTACCCAAACAAACTAGATGGCGGATGCGGCCGAAAAATAGGTTTTTCCCTTTTTTCTCTCTGAAATTCGTGGTATTCTAGTGTGAAGGTATATATGATAACTTTCTTCACAATTTTCCGGGCACACATGATTTTATTTAATGATTTTTTATCCCGTACTTCACCTGAAATGCGCGTCACCAGATTCGAAGCGAGAGCATTTTCCACCGGTTTGATCGTGGTAACGTACGGCCTTTTCTCTAAAATTCTCTGTTTCTTTTACATATATGTATATAAACTGAAACCACTGACTTTAAAAAGTTGTAATATGTCGTTATCTAAGAATTCATGCCCATTCTGGCTAGAATAACCGCTTTAATTTTAATATCGGGGCATTTTTCGGAAATGATAACGTATGGCGCAAAAAATATAAGTGATAACGTACGGCGCATTTTTTCTGCTTAATGGAATTTCTATATAATAGAAAAGCTATGTTTACCAGACATAAGAGGATGTGTAGAACCAAATAAAGAAACTGAATATTATTTAGTGTTTGCATAATAATATCTTTCATGTGTTTTGTGACGAATGGAAATATCCGATCCGGGGTCGCTTTCGCATAGGGCTGTAACGAGGCTTGCGAACTTACATCCTTTGTGCAGGTGCCCGAGAGATGGATATTTAAATCCATACGTAATCACGAGTGATATGTTTTCTTGCATATCAAACTCGAATATAGAGCAGCATACCCCATGGTAGTAAGCAAGTCTACAAGATATAATTAGCCACGCCTTTAATATGAAATATCGTTACTGTATATATGTTTACTTGATGTTTGATAGATTGTGAGTCTATACTTGGATGCAACACATATAATAAAATATATAAACCATCCTTCGGGTCTTGTTTAGTTTGTGTGCTAGTAAGCCATCCAAATAGAAAATATAAATGTTACACCCACCTTTGGTGGTTTGTACATTATTTCCAATTGCAATTTTTCGGCTCTTTCCGTCAGTCTTCGGATAAGAACCTCGAACACAATAGTATGAATACACAGAAGTCTTACCTATGCTAAGAAACTAAACATGTTAACAAGTAGGAATTTAATGCTGAGAGTTGTCAGGTTTAAAGGTCCACCTAAAATGACTGAATTCACACATACAAAAGTAAACATTTTATATATTTATTATTATGCATGGTTGAAGAAACCGAAGGTTCAAAATGCAAACCTGTTGACATTAAGTCGGGTTTGTTTGAAATTGTACATCACTGGACATTTTTCAATAAAAAAGTGTTGTAAGAAATATTTCCAATCAATCATAATTGTACCGAAACATACCTTTTTTACTTTGGATGTCAAATATATACATTCTTTTTACATTGCAAACTCTGTTTTTGTTCTCAACTGAAACCACGTGGTAGAAGTAATGTTTCCGAGGTTATTATAGATAAAGCCGAGGACGTTCCGATTGCATTATTTTAGATTTAGTGTCCAACTTTATTTTTCATCCAATGAAAACGCTGTATTTCTTGAAAATAATGAAGAACAAAAGTCGATACTATAGCGAATTCCGTTCAAAGTCATGGTACTTCATCGAACCGCTAAGTGATGTAATAAAGTGAGTGATTATGAGGCCAAATAAAGTTCGACACTAAGTATGTTAGTATTCAACCGAAGCTGTTTTACAGAAATTAGACACATGCTCCTGTCGATATCGCTCCCGAAGAAGTTTCTTATTTCTTCAGAACAGCACGGATGGACACTAACATACAAAGTGTCGTCAAAAGTTAAAAACCTGGGGCAAAAAATAAATTGTATATTTTTGGTCCCAGTAAAAACTAAACTTTTATAATATTCACAATTAAGATATTTTGCATAATTAAACACAAATATTTCCTATGTTAAAGTATCTAAAACAATTAAGAGTGACACTAATGACTTCAGGTGATTTGTAGAATTCATTTTACAGCGACCAGCCTTCAGCAAAAAATAAAATCGCCAAATAATTTACGAAAAAGTACCCTGTTCTCCTGAGGTTGAGGGACAGGATTTACATACATTTGTATAAATTAAAAAAATATTCAAGCTTCTTTAGATATCATGTGTTCTTTGTTCATAATGTCTAAGAAAGATGTTTTTCTGTGTTGATGACAAAAAAATCACCACCTAAAAATGTTATGTAAAGTTCCTCTATGTATGCCAGTTTAGGTCTTAGCCCCACGATATTTACGAGAAAACAAGTTAGGCGTATAACAAATGTGAATTATTCTTAATTATTTTGAAGAAAAATAGAGATATAGAAATGGGCTCCCTTCGTCTGTCTGTCCGTTCGACACACCTCATGTCCGGTCCGTAACTCGGCCACATATCAAGGGATTCTTTAATAGCTTGGCACAAATGTTCACAATAATAAGCCGACGCGCCACTCACAACACCCAGACCCCCTACCTCAAGGTCAAGGTCACATTTTGAGATCAAAGGTCAACATTGTCTAATTGAGCGTATATTTTCTGTCCAGCCCATTGCTCTTTCATCCATCAGGGCATTTTGAAAGAACTTCGCAAAATGTTCACAATGAAAACAGATGTGTTTTGCGCAGCACCCTGAACCCTACCTCCAAGGTCAAGGTCAAACTTGAAAATCTAATGCTTACATTGTCTAATAGAGGGTATATTTTATGTCTGGTCCATAACTTATTATAAAATGAATTGGCACAAATGCTCATAATAAGAAAAAGTGTCATGCGCAAGACCCAGATCACGATTAAAGTCAAGGTCTCACACATAAAGGTTCAAGCTTAAGATTGTTTGTTAAAGGGTATGTTCTTTGTCCGGTCTACAACTTTTGAATTTTTTCAAGTATGCACACATATTCACCATATTAAGACATTGTATCATACGCAACACTCATACCCCTACAACCATACTTTACACTGAGAGGTCAAAGCATAACATGGTCAATATTTTCCTTGTTCGGGACTAACTCCGAAAGTATTAGAGACATTACAAATAGATAACAGTTGGTGCACTGCAAAAGAACCATAACTGCTTAAATTATCCCCCTTAATGTACTAATAATCACTGATAAAATGTATTTTTACTGACACATGCATACACAGGGGTTATTTCGTGATATTTCTACAATGAATTTATTGCTACATGTGCAGTGAAAAAGATTTTGCATTATAAGTCCTGATCCATTTGCCCTTAAGCGGAGGACGTTGTTAACTTTGTTACCAATTCTTATTACAACAATATCAACACCCCTCCCCACACAAACCCATTCTGATATTACTTCGTGAAACCAATTATATATGCATAAATAACAAGTTCTAAAATGTTAATCTAAATTAGTCATGGATAATGCATGTACCAGATGAGTACTCCTTGAATTATATGATGCAGTTTTAAATTATTTACTAAAGCCCAGCAGTAATCCAAATATTAATTGACCAGTGTTTACTTATAAGCAGGAAAAGTGTTAAAAATTCAAAGGCAAAATATTGTAGATGAAATTATAGTTCTTGCGCTAAGCATTTGATATTGTACAGTGCTATCAGCCTACTTGATTACTATATTGTATTGATTTTACTATATTGATCGCGTTCTGTCTTTAGAAGGCTTCTAACCTCTAAGAGATATGCCTCAGCTTGGTGAAACTTCTATTGATAAAATGCTAAAATAAATAATAATCTACAGACTATAGTGTTTTATTTGCTCAACCCTATATGGATCTATAGATTCAGCACAAATTATGAGAGTGTATTTAATTAGGAGCTTTTTAATTGAGAAATGAACATTAAGTATAGAACAGGACACTTGCTAATGTTCGAAGATTCATGATAATTAAGGATGTGTATATATGCATGGATCGATGTTCTCATAGTTATGTGTTGTTATGTTACTATAGGCAGCGGATTTGATCCCGACTCGCTGGATTTTTGTTCATTTTTTAACAACAGAGCACCGTCACCACAACCTAGTCTCAGGAATTGCACGTGGTTCAAGAAGAACAGTTGCTGCAAACAAGAAGAGATAGAGGCGACCTTTGGTACAGTGAAACCTCTACCTGGCAGTTCTCCTGGATGTCAGAGGTAAGTTATTTTATGACAACCTTTTCAGGTAGGCTGTACTTTCTGGATTCTATTAAACGTCTACCAGGATGTTCTTCGGAATGTTAAAGGTGAGTTGTGCAACAATGATTCTATGAAAGGTACACCAGTCAGTTGTCCGGAATGTACAGAATTTAGTTATTGTATGAAACCCCTGCCAGACAGCTATCCGTAATGTCTTCAACAGTGTTTTGTAATCAGTTGTTAGGAATGTCATATATAACAATTTGCAAGGTGATACCCAACAGGAATGTTAGTGGTAGTGTATAACAATTTGCATACACTACCACTAACATTTCTGTTGGTTTCATGTTATTATAATGACATTCCTAACAACTGGTTACAACACACTGTTTAAGAAATCAACTCTTAAATAACGGATAGCTGCCTGGCACGGGTTTCATACAGTAACTTAATTTTGACATTCCTCTGGCTTTCAATTTGCCGGAATGTCAGAAGTAAGTTATGTAACATTTTTTTTAAATGAAAATCCCGCCTGTCAGTTATACGGAATATAAGTCAGAAGTAAGTTATGCAACATTGTTCAATTGAAACTCATGTCAGGTAAATTCAAGGGACAGAATAAAAGTTAGATTTTTAATAATGATTTTGTCTATTGAACTATTAATTCAAGGTTTCAAGTTTTTCACTTTTATTGTTTATCACTTTTGTATTTTTTTTTTCATTTTATTTCAAATTTGCATGTATCTTAACAGTTAAGTATGTTATTTTATATCTACAGGTATACGAATTTCCTTATGTGCTATATCTGCGCCCCGAATCAGAACTTGTTTTATGGACAGGAGAAACTGACTGTATGTGAGGAATTCTGTAACGCCTGGTACTCGGCTTGTTCATCTGCTATATTGAAGGGATCAGTCATTGGCGACTTATATACCAACGGACGAGAATTCTGTGAGAAGAGAAACTTTATGTGTGAACCAATGGCAAATAAAAACTGTTTTATACAGTTGTCTGACTATGCATTGAACCATGGGTCCGGGGCTAGCCGAGTTTCCTCGTTACCCGCCGTCTTGGGCTCGATGATTTTTATTTACAAAGTGGTCATGAAAACCTTTTAACCTGTTAATGTAATTTTGGTAACTGCTGAACTGATATAGGCTGAAGACAACGATTCAATAGGAAGTTTCTAGTGTGTTTTACTGAAAAATCTGCACTGCTTATGATTTTAATACTCATTCACTTAAAAATGCAGTCAAGATTGGTCAAGTGAAAAAGACCGAAAAACAAGTGATTTTTCAAGCATGTATATATATTAATCGCCAAATATATTGTAGGGAACAGATGTATGCCGAATGTAATTATGGCTAAAATATACGAATGTGCTAAACACGTGATTTACAAAATAAAAAATAAATAAAGAATCAGGACTTGTTATCCAATGTTTATAATTTTTGTTTGAGAATTTTATAAGCAGCAGTATTATACAAATAAATGTGTTTGCCTCATTATGCTTAAGAAATGTTTTAATCTAATTTATCGGCAGCATTTTATTTTCGGTGTTCTGTCATAGTTTTCAAAAAGTTACTTATTGTTCTGTTCTGTTCTTATTGGAAACTTCCTGAACCATATTTTTCATCAATTAATACAATTATAGTGATTTAGTATTTTGAATGGATGACAAAATACTAAATACGGTAAACTTTGTTTACAATTTGCAAATTTTGTGAGAATTGATTTCACCGCACTACATGCTTCATGTGATAAACATCTAACATTCTCTTAAACCATTATTTAAACGTTATAAAACTTATGTTTGCTCGTTATAAAGAAGGGAAAATTGACCTATTTCTTTTACATTATTCATCAAATGTAGTGAATATGTATATATTAATGCATGCAATTTATTATTCATATAGGAAAAACCAAACAACAGTAATTACTTATAGATAATTAAAACAATAATAACAGCAACAGCAACAACAAAACAACAAACTGCACAAGAAAACAACGGTATTTAAAAGCTATTTCAAACAAATATTTCATTTTCAATACGAAAAATAAATATATCATTTTCAACACGAAAAATAACTATCATTGACCATTTAAAACAATTATGGTCAAATATGAATATCATAGGACTTCAAAGACATATCTGAATCAATGGTAAAATAACTTAAGGACCAGTATATCACATGTAAGTTTCTATGTACATAAGTGCACGTTGAGATATTGTAATATATGATATATACCATAAATAATGATAATGTATATCCGGACACACGTACGTGACATTAAACAGTCAATTTAGAATAAACAAATAAAACTCGACTATGTATGATTCACTTTTTGGCACTGGTATATTTTGGTTTAATTACGCGACTTAAAACATTTCAATAGTAAGATATTAGCATTGCACTGTCCAACTATACATGAAAACTATATTGTCTGAAATCATATCACAATTAACATCAGATAATTCGTCTATAAAGGAACAATATTATCAATTTCTGTTTGCCTCAGTAAATTCCACCACCATTATTGTTGTTTTTCTTCTGTTGTTCAAATATGTAAAATTCCTGCGAAAAAGAGAAAAGAAACACTGGTGTTGTTGTATAGAGATATAAACTCAATCAGTTCAATTTATGAATTAAACTGCTCGTTAGGCAAAGGGTTATATACCTTAAGTAGTTGCGAAATGCTTGCTTGTGTACAGATGAAATTCGTTTGATTTAAGTGTGATGTATTGACCTGAAAGTCAAAAAACTATAGGCAAGTGCTTAAACGATCGGCAAATGCTTAAACTATTGGCAAGTGCTTAAACTATAGGCAAGTGCTTAAACTATAGGCAAGTGCTTAAACTATAGGCAAGTGCTTAAACTATAGGCAAATGCTTAAACTATTGGCAAATGCTTAAACTATAGGCAAATACTTAAACTGTAGGCAAATGCTTAAATTATAGGCAAGTGCTTAAACAATAGGCAAATGCTTAAACTATAGGCAATTGCTTAAACTATAGGCAAATGCTTAAACAATAGGCAAGTGCTCAAGGCAAGTGCTTAAGGTATTGGTATGTGCTTAAACTATTGGCAAGTGCTTGCACAAAACGCACAAATAGACGTTTTATGGTATAGTTACCGCTCTCTTCAAAACATGTAATAATTTGGCCAAATTCTAATGTCTGACTTCGCAAAGATTAGAGGCGCATGATTTATAATCGACGGCAAATATTATTAAGGGCTTTATACTTAATATTTTTGTATACGTAGCAAGACTATTTAAAAAAAAAGAGTAACTTACGGTCAAGAAAACAGCCCCCAATAATAAAACCTTACACTCTACTGTCATATCAGCTGGAACTGTAATATAGAATGCATATTCATTCTTAAAGTCTTATACGGGTATATTTTTTTACAAACATGTATTGTTTAAGAAATATTGTATCACCAAGGATGTCGTCGCTAAATAAAATCACTGTTTGGAGTTCAGATGCAAGGAATTATATCAGTAGGGCGTAGCAAAATACTACTTTGTTTACATTTTGCTTCTTTTATGACAAATTATTTCACATTAATCACTACTTACTTCAGGTAACAAGCATGTACCATTTCTCTAACACCATTATTTGAACATCTAAAATTTCACGTTTGCCCTTTCTAAAGAAGTAAAAATTTATTTGTTTCTGAGGCATAATGTGCCTTTAATGAATTTTAATGAAATATTGTTATACAAATTAATGTATAAGATTAACTTACAACTTAAACAGAACTGGTCCGCCTTGGTGAACGTTTCTACACAACAACCCCTCCATTGTTTGGCGATATTTCCCACACGTGTTTGTAACGATGGATCAGTTATCTTAAAATAGGAACAAATGGTAATATACTAACGTTCATGAAAATTAAATGAAAAATTCACATTTGGAAACCGTCTGATGTTTAAAGTTTGCAAAATTTAAATCAATTTGTTATATACATGAAGGTTATTTAAAAAGAACTTTGCGTTTTATTAAAAGAACTCCACTGAGGTCTAAGGTCTAGAAACATAAAATTTTAAAACCTTGCAAGACTTAGTATCATTTGAGTGAAGCACGTTTTTCATTTTGGGGTCATTTTGCACAATAAAATAATTATTCTGGAAAAACGGGTTAAAAGAATGACCTGACAATTTTCACACACGTTATTGGTCCAGAGCTTCATCAATTGGTACACAAATCTTTGGAAAATATTTCCAGTCCCATCATGTCAAAAACCTCAGTGGAATTTGAATAAAATTTCACAGTATACTAGTATATGAGAACTTGTACTAATGTTCTTGTTGTAATGAAATATTTACAGGAAACTCGATATCATCTGTACATCCACAAACACATTGAAATGGACAACATGGCCCCCACAGTGTGAACATATGCTGGTTGTTAGAGTCATATACCTTCATATGTGCCTTACATTTAGAATCTCTGAAATGTTCAATGTACTTTGAACTTTGACGTACATATTGCTAACACTGCACAGTAGCTTCATTTATATATGTAGCACTGTTAGATAGAATGTTGTGTATCATTCAAATACTGAATTTACTGATGATCAAATATGAGGTGTGCATTATTATACGATTATAGTACAAAGAAACGACGAAACAACATTGAAATGCTAATCCAACTTTTCCATATACATAAAAGCTACAATATAATAATGTGATAATAAAAATGGAAGAAGAAAAATCCTTTAAAACACATTATACGAAAATATATAAAGAAATTATCGGCATTCCAAGAACTGACCCTGTTTTGACGTAGCCTAGGGGTCTGCCAATTGGGGATTCAACCGTGAACTGCATGCTGCAACAACCGTCGGCACACCAACAACAACCCGTGCAACACTTAAACTCTCGTCGATATTGTATCACCTCCTGAACAAATAAGTAAAAGAACACGTATATGTAAAATACTTGCTTTAACTAATAACCTTTTAAGTGTGATTGCTAGATTAATCTTCATATCAGCTGAAGTTTAGAATGTCACTATTTCTTATTCCTCCAAATAATGAAATTGTTTGTCATGGAAACGTTAATTATTTAAAGTATTGCGCCTCCATATGAGAAAGATGAATCCTACAAGATAAATTTCTGAAAAATTATCATTAGTTTTAGAAATGTTTCACTATGAACAATCCGGGCATTATGCAAAAAAAAAGACACAATTTTCTGTTTATATCAGTAAAGTTCTACTGCGTTACTTACGAAGTAAGAGAAATTTCTACATGTTTAAGCAAGTTACGGTATAAAATTTTATATTGTAAAGACTTAGAGCTATGTTAAATTACTTAACAACATTTTAGACATCAGAGAAATTTGTAAGTTTTTATACAAAAATATCACAAATCTGGAATCGTGCTTATTAGTGATAATTAGATTAATATTACTGATATACCTGAGAGTTATTGTCAGTAACGTGGAGGGTCATACCTCGGTTGAAAGGAAAGAAACAACGTTCACACAAACTCGACTCTGAAAAAATAACAAATTTAATGGTTTGTTGCTTATTGAAATATGAGAATGTTACATGACACTATAGGTAGTTACGATAAACATTAATTTTGTCATTTGAACTCGATTTTTAGTGATTATGTGAAGATTATTATGCATATGCAAGGTCAATGTTATTTATGAGTGAAGATCAAGGTCTGTCTGGTTAACTCGAAGGTCTATCCTAAAAATATTATTATGTTCAAGTTTGAAGACAATCAATTAGAAAATAACAAAGTTATCTAATAGCAAAAATCAGGGGAAAAAAATAAGCAAAATTTAGACATTTGACCTTGGAGGTCAAGGTCATTTATGAAAGAAGGACACATTTAGGCTTGTCTTCTTCCCAAGGTTGTTGTGGCCAAGTATGAAGACAAAACATAAAGAAGATTAAAAGTAATGATCACAGTTAAAGTTTGCTGACGGAAACGTCAACACCGACATGACTGTAACAATACCTCTATTCTTTTAATTATTTTTTTTTTATTTTATCTATTTTTTATTATATTTTTTTTAAAAGTCGAGCTTAACATGTTGTTTTCTTTAAAATCAGTCATTATAATTAATTTTTTATTAAAAAGAGAGAAAAAAATAAGAAATTGTATCAAGTATTTTTAAAATCACATTTTTTTCCGTATATTTTTCGTAATTATTTTTTGTTTTTATCATCAAAAATATAATTACCTTAAAATACATATTAAAACTGCATTTAAGGAACACAATTAATACAAGAATGAAAAGAAAGAACTTATTGCTAAGTTTTAACTGCCAAAATTCAAGTAATATAAAGTAAATTATAATTTTCATATTTTTGGCGGCCATCTTGGACGCCATCTGGAATTTCTTAGTCCGCCAGCACTTTCGGGGAAAATGAAATTCAATTTCGTAATCTAGGCACTCAACCGAACATTTTGGTATTTGAAAGCCTCTGTTTATGATCGGGGACCAGTTAGGTGTTCCTAAGCTTAACACATTTGCAGCACTATAGGTAGTTACGATAAACATTAATTTTGTCATTTGAACTCGATTTTTGGTGATTATGTGAAGATTTTCATGCATATCGTCGCCCTATTCTAAAAATGGTGTATCTACAATTTCCTCTTTTTTGGGAAAAAGGGGTTAAAGGTTCAAGACTTTGTAACTTTTATTTAATAACTCCTAACAGTGTGGACTTCTGGATTGGTATTATTTATGTCAACATGTGATGAAAGCACTTTGTTATATACCTTTATAATTTGCAGTAATTGAGAAAATAAAAAAAAATATTTGGAGATAGACCAAAAATGTTTATTTTTAGATAAAAAAATACTCTAAAAATGAGTTTGCGGAGATATGACAAAGTAAGGCTAAAATTGTAAATACTTTTTGAGTTAGCATTTTTTAAGAGTAATAATTTTACTATAGAATATTAGTAGATTTTTACATTCTAAAGAACATTTTCAGCCAGAGTGGTTGAACCGCTGACACTGAATCACTTTATCTTTGTAAATTACTATGTCAAAGTTTAAATTCATTCAAGTGATCTCCAACCTGGGCCTTTCTCGATAAAAACAATATAAAAGGATGCCATAAAAAAGAAAAACAAACATTTCACAAAATTTTTAATCAATGAACTTGCTAAAGCAAACTGACATATTTTGTACCATTATGAAGAATGAAATCATTGTAGCCATCTCTAATATTGTGATTAAAAGAATACATGTACATATACAAATTATATTACCAAGAACACTTTTTTTAATTCACACAATTAAAGTCAATATCACATGCATTCAAAGTCTCAAGTATTGTTTGTGGTTTAATATCAACGTATGAAAAATATCTGCTCAAGTTCTAAACAATCTTTCAAGATTGCAAAATCGTCGTTTTCAAGATTTTACATCCAGTGAATTTTGCGATCTCCCATATTGGTGTTTGTCCCACAAAGTAGATACTGGACATTCCATGAACAGGCTAAATCAAACCGAGCCGGCAACATTTTAGATCATGCCGTATTGTGCTTTAAGAATTCTGCTGTTATCTAATAAATATAATCATTGAAGACCCGGAGAACACTGAAACTCGCATGCATTTTAAAATCTATGTTTTGACAAGACAGTGGTATTCCGATCTTATTGGAATGTTAAATATCTAAATCTTTTGTGAATATTTTAAGACTCGAAACAATGATTTATCTGAAACTGATGGCAAGTCAAAATTTCCCCACAGACTTGATTTTGTTGATATAAAATTCCATAGTTTTGTGGAAGTTCTGCTAACTGCTGTCACAAGTTCTTAGAGACAACATTTCTGTAAGGACAACGTCTAATAATATAAGTAAGTCTGACCTGAAATGGACAAAATATTAACATTAACAATTAAACAACAACAATGTTCGATACTCCAAATAGTTCGTACGAATATCCGAATATAGTTATCCGAAATTATGTGATTGTCAAACTTTGAGAAATATATATAAAAGAATGATAATACGATGAAACAAATACTAATACAAAATATAAATTCACTTATAAAACGTATAGAAGCTAAAATATATTACTTACTTTCTTCAGAAATCATTTTTTAACTGTTTCTTTCCTAGTAAGCTGGCTGATTTAGATACGATTGTTGTTGTTATCACTGGAGTTAGAACAATTATATTGTCAGGCCCCTTCAGGTCACATGACATATATTTTATAACTTGATTGGCTGGCACGAAAGATTAGCCTAAAAGTGTTACATGAGTTGGAGATACGACGAAAAAAGGCTAACAGCAAAGCTTTCCATTGGACATCGAACAAAATACAGACGCTATATCTACAAAAGTATGACGTAAATCTTCACATGTTTTGTTTTGGAGATAGAACAAACTAATACTAGAATAAATGTGCAGTTATCTCATTTTTGGTAAAAATGGAGTTAGGACATTTTTAGAATAAGGCGACGATATGCAAAAGTTCGAAGTTCGTATTTTAAGCTTAAGACGATAAGGTGTTACCTTCCTGAACAAAGAAGATTTGCTGGCCCTGATTATTTAACACCTCGTATCTATTTCTTGTTTCAAATCCGGTCAGGACTGAAAATAAACGCATACCAATAATTAGAGAATTTATGAATTTAGTTTTATAATTGAAAAATGAAGGCATTGTGAAATAAATAATGAATTATATTTCGACGTTAAACAACAGAGACATGTTGTTTATAGATAGGTACGTTTAGTCGTTCTTTATAAAATAACCACTATATAATAAACTGGAATCTACTGGAATCTCGTAAGATGATTACATTTACTTCAAAGTCTTGAAGCGTCAGTTTTGATTCAACGCCTTTCATGTATTAAAACATTTTCCCCTTTTTTTATTAACTCACCTTCTAAAGCCTCTAGTCTCTGTTTTATTATAATTTGGTCAAGTCCGGCCAAATATTGTAAACTAGGAGGGAGTCCACTCACTGGCTGGGAGAAGCCCATCTGCACTATAATATACCATCAAACAGACGTAAAATTAGTAACTTCGCAAAATTAATGCATTAATTCTTGTTTTCCTGTATAATAAAACTTCCGTAACCTTAATTATTAATGGTTAAATTTAAAATGCATTCGAATATGATTGTTTTATTTTAAATCACGTTTGGATATGGTCACGGTTGATTTAAACGAACTTTAAAACTCGAACTTTAATACGAATTATAACTTTGTTCTTCATTGATCTATATACACGGGTATTTTACAAATAGGGGCGAACTGAAATAAAGAAAACAACAGAAACTAGATGTTAAACTTACTTTTCTGAGGTTGATTTAATATTGTTGATGTCATTCTTGATTTGTTTTTAATTGAGCCTAGCAACAATAAGATGTCAACTTATCTGAAAATATATACAGTAACTTTAAATCAAATAGCGAAAACAAATAACAAATAAAAGGTATTTTTGTTCTGCTTATGACGAGCAAAGTTTTGAACGTTGCTTAATTAGGCTCTCATGAAGCTTCTCACTATAAAAGAAGTTATTTAAAGTATTTAAAGTATGAGCAAGACGTGTTCAATGCTCTTTTGTATTTTCGTTATTGGGACTATGGAAGTTTCTGGTGACATATGAGAAAACATAGTCTTGGTCTGGGTAGGACTTGAATCCACTTTCCCTGGGTTAAGTGACAGAGAAGTTTAACATAACATAAGAAAAGATAACATAACATAATATTCAGATAAGTTTTTTCAATCGTATGCGAACAGCACATTGAATTAACAATTTACCAATAAACCTGCAACCCTAATTGTTCATCAGTTTTTTTAACAATTGTGTTTCCTTACAATTTTCCAGTATCAACTGTTGGTCAATCACCATTATAACAGTTAATCTTTGAAATGCAAAGTCAATTCAGCCAACTTGACAATGAAAAATTAAGTCTAATGTCATTTTAACTGTAATAATGAAAGTTATAGCATCTTTTCACAAAGGACATATACTAACATTATGTTTTGGGTAAGTGAAACATAAAGTAACCTATAGCGAGCCCTTCTGTACTTTGATTTGAACTTTGGCCCTCTGGTAAGAAATTTTTAATACATAAATGGATAATTAAAGATGTTAAATTTATGAAAAATCTATCAGTTGATTCATGAAGAGGAAATGTTTGGGAAAAACAAGTATTTTCTTTTAGTAGTGCCCTCAGTAGTAGTGTGTATCTCAGACCAAGTTGTTTAAGTGTGGATTTTAAAGCGAATGGTTGGCTCACATTGTATCTGGTAATTTGAGTTGGTTTTGGGTAGTCATAGATTTCGATTAATCTTTGCCATTTTTGGCTTTAGTTAGAGATTTTTCTGTTTTATATACATGTACTAGTACTAAAGACACTCTCTTAGAGACATAGATCACTTGTCTAAATTAAATAATGCACATTTTCCATGTTTTGTGATAAATGAATGACTTACCTGTAGTATTTTATGTTATTTGAAAATGGTACCAATTAAGATGGATTGGGGCCCTAGCAAAACATCCTTTTTATACCTCCGTATCAAATGATTCGGGGTTTAATGTTTTGGTATGTCTGTCTGTCTGTATTTTTGTCTGTCCCGAACCTTTAAAATAGCTCATTAAATACAAAATGTCATTGAAACTTGATATATACCTAAACGAGATCCACAATCCCCGCATCTTTTAATATTGTTCCGAAACTTATAGCTTGCTCATAAAATAGAAACACTTCTTTATACGAATTTTCAACTTTCATATCATATGTGCATGTGCCTCACTGAGTTCTACAACTCTACCTATTTTCAGGATACTATATGAAAATGCACATGATTTATTTGTTGACAGATAAAAAAAATATAAAAATGTTTGGTAAAAACCAAACATCACTATCATTCCGTTAACCGTTAGTTTCAGCCAAATTACAGTTATACAGTCATGCATGCTCTTTAAACCCACTACTATCTCATATATGTAGGGTATAAGATAAAATGCACTTTAATATATGACAATCAGTTTATTACAGTCGTTGAAATAATCATTCGTTTATACAGATCAAATAATAATGACATAATTTTATATGAAAGGTAAAGGTCAAGTTTTCCCGAGTACCGACGAAGTTTGATTGACCTGTTGTGACTAACTCAGGAGTGTGGCGTTAAAAAGACCCGTTTTGTTAGACATGATGCCTTCTGACCACCATCGGACGAACAGGTTAGAGGTGAAAAGACGCTGCTAATGTGTATATAGCAAATCCGCAGATATTCTGACTCGAGAGGGTTCGTCCCGGCGGTCAGTGTAAATAAACACACAAATACACCCATATATGTAATAAACAATACCAGAGACATACCAGTAAGCCTAGCTTTACTATATACAAGTTTTCTGTGTATCTTTCACTCACAATTATTAATGACAATTTGAACATATACATTGTACACTACAAACATTATTTACTGGCTAAACCATAAGCAGATATATTATGGTGCAAACATACCGAAGAAAACGTATACAGACCTGTACAAATTATAATATCAAATCACATACACAAAATATGTCTTTTCAGTTAAGATCAGTTTCGAAAGCTTTTAATAAATAATTATATTTCCAAATAAATATTTGTTCTAAAATTTACGTACTTTGACCACTGAGCTAGATTTTCCCCTACCACGTGATTGTATAAAGTAGCGTCAATGTGTGACTAACTGGACGAGATAATTTTATCTTGCATTGTATTATTATCATTGATTTCCCGCCATTAAACAATCATAATTACTTCGTTAATGTCCGGCAGATAACGACTTTAAGTGTCTATTGAAGGTCTTATATCTCTATTAGTGTAAAATGTTCGTCAAATAACGCCTCTTAAAGTGTTAAATGATCTAAATATTTCGTCATTTTTGGTGTCTAATGTTCGGCAGATTACGACCGTTTTCGTGTGTTATTTTTGGCAGATTACGCCTCGTTTAGTGTTAAATGTTCGGCAGATTACGCCTCTTTTAGTTTCTAATGTTCGACAGATTACGCCTCTTTTCGTGTTTAATGTTCGGCATATTACGCCTCTTTAAGTGTTAAATGTTCGGCAGATTACGCCTCTTTTAGTGTCTAATGTTCGACAGATTACGCCTCTTTTCATGTTTAATGTTCGGCAGATTACGTCTCTTTAAGTGTTAAATGTTCGGCAGATATTACGCCAGTTTTAGTGTTAAATGTTCGGCAGATTACGCCACTTCGTGTTTAATGTTCGGCAGATTACGCCTCTTTTAGTGTTAAATGTTCGGCAGATTACGCCTCTTCGTGTTTGATGTTCAGCAAATTACGCCTCTTTTAGTGTTAAATGGTCAGCAAATAACACCTCTTTGATTGTTAAATGTAGTCCGATCTTCAAGTATCTTATGTTCGGCAGATTTCGCCCCTTTGAATGTCTAAAACCCCAGTCACACTAGAGCTTACGATTACTTGCGACCACCGGCGACTTGTAAAACTGACGATCATCAGCGATTGTCTGCGACCGAACCATTTTTGCACAGATAAATTTACTTTTGCGAGTATCGTAAGACAAGTCATCATTGACAATCGCACGACAGGTCATAAGTAAACGCACGATGGTCTCAAGATTGCCTGGGATTACTTACGACTAACCGTGACATAACATGCGATCACCCACAACTTGTCGTACGACCATCACGCGATTACTAAAGACTACTTAAGATTATCAGTGACTAGTGGCAATTTGTAAAGACTGTCGTAAGATTGTCGCAATTCCGAACGATCATCGTGCGACAGCCTTAAGACCTTATAAGATCACTAGCGACCTATTTGATCGCAGAGAGGTTTTTCTGCAAGCTCAAAAACCTCTCTACGACTGAAATTGGTCGTGGGACCTAAATAAGATAACCTGCGACTGTCAAAGATCACCGATGACCGTCGTAAGACGTTTTAAAGATTGTCCGCGACCAGAGGTCACTGGTGATCGTGAACTGGTTTTCACTGGTCGTAAGCTCTAATGTGACTGGGACTTTGTTATCAAGTAAGAGTGGCTACGACCTGGTGCTAAAAGAAAGATCTTGTTTTAGCATGAAAAGTCGAATTTTGTCAACTTGAAATGACCCAGAATATGTCGATTTTCTAAATAATTATTTCACTGAAAACTATGCATCTTTCAAGAATTTTATAAACCGAAATAAACAACGGAGCATTTGTATTTTTACACCAAAAGTAAAACGTATTTATGATAATATTTGTCTTTGACAGTTACAGCTTTTTAAATATGTTCCTTTCTTTAAATAAAAAGTATCAGTATAATTATAATCAACAAAGGCTGTCAGAAGGACAACGTGCTCACAAGAGTTTGGATAATGTAGAACTTTCAAAAAGGTCATAATACAGTCAAAATCCATGTTATTGTGTCCTTTGACTATGCACTTCTATCACTCTCTCAAATTAGCATGCGAAGTTTCAACCCATTCCCGTTAGTAGTATTGGAGGTACGAAATTGTACGCAAAAACTTAACCACGCTAAAGCGTGAGTGAGTACATTAGCTCTCCCTATATTCTTCCGATAGTCAAGCTTAAATGAACACGAATGGTAAAGATATGTCACTTATAATAAACTATATAAAGTCAATTATTGTTTACATATGGGTCGTCAAACTTTAAAACAAATTTATTAAATATTGTAGTCATTTTTCTGAATTAGAAAATTTTGATCTTCTCGGTGGAGGAAGTGTGGATTCTTTTGTGTTTACCGGTAAAATAATTTATGAATAAAATGCTTAATCATTTGTTTGTTAGAGCAAAAATATCCAATCAAACTAGAAGAAGAAAATAAAAAATTGATTATATAAAATAATTATTTATTAAATGTGAGCAAAATGTCTTTGTTTACATCTTGTTCTTACATAAATAGACAGAAATATATAGGATATGCAATAAAATAAAAAAAACTATACACATAATCTATGATATAAACTAAAAAAATACATGTAATTTACATACATTTTTTGTATATACAAAATTATATCTCGTTTAAAAGGGTTATCAATAAAATCAATGACAATGTAAAAGATAAAGATCACATAATCTATTCCAAATAGAGCTAAATAATTATACAAGTGTTAAAGTCTTGTGTTGATATTCTACAAGAAAGTTAATTTATTCAATGCAAACTTCTTTGTATAATGCGTGAATTACGCAAAGAATGTTATCGCAGCAATAAGTATGCTGCAAGAATCACGCAATGTCCAGTTGTTATACAGTATCATGCACAATTAATATCCAGCACCTCCGCCATTGTTGTTTTTCTGTTGCTCAAACACATAGAACTCCTGAAAAATGTGAGAAAACAAATAGTTAATTCCTTTCAAAAAAAAGAGAGATAAATATAGCATGATTGGCTTACAACAGTGGCTACAGTGTATCATTGTCAACCATTAACACCATTAAAATTTCAAGTAATGATAAACATAGCATGAAGATTGTGAGAAAGTTGATTACATCAATACCTACAGTATAACATTGTCAACCATAGAATCATAGCAGACGAAAACGAGCATTTCCTTGTAACATGTTACTTCTTTAAAGGGGAGAAAAATGAAACAGAAAAAAACAAGGAAAAACAACAGAAATAAACTGTTATTCACTTGACAGTACAGTACAGTCACGGATTTATATTACATGTATATAAATCCATGGTACAGTACAGTTTAGTACTTTACTCTCACAAACAGACTCAGTCAAATCGAATCTGTAATTATCTCCCCTTTTCTAAAGTTTGATTTGAATATGAATATTATGTCAACTTTGTAAAACATTTATAATGTATATGAATATGTCTAATGATGAAATATCATAACTTACAGCCAAGAAAAGAGCTCCAATCAACAACGCCTTACATTCAACTGTCATGTCTGCTGGAACTGTAAAATATATCCGTTACATTAGACACACGTAAAAATAGGATAACGTATAAAATAAATATCTGAACATTTGTTATTCTATTTTAAGTATATCTGTTCGAGAGAAATACAGTAACATTTCAGTAAGATACAGTTTATATCAAACATTGTATATCTCAATCACTGTGTATATCAAACACTGGATATCATTCACTGTATATATCAAACACAACATATTATTAACAGTGAAATTATGCAGGGTTTCCGTCCAATTGTAGATATAATAAGATATTTCAAACTGAGGTGTAATTTCTATTTCCTTTATCAATTTCTAGCTATATACTCGTATGAAAATTTGATTTTGATTCATAAACAAGTATGCTGGTATGACTGAGTTCTCGACTATTCTCAACGCTTGATGGTAAAACAAGATGGATAATGTAGAAATTTCTATGTGAAAATGGTCAAAGTCTTGTCAAAATCCATTTTAGAGGTATTGGCATTGGAGAGTGACCTCATATTATGCTCTCAAATAAGTGTGTGCGATTTCAACCCATTGCCAAAAGTAGTTTTGGAGATACGAACTTGAACGCCAAAACTTACCGACACAACGCCTGTGTAAGTACACTAGCTCTTTTTATTCTTCGGATAATCGAGCTTAAAACTATTGTTTGTTTTATGCAGTTTTATTTGAATTAAATGATAACATTGTTACATAGTTTACAATGCTAATTAAAATGATCATGGATTAATCTACAATGAAACAAAATAACTGTTTAAAAATAAAATAATTATACCGCACAACATCCATAAAGCCTACTTACAATTTCATGAATTTCCATACTTTTATAATACATTCTACAGACACAGATTATTAGTTTATTTAAAGATCCTGTATGTTTTGTGATTGATATTGTAACCACACTTGCAAAAAATCATATATATACATTGTATATAGTTATGCAAATAAAACAATTTTAAAACATCAAAGAATATGTAAAATGTGTACTGCAAATATTTGTGCACATTATTTTAATTAATAAATTGCATGCATATATTTCTTATTTGAAAATTTGACTTAGAATTTATAGAAAATAAAGTTCTAATTACCTCCCTTTACTTACGTTAAATGTTAAATTGGGTAATATATTTATAAATAATGCTTATTTGAACTTACAATATTGACAAATCTTAATTTGAGCATCAAATTTATGATATACCATGAAAAAATTGTGTTACAGGATCTTTAAATTAGTAACTTACAAGTCAAGCAAAACTGATCAGCGTCCGTAAATGTATCCACACAACAACCTCTCCATTGCTTGGCAACATTACCCACTTGAGTAGTTAATGACGGATCAGTTATCTGAAAGTAAAATGGTAAATTTCGTAAAGCAAGATTCTAATATTTTTATGAAAGAAAAAAAAGCAACATTTATGGATGTTAAAAACTTTTATGGATGTTAATTCTAAAATGTACCTGATTATATTACCTTTCAAGAGATTGGGAGTACCTGCAGGCAATTACCATAAAGTAAATGTCAAGCAGGAATTTCATTGTGGCAATGCTCTCTGAATGCCGGATATATTTCAACTTGGTGCGGCAATTACAGCAAGGCACATTGTCCCGAATGGTACACATATTTTGTATCTATAAACTTTTTGAAAACTTATCTGTTGTTGAATGAGCGACCACATAATTATTGTGATGAAAAACACACCTAAGGTCCCTGAAATAGGGTAGAAGCGGCTGGGCAGTACGATATTTCAAAGGTGTCTTATGGTTGATCACTCGTGTATTGTTTCCTTTTTTTTTTACTTTTTTTTCGTATAATTTACCTTCATGTTCATAAAAACATGATATCATCATTGTTTTGCACTTATATCAATAAATGAAATATAAATTCAACAAAAATTAACGAATCTTAACTAACCAAGACGCTGGCACGAATAATTCAGACGGTGTGACGGCACTCTGTGCAGCTCAATCATGAAATGTATGATGGTTTTCATACCTCACTACACCATGCCTTGCACAAGGAACGCAAGCTCATATTTTTTACTCATGTGCTAGTCCGCAAGGATACTTTTTCTTTTATTCAGTCGATAGCTAAGTGCAACAATACTACAAATTTTTATGATCAAGTAGCCAGAAAAATGTTATATCTTATATAGTGGCCAATTTGAATTTTGTTGAAGGGTATGTATTATAAGAATCTTACACTGGCTGCCGGTACAGACCGGAATATCTAGCTCGAGGTTAACTGTTTACGGCGGTAACGAGGCTCGCGCGCGTCAATGACGTCATTCAAAGCACGCGACTTGTCTTACATGGGGGGTGTAAGATAGAGTTTTCTAGCACCGGTGTAAACGGTAGATAATCCTGTCTGATATGCAAGAAACATTATTCTTGCATCTCAGACTCAGGGTTATCTACCGTTTACACCGGTGCTGGAAAACTCTGTCTTACACCCCCCATGTAAGACAAGTCGCGTGCTTTAAATGACGTCATTGACGCGCGACTTTTATGAATGAATCACGTTCTTAGGATGACGTCATTTTTCCGTTATGAATGAAGTTGTATGTTCATACGCTACTATAAGAAAAAAGTGCGTAATGAGAATATCAGTTTTCGTAATTTCTGTTCCGAAAGAAATTGACATGTAATATGCAAGAAAAAGAATCAAACACCAGCTGTTGGTACAGACGGGAATATCTAGCTCTCGGGTAACTGTTTAGCGGAAACTCGGCAGAGCTAGATATTCCAGTCTGTACCGGCCGCCGGTGTAAGATTCTTATATACTTACAGGAAAGTTGATGTCATCAGTACATCCACAGACACATTGGCATGGACAACATGGTCCCCACAGGGTAAACATATGTTTATCCGAGGCATCATACACTTTCATGTGAGCTTTGCATTTAGAATCTCTGTAAGTGAAAATATAAAAAGTTTTAAAACTGGAAGAGAAACCTATTAAGTCTAACTGATTAAATCAATGCAATCTATCCAACTGTAGATATAAGGGGCATATAACATACATCTACGTATAATGCATAACCCTGTAATGTACGCGGTTTCTGTGGTCGTCTACATATAAACCCAGACAGGATCAAGATCAGGATCAAATTTAAAAACTCAAATATTCTCCATTGTATATCCTCATAGATTAACTATCTAATAATAACTTGATAAAATTCCACTTGAAATGGCATGTTTTTGAAATTTAAGAATAATTTTATTGTTATCTTGCAAGATATGGGCATTTTACAGTTGACCCAAATATAGATCTTGATCCTAAAACTGATTCTAATTTTGATCCAATTATTTCTAATTTTGTTTTGTTATTCATTGATTTTATCCAAAAATAGGTTTGGTTCTTTGAAAATCAGTATTTTTTTTACATTTTGAATAAGTACCATTTTAATTCTAGGAAAATAGATCATTTTTAGTTCTATAAAACAATGAAAATAAAATCAGGATCATTTCATCCTGATCCTGATCTTTTCTTAGTGAACACGGGCATGTATTGTAATTTGTGTATACGCTGTGTAGGCTATAAGTTGTACATTAACTGGTTTCCAATGGTGACAATATTTATCTTACATCTTCATGTATATGACAAGCTATATTCTACCTTTAGCATCTGTATTACATGATAACTAATCTATGGTAATCAATGAATCAAATATTTACCCAGTCCTAACACTACCCAATTGTCTGCCCACTGGAGATTCAACCGTGAACTGCATGTTACAGCACCCCTCACCACACCAACAACAACCCGTGCAGAACTTAAATTCACGTCTGAATTGCATCACCTCCTGTTGGAAAAAGGTCGTCAAACATTAAATTATTTACAAACATAATGTCGGATTAGAATATATTTCGGGATAAGCAAATCTTTCTTATTTTCATTATGTCATTGCTCATTATTACCTTTTGCTGCAACAAGTGCCACACGGCTGAATATCTATGTTCGAGCATGTGGACTACAAGGTATGAGAAGCAAATACAATACAAGCAGTTTACAGATGAAAAACAAAATTAATACATTAATATATAAGCTAGAAGACACAACAATCGCAGCACAAAATGTCACCTTTAACAATATATATAGGTCTAAAATTATATTTTTCGTCTTCCAGAACATTTCTATAAATGTAAGACTGTAGAAAGTTACGTCTTGTATTATTTACACAGACCCTACTTTTTAAATAAAGATTATGGTAAAAACTAATGCAATTTTCTATATTTTTCATAAGGAAATGGTTTACTTAGTATACTACCATGTTTATATGCTAGAAGTATTGACTACTTAATAATATTTAAATTGTGTGGTATATATGTTTAAACTTGAAATCGCCATAAGCAACCTGTATGAACGATCAATTCGAGAAGACTTTACCCTCTACGTTAATTAATGCCCCAGAGAGGGTTATGTACAGTACTGGAAAAAGAAGACTGTTTCGGATGATTGTGTAACGAATAAAGAAGTAACTCTATTCTAGGACAAACAAATGGGTGTTGAACATGCAAGGTGCGAAACAGGTTTAAAAGTCACATGTGTTTTAGGCTTATGAACAGTGAGGGTGCCGGACTCGCGACATGGACACTAGTATATTATATACTAAGAATATTCGACCAGACCAAACCCCTGCCCCTGTCGCATAAACTTAATATGGAAGGTAGTGGTTTCTAAGTTATATACCTGACTATTGTTATCGGTCATATGAAGTGTTAAACCTCTGTTCATTGGACAAAAACAACGCTCGCATAAACTCGACTCTAAAAGAGAGAGAAAACAGTTAACTCAATTAAAACAAACTAAGGTGTCTTTCTTGAATGTCTGGTATTATTCGCAGATTGATTTCTTCCATGGTCTGATTTAAATGACAATACTTTAAAACAAGGTCAGATGTCTCGGTTCTTTGCACCTTGATATACCAAACATGTCAAAGAACCTTTCAATTTTGCTGTAATATAGAGAAACGCTATATCTAATGAAAGTTTCTGCACAAATTCTACTAGGAAGTGAAATAACTAGTATATTTCTATGTATGTATGAAAGCACTTACATGAAATCATAATATTTAAAATTGTACCCTGTAAAATGTGTCAGACCCTCAAATAAAAGCAGTATTGGCCGTACACTAATAGACTCTGTGTCTCTAAAAATAGTTGATTGTATGTAATATTACCTTCTTGTACAAAGAATATCTGTTGACCTTGATTATTTAACACAGCATATCTATTTCTCGTCTCAAACCCAGTCAATACTGAAATAAATAATGACCATAAATTTCTATGTACGTTCACATCATTTCTAATACATTCAAGTTAAGTATTTTTATATGTACTAGCTAATTTTTGAATAGTTTACATTAAAGAACTTTACAATACATGGTATCGAAAAAGGAAAGCTACTCCTTACAAAACAATAGTTGAATGTGTAAAATAAGATACAAGAAACGAGGGTAAACGCTCTTTATTTTTCCATTTCATTAATTTTTCTGAGGAATCAGATTTTTAATAATGATTTAAAAATATTTGTTATATAAATCCATTATAATATCAATTTGAAACACATTTATAGTAATCATATTTTTATCATTATAACTGAGTCCTAAAGTTACATATATTTATCATAAACATTGACCAGCTGCAACTTTAGTAAAAATCATATTTGATGATAGATTTAAGATAGAAAATGTTATTACTCAATGTTTTTTTTAAGTATTTTGTCTCTGCCGTTTATCATGTTGTTGGTGAATATATGTGAAGTTCTTACCTTCGAGTGCCTCTATTTTTTGTTTGACAATAATTTGATCAAGACCGGCCAGATATTGTAGACTAGGAGGGAGGCCGCCGCCTTGTTGTACAACGCCCATTTGCACTATAATGTCAAAATAATATACACTGTACATGATATTATAGCTACTAATAGCCCTTTAACGACCATATGTAGATACATTTATTTCTTAGGCAATTGTTTAAAGTACCAATGAACGTTTACGTGGAATAAGGCTCAAATTAGCCCAAAGAATGTTGTCACAGCGTACGATTATCTGACTTTTCAACCATACCATATTATATATATACTGAATATTTTTTAACAACGATCAGTTAATTATTGCGATGACCTGATTTTAAAGTTGAACGACCCCATGTTCTTTATAAAAAAAACTTAAGGCGTGTAATATGATATAGAAGAGGTCACAGAATTAGTCAACTGTTATGATTTATGTGAGTAAAAAAGAACGCAAATATAAATCGGAATAGCCGTATACTACATGTTTGGCAAGATAATACAATATTCATTCTGTACAAGAATAATGATTATTTCTTTCTTATTCTATTGTGACCTACTATATCGGAAAGGTCAAACTGAAGTGGACATCCCGCGAGTGGTTAAACTAGTAAAATGTACCACACTATTGACATAACTTTTAAACTTGGCAAACAGAAGAAAATCCATAATACGAGGGGGACTTTAAACATGTCAAAAATACTTTATACAATGTACTATATTTAGTTATAATCGGATTAAACATATACATAATAGTTATATAATAGTTCTGATCCTTCAGAAACAGAACTATGAAAAATATTCGCTGATCTGAATATGGTTTACAATGTAGTTTAAATGTAAATATTTTACAGTTTATGTGTTTTATATAAAAATACATAATCATTAGTGTAGACTTTGAATAACTTACTTTGTTGGGGTTGATTTGATATCGGAGCAGACATGGTTATTTCCTTTTTTCGGTTCCAGCTGTGGACAACTTCTCACCAGTCTGAAAAAATGCAAGTTCACGAGTAAAAAAAAAAACATTTTAATTTTGAAAATGAATAATTCCAAAATACCCGTATGAAAGAAATATGCTTTTATTTTTTTTTATAAAAGCAAATGGTACATGCGTTTCCTGCATTTAAGATAATTATGGCATCACAATATTTCATAAACAGAAGAATAAAATTCATCTATTATTAATGGCGCCATGCAACCAGTGCATTTATGCCCTGTGCTCGTAATCCGCACTGAATTCCGTTTTATATTTTATGCATGCAAAGGTTTAATAAGCAAGCTAAGGAACAAATTAGCAGCAACAAGTTATTATAAAATGTCTCAGATAAATTAAGAGCAAATATTAACGGACGTATACTATAAACAGGAATAAACAAATCATTTAGAGATCTGATCACGCCGGCATTTTTAGAGACATAATTCCGAATATAATGTACAATCGAGACTGCCCGAGCGACCACCTGATTTCAACGAATCTCTGTCTTATCCGACCTTGTTTTAGTCAGCCCAACATATTTCCCTATATATTAAATGGTCTGAATCACACGACTTCCTGTCATATGTGACAAGCGACCATAATTGTCTGGCCCCCTGATATAACAGACGTTGCCAATATATGAACAAATTCTCAAAGACTATGGTTTATAACAGAGAAGTTTTTCTTTAAAAGGTAATGTATATATTCTACTATAAGTTTTTGACTCTGATGAAAAGATTACATCTTAAAATTAATATATTTTCATTTTAAATATGAAAATAGCACGAATCAAGTAAAAAGATGATACTATCACCATCATTGAAATACTAGTACATGTACTTTAAATGTTTTTTAAAGTGTGTTTTTTTTCATACAAAACTTGAGTTGAATAATGTATCTCAAAGTGTTCTTTTTTTCCTTTCAAAACCCGAGTTGAATAATACAGACCCAGCAAGTATAAATTAAAGTTGCATAAATGCAAAGACTGTGTCTTAAAATAGCCCGCAATTTAAAATTGAAACTGATATATTCATAATACTTTAAAAAAAATAATCAGAAATCCTTTAACGTTGCCGTATATACATGTAAAACTTGATCACTGAAAAATAAACGTACCTGTTTAAATCCTCAACTTGTCACAAGTGATGAATATTTGGGGTATAAAGTAAATACGAAGTTTTGAAATATCTTGTGAAATAGTCCGTGACAAAGGAACTATAAATTAAACACTACAGGAATATGAACTATTGAAAAATAGCCAATGCCCTAGAATTCGATCTTTACCTGAATATCACAAGGTTTTGAGTCACGCTCAATTATAAAATCAATATTAAGTTTAATATTTAAGTAATTTAGTGCGTTTACAACCATAAGTTACGCTAGACGTCAATGTAGACCAGTTTTTCAAACGTTGAAATACACGACGTTTATTTTTGTTGTACTCCATGGTTGATTTGCGTAGAAATGCTTCATAGATGGGTTCGAAAATATGCAATTTGAATAGTTTACAGATTTAAATCAATTGTTTTACTTTCAAATAAGAAGAACAATTTATACATAGCATTCACTGAAAATGTCTACGAGAAAATGTGTATTCAACGTTACATGTCATTTGCCGTAACAGATTAACATTATTGACGTCAGAATACAACGTTATAGCTGGAGCAACAGAAATCGTTTACAATATTTAAAATAATAGAATGATATGCACTAATAAATATATAAAAGATACTCTTTTTGATAAAACTTGAATAATACCATTGCTTACTGATTTAAATGTATGTATGAACTTGCAATTACCACAATACCTCAGGTAATAACTACATATTAAAACGCGCACTTTCGTTGAAAATACGTGTTATCAAATTTTACGCTTGGCTATAGCATTCTGTGTCGAAAGTGAGAATGCAAAAAAAAAAAAAAAAAAAAAAAAAAATAATAAAAATAAAAATAAGCAGATATTTGCCAATTCCGACAAATCTGTAATATTATATTGATCAAATATGCAAAAATAATTTAAGCCACAATTTAAGATTGACAGTGAATATGCCCCAAAATTCATGCCCTTGTTTTGTTAGACAGTCTGAGTGTGACCCTGACCCCTTTGATAACAAAGGTGCTTGTGGCATTGATTTGACCTAAAATGTGTTTAATGTTGTTATTCATGCAATGACATATCCATATATTAAAAAAATATATTGTATTGTTATAGTCTATAACAATTTAACGATAATTTTTTCCCCTTTTTTAATTTTTTTTTTTAATTCATGGATATTTTGTTGCATAAATAACAAGGTGTTAAACACATTTTAGGTCAAATCAATGCCACTAGCACCTTAGTTTGATAAGAAAACACTGGCATGATTACTTCATAAAATTTCTCTAATATTAGCTTTCCTGATTGATCTAGTATAGTGTGTGTATATATAGAAATAATGATAATGATGTATGTACTTTAACTACAACAAATAAATCAATATCTAAACTAAACGTTCACAATTATATGTACCACATGACCTATATGTATCCTTGTGCGTTTCAAAAAATAGTAACATAAAATTTGAACTATTTTAATTGATGAATTTTGACATCAGATTTGCGCTTAAATAACCAGGTAGAAATAGAAATAAAATTGGTCAAATGGCAAAAAGTCACAAATCTTTTTAAATAAAACCACGATCATATATGTATACATGTGATTTTTTTTATCATAAAGTAAATTACAAGTTTTGCAGCTCAAGTGCGGCTAAGATGAGTGCAAATCAATAAAACATAACAAGTTTCGACATGGATAACATAAAGAATCAGTAATCATGTATTTGTGATTTTATGCTGATTTATTTTTTTTGTTTAAAAAAAGTAGCAAGTGTACATACCAGGTATCTTTAATCCAGTGACGCGTATAGCTCAGCCTATCGATTTAATTCACCGTGTAAAAGTACTTTGAAAAGGAAATAGTCCGTGACAACCACTGTAAACACTCAAAAGCGTTGATCTAGCTTTTGACCTCTTTTCTGTACTGATGGAAAGCCTGATACAGTTGCGTCCCCTTTCTTGAAAGATATTATGTGTAGTTTTGTACAGACATATTTGTTTTTCCAGTGACATTTATATTGAAATCCACTTATCTGATAGAGAGGGCATGTTGGGATCAATGCAATAAAAAAATAAAAAAATAAAAAAACGTGTTTAAAATAGTATGTTAAGTAGATTATGCATGCACTTATATCAACATAATTACCTTAAATATGTCTTAATATTTCAACTAAATTTTGCAATACCTCGTGGCTTTAAACAAAACAAAAAAAAAAACATTTCTGAAACTATTGAGGAATATTAAAGAATTACAAACGATTTCTTCCCGTCTGAATACAAATTTACACTACCTCTTGTGTTATAAATATGAGCGGCAATTTTATAAATGATATACATTATATAACCATACATTAATTTAACATATACTTAGATATTTTTTGGTGATATTTTATGCGATAATTTTCAAGCATATCTTAAATAAAGGTGTCAAATGAGGGGTTTGTGTTTATTTTCTCAACCGAAGAATGTTAAAGTGGTGGTATATATGAGATTATAATTCTGAAATGAATTCATTTGAAATGTTTTATAAGATGTACTAGTGTAGGTCGTACGCTACTATGACCAGTGTGCATGAATCATGAAATCTATTTTCAGAGAGACGAATTTGTTACCATGGTCCCTGATATAACTAATGTGATTTATAATTATCTATATACTTTATCCAATGGTCGGATATATTAAAAAGAGTTGGTGTTTTTAAAGGCACATTATACCTCAATAATCAATTTAACTCTTGAAAAATGCCAACCATGTGTTTAATTGTTTAATAATGTTTTAATAATGAGGTAAGAGCATGTTAGATGCTTAACAGCTGTAGAAAGTAGCACTGAACATGCAGTACTGTGTCGCAAAGGTTGCGAAATGTAAACAAAGTAGTATTTTGACTTCCGTACAAAATACGTATTCGCTACAATTATACAAATTGCCAACTAAGCAAAAGAAGCAAGTATTGGTTCATATATATGGACAATGATTTTTTGAAACTCTAACACGATTCCAAGAAAGAAAAGTTTTTTTCAGAATTCAATTTCTGAGTCATAATGCGCCTCCGACGAAAGTCAAAAATGTTTTAAGTTGTCTTTAATTATATCATATTCTATGATAATAACATATTCATTTATAATGCCAGGTATAACATAACATTCCATCATACAAACTTTCTGATTTAAGAACTGTTGTGCCATGAAAACGGTTGATTTTCTAAATTTTGCTTATGTTGCCTGTTCAGTACAGTTATAGTGATTGAAAGTTAAAATACTACTTTCTTACACTTTGCTAGATAGAAGAAATGATAAAAGAAATAATTTTACAGTACTCGATTCCCCAGGTGATAAGCATCTATATAAATGGCTCTTACAGTATTATTTAAAGGTTGTAAAACTCATGTTGGCCCTTTCTAAAGAAGGATGGCGCGTACCGTGCCTTTAAAGAATAACTTTCATGTGTTCTTTTAATATAAAATGGTAACTCATATTCTCTTAAAAAATGCAGTCATGGAAGGCCTTTAATATTTACAATTATGATGTATGAGGGGTGGTTTGTACAACTTTACTTATGATCACATTTCATAACTAAAATATGTTCCCTTCCTCTTCAATTCACGTATAATGAATTCTTCACGCTTTCATGAACAAAATCTAGATTGTTAATTTACATTCCAGCGGATCCATATACCGTCCAACATCAGTGAAACATTGAGCACAAAACCTTGTTACAGCATAATGTAAACAATCAAAGTGGTTTCTTACAAATATAAAAGAGAAAATCTTATTTCACTGGGCATTATAAACATTGTTTGCTTGCAATAAAACGCACAGATTCTTACATTTCTAGGGGATTTCCTTTTTCCTTTTATACATACATGCATGTGTCCATAGTTAACTTTTACATACATACGCACGCACGCACGCACGCACGCACGCACGCACACACACACATACATATATATACATACATACATACATACATGCACACTGTCACAGATAAAAAAAAAACATGGAATAAAAAAGTAGTTTCACTTTGTGTTTTATTTTACAAATGACCAAAACATATTTTATTTAGTATAAACATATAATATATGCTAACATGGCATCAAATGTAAAATAATAAAACAGTCGTGAATTCCACTCGATTTGAAGTGCTATCAGATCATTAAATAAATGTTTGCGATAACAAGAGCTGTCATTGAGACAGTGCCCGACAATAAGAAAATGGACATTACTCTGTAAAAAGTTAACTCAGGGTTATAGAAACTGGCCGATCATGTAAGGTATTCACAGTAAACAAGTTTGTAAAGTCATCATAGTTTTGAAGATATCAACAAGCACGCAAAAACTTAACCAATGAGTGAAGGCGACGCCAGGGTGAATGTAATAGCCCCCCTCCCCCCACATTTTTTCGAATAGTCAAGAACTTGAGTAATGTAGTGTTCACACCTATAATAACATGTTAATATAACATGACGTGTCATATATTTCCAGGCTTAAAAATATGATAAAACATGACAAAATGAACGCTTCTTAAATGAAACAAATAAAAAAAGAAGATGATATAAACATAAAGAAATCTTAAGCTCAAAAACACAAAATAAACATGGGCAAGTTAGTCTGGCTCTATACTGTAGTGGTGGCAAAGACTTATCGCTTTGTGATCCAGTGATTTTAAGGTCAACATCATCAATAAATCATAATTCTTCGACCATAGCTAGACTGTAACATAAAGTGAGCATTCAAAATAACCTGTACATATATATTTACATTATGATTTGTTCCTCAAAATATACATGTAAACATGGCATATAAACATTTATAAAACATATTTTAACTTGTGTGAGCCATTGAACTAAATTGTATCAATCTATCAAAATATGCATATTCAATAAGCTTGTAACGTTTTAAACATAACTATTTGGTGTCAAAACAGAGACTTTTCTGTATACAATCTTCAGATCAGTGTGTTGGTCATTTTTACTTCTGTTCAAATCTCAGATAATCCTGTGAAATAACAAAGCAACGATTTTATTCCAGCCTTGTAAAATAAGAACAGTATCACATACACATGTATAAACAATTTATAATATCAAAATAATGCAACAGTCACTTATAGTGCTGCAAATTCACAGGGTAAAATGACACCGAAGTGGTCTATGTCAGTCAACAGCAAGTTTTATATACCAAATTGTTCGTCTTGGTCTGTAGTTTCCGGAATGAATATTCATCTGGTTCAAGTCCGATGCGTAGCTTAAAAATCCAAGATGGCGTCAAAGATGGCCGCCAAATCCCTAAATAATCTAGAATATTAAATTTGCTCATATTTTGTTTCCGCTTTTGTATTTCAAGTGAAATTTTTGCAAGAAAGATATCATTTAAAGCGTTTTATACGAAGAGATTTAATTTTATTTGAGAAAACAGATTGCTTTTTGCTTTTTTTATATGTAATTAAGCAAATAATGCTAAACTTACGGGTTTTTGCTATGATACTCTTGTCTTAGCTTAAACAGAGAAATATTTATTACTTATTTTGATATTCCACTATTGTAATGTATTCATGAGAGTAATGCTTATATGCATTCATATCATATTTTAAGAAATCTTTCTTTCTAATTATGCAGTAAGACATATAAAATGAGAGGTGGTACATTAAAATAGTTTTTCAATGTAAGGTTGTAACTGGTACTTATTTGTTCTATATCAATTATTTCCCCAAATTTTGTGTTTCTGTCAAATTATAGCTTCTTTAGTGCAGTCCATGTAACTGATTAACATAATAAACCAGGAATATGACAATTTGCTTCTGGTTATTTAATGAATTATTGTTCAAATCGTACCCCACCCACTATGAATAAAAATCTTAAGAAACTCTGACCCCTCGATTACACTGATTATATGGAGTGACAATATTTACGTAAGTTAATAAACATAAGGTGATTTTCAAAGTGACATACTATTACAGGAATCCTGTCAGATCTAAAAATCTGTTCAAAAATGTGTTACCAATTTAATAAGCATGATTTTGTTGTAAGTTCACCTAAGGATTTGAAAAGTACAATGTATGCAAAACAACCTCTGCTCATTTATTTATATGTTACACACCTTTTTATGTCAAATAAAATGTAATGTATTTTTTAAAGTTTTTTAAATTGACAAAATAGTCATTTAAAAAGTTTGATATTTTATCTACATATATCATTATTCTGTTGACCTTCGGTTTCATGAAACATGCATAGTAGTCGGATAAAACATAATGTTTATATGAAAATCGTTCTTGGCATTATAATTGTGTTTGTGCTATTTTAACCCCTTCTATTTGACCTTTTTCGAGTTGTGTGGTTCTAGTATTTCTTTTTAAATAGTGTATAATAACCCTTTGTATAAATAGTGTATAATAAGCCTTTGGATATGTTACCTGCTTTTAAAGATAATATTTTGACCTTTGATCCCGTTATATAAATCCATTTTATTTAGTTTCGCCCATTGTTCTCTATTTCTTGTGGACAATATGTTGTATGTCGTGAAATTGCACGAACATTTTACATTGAAGATACCATGATCACTTTCGTATGAAAACATCTATGAACGTGTCTTCACTTCCTTTAAGTGTATATACCAGTTAATGTAAAATTGAGAATTCTGCTTAAGCCGGTGCTAGAAGGTGTGGATGGTAGGTAACTTGCAATTACCACTACCGGTATGTTCCTATATGACGAAACAGTGTAAATAAAATAAATCCCCGCCAAGTAAAATTTTAACAATTGTTATGGTTACATTAGTCGAAATAAATAAAATACATACATGATCGTGTAAATATGTACAATTAAGGTACAGCCTAATTACCATAACCAAAGTACTCGATGCCTTAAAGGAAGGCAGAGCATCAAGAACACCACTTACCAAGACAGAAGACGAAATTAAAACAATTAAGTACGCACAAAACGTCAAAAACGAAAATGTTGCAGGCTCGGTTTGATTGAGTCTGTTCATGAACGGCACTGTCAAGTGCAAACTACCGTACACGCCCCCTAGCACCGAATTAAGCAAGAATTCAACATTTAATCATGGTTACAGTGAACTTTTGGATTTAGAAACTACCGCAGACGCGCTTATAATGTGGTTATAATGGATCAACGTTAGTGTCTTTCCATAAAAAGCGGCGTATGGTCCCCAAGTACAAGAATGTGTGTGCCCTAAACAAGAAAACAACGAGCGGAACTAAATAAAATGGAACTTTGAAAGGGGATCAAAGGTTATGAAGCCTGCATGCCACAGATAAGCTGTCATCTCCACATAAATCAGGCCTGCTTATACCTAGATGTAAAAGAGTTTTTAAAGTACATTTAAATTTTGAATATATCTGAATAAAGACGACAGGACTTTGTAAAATATTTACGTAATTCTCCATAGTGTTCAGACTGATTGCTGGCGGCATCCATTTTTGCGTATCTGATTGCAGTGAATGAATCTCATTTTAATCGTAAAATCATTAGGAGCAGTCTACAAAAATTGTTTTGCGCATGCCCCGTTTCAAAACACGGCTTAACTTAAACGAAAAATTAACATCGAAGTGAACAAATCGGTACATAGAAAAATCGGAAAATATCATTTACGATACTTAACACTACATGCATGGATGCTTCATTTCGTAACTGTATAAATCGATTACCGTATTGTTTTCTGAATAACGTTTTACTATTTCATGTTCTGATAAATAGTTACAGTGAACATTATAGCTACAATATCACCATGCACTATATATACCGTCTCCGTGGTCGAGGGGTTAGAGTCGATGACTTTTAATACAGTAAGCTCTCTGGCGTGGGTTCGTTCCCGGGAGATGCTTTTTTTTGTTAGTTTAGCGCTGAGGAAGGTTGTCTAGTACTGGTGTAACTCTCCAGGAACGATGGTTAGGAAACTACCCGCCTATATGACTAAAATACTGTTGGGAAAAGGCGTACAATGAAACAAACAAACATATTATATGACCGAGTGAACCGTGTATTGAACCGGTATATCTAAATAACGCAAAGGGAGATTTTTTGGTGCAAATGGCACAAATTTTATCTCAAGTTTGATTTTCTTCTAATATTGTGGTTGGAGGCATGCAGCTTTATATACTGTTTATTCCAATAAACAGTATATAACAGTATTTACCGTTTATTCCAATCAAATGATATCAACATTTTTTATGTAAACTTGTTTGATTAACATACTTTATACTCGTTTGAGAAAATGTAGAGGAAATGCTTCCTTATACATGTATTTAACAAAACAGTGACCGAAAATTTGCTTATTGAACTTTACAAGAAACTTTTATTTTGAAAATACTTTTAATATATATAATATTATTTTTCTACAAAGGGAACTGAATTTAAAATACAAATGTAAATGATATATATCATTTAATTTACATTAAGTAATTTTACAAAAAAATTTTGTAGAAAAAGTATCCCTACTGCGCCAAGAAAAAAGTCCATTTTTCCGGCATATAATCTTTTAAAACATTTAAAAAGATGAAATGTAAAACAAACTTTCATTGCAATATATATAATAAATTCTATTTTGTTTAATAATTGTAATTTATAAACATTCATTGTGTCTGTTATGCAAAAATATCCCCAAATATTTTCGAATTAAGCAAATTTTCGACAGCAGCAAAAAGACCTCTCGCATGCTTCTTTTTAAAGAAGCAAACTTGTTTATGATAGCGATAGCCTTGTTTACGTTCACTTACATATATTTAAGATTTCACTTGAACAAATTTGATTATTCATGTTAAGGATATCATCTAGGTAGCGGTAAGTGCTATTAAAAGATCCTGTAACACATTTTTTTCATGGTTTTATTTAATAAATATGATGCTCAAATTAAGATTTGTCAATATTGTCAGTTCCAATAAGCATTATTTATAAAGATATTACCGAATTTAGCATTTCATGTAAATAAAGGGAGGTAATTAGAAATTTATTTTCTATAAATTCTAAGTCAAATTTTCCAATAAGAAATGAATGCATTTAATTTATTGATTAAATATAATGTGCACAAATATTTGCAGTACACATTTCACATATTCCTCGATGTTTGAAAATTGTTTTATTTGCATAATTATATACATATATAATTTTTTGCAAGCGTGGTATACACACAGTCACAATATAAATCACAAAACATACAGGATCTGCAACGTATAGCTTCCGGTTTTGAAATAGTAGAGAGACTTAACATAAAATCCCTCTAGTAACAATATAAAAGTAAATAAAGTAAACTAACATGTCATTGACATTATGATTGTAAAAATCAGGAAAAGAGAAGATCCTTTGAGAGCAATTAAACATGGCAAAGTTGATAATTCAAACTCAGTTTGATGGGGTCTGTTCATGAGACACCATATCTCACATCTCTTAGTATCGACTAAGTAATATCCAATCCTCAACTATAAAAGTTTTGCAATCAATGATCTCGAAAGACCAAGTCGTCCGGTTAGCTCAATAGGTAGAGCGTTGGACTGTGAATCGGGCAACCCGTGTTTGGTTCCCGGACGGGGCAGCTCACTTTCGTTGTGATTGATCATGAAATAGTTTCTACGATTATTCGCACTGTACCACTGCTCTTCTATGTACAGAAGTTTCAGTTTCTTGCGAAAGTGAGGGCAACTAGAACTGGTAAACTGCTTGACAGCCTGCCCAGGAACGATTCGGTGGCTGAACTGTGCTCTGGTAAATTCAATGTGGTTACTGCCGTGATCCGGATTGAAAACTACCGACACAAACATCACCATCCCGAAGGACCTATTAATATAGCACTGTTAACCTGCTGTTGCAGACTCGGTTTGATTGAGCCTGTTCATGGACGGTACTGGAAAGTGCATGTTACTCTGCGCCCCCTAGCACATAGTATTACTATCAAGTACCCGCCAGGGAAAAGATTAGCTATTTTCGTCCAAGTGAAAGCTCTTCTTAATTCCTCCCATGAAGTTAACAACAAACTTGAAACAAAATGCTCAAAATCATACACAGGAGCTGTCAGTAGGACAGCGTGCTCGACTATTCTCAGTGCTTGATAGTAAAAAAATGCGACATAATATTGTAAAAAAAGCTTGATACAGTGACCTCCTCTGTACACAGGTTGAGATTATGATGGTGAACAAGTGTGCAAGGTCTCAAAGCGATATGTCGATTGAATTTAAAATTATCTGAGTACGTGGTACTGTAAATTCAAAGTTGAAAAAAGGGGCATAATTCTGTCAAAATGATTGATTAACCTCCTCAAGTGTTCAAGTGGAGGGCATGATGGTAAACAAGTGTGCAAGATTCAATGTCATATGTCAATGGACTTTGAGATGGTACGCAAACTTTTACGCCGACGCTCGGGCGACTAGGATAGTTGTCTTTAATCGTCGAATAGTTCAGCTAAAAAGAAAATGCCCTCATAATATATATTTTTAATTCACTCAATATAGATACATAATTTTTTATATTTACATTTATATAATATTTTATTCATAATTCAGACCCAGTCTAGCAGAAAAGTCTCTTACTGTAAAATGAATAACTTACCCATTTTAAATGTTCTAGCAAATTACATTTTACATTTTAATGAATATATTATATCCGTCATCAATAATGACAAAACTCCAAATATGGTTCAATTGTAGATTATCATATGTTAAGACAATGCCTTAAAACAAGAGCTGCATGTCAGACAGCACGCTCGAATATTAAAAATCAACAGTCTGCATAATAAAGAAATTCTCTTATTCATAAAGTAGTATAACTCTTTGAAATAAAAACATGTTAGAGGGAAGTAACCTACAATAATGATGGTTGTGGAGATTAATCTTGTCCGAAAAATTCTGTAAGTTAATGAATAAATATTATTATTTCCTACTAAATGCTTAGCTTATGGGTCTTGAACAGTGACCTACAAGCATAATCAAAATCACATTTGAAGACTAACAATCAATGTTTATGGCTAAGGAGAAACAAACTTGCAAACAAATCCTTAACAAAAGGCAAGCACAAGGTCAACGCAAATACCGAATTGCAGGTCAGTAAATTAGTTCCTTTTTGTGTGCATAAAACAAATAAAAGAGATATTTCAACATTTAGACACACATGCAGGGCATTTTCTATGAAAGGTAAGATGTCTCATCACTAACCAATTAAATAAAATTGTTAATCTTTTTAATACCACTATTATAATATAAAACAAAAAAGTATTTTATTTAAAGTTGACTCCCCGTTCGTAATACCCCACCCACTTTGTATATGAATTTAGATCAATAAAACACATTTATGGCATAGTTCGCTTATTCTAACTTATTCTAAATATGTGTAGATATAGTTTTAAAGCTGTATTAAACGAAATCATGAAAGTTATTCAGTTTAAACAAGAATAAAACTAATAACTTATACATATTCAGAAAGCACACCCAGTTTGCAATATATTTTTCTTCTTTCGTTTAAATTAGGTGATGAAAACTAGAAATAAAATCAATAAAGTCAAAATTTATAGCATGAGTAAGTTAAAAATAAGACATTTTATGCAAAATTTCAATTGATTTACAAAACTGAAAAAGGAAATAAGCCATCGTAAATATACTAGAATATTAAGGGATTTGGCGGCCATCTTTGACGCCATCTTAGATATCTTAGCTTCGCATCGGGGTTGGGCCAAATGAATATCCATTCCAGAAACTACAGATCCAGACGAACATTTTGGTATATGAAACTTGCTGTTGGCTGACATAGACCAGTTACCCCTCTAAATAGGCTAGTAAAATGGGCTGATTTGCAGCACTATTAATAACTGGTAACATCTGACAACGCTTTTGTGTGGCAAAAATTAACACTGATTATAATGAAGTGTTTTTACCAAAACTTTCAAAACTAGCTTTTTTTGAAATCGACGACTCAAAAAGAAATTAACATTTGAAGGACGATGTACATGTACATGCATACTCACGATGAAGAACACTGCTCCAATAAGAAGTATCTTTTTATTTAAGTCAAGGTCGTGGGGAACTGAAATAAATTGAAATAAACGATCAAGAAATGGAGTATATGTAAATTGTTTACCTTCATCTGTCTTAATATCTTAAAAGGACAAACGTTTTTTTTTTATTTTGGTGAAATTTGCAAAATATGTTCTGACAGAATGGCAAACAGAGAAGACCATGAACAGACAAATTTGCTATAAAATAAATCTTGTTTTTAAAAATTGAACATATACATGTAGTGTATGTGAACTCTTAAATTTACATTTAATACATCGTACATTCATTTTTCTCACGTTGAAAACAAATAAAAATATACAGAAACCAAGCAAGCACATTAATATTTAATTTCAAGACGGAAGGTGTCAGCGTCTCCGATCGCCTCAACACAACATCCTCGGAATACCTTGGCCATTTTCCCTACCTCAGTTGTTAGTGACGGATCAGTTACCTGTTATATAAAATATTACAATTTCATTGATTATACATAATAAGTAACATCACAGTGTAAAATTTGTTTGCTGGAAATGTGAAAACAACCCTTGAAAAACCCTTAAACTGTTCTCATTTAAAACAGCCAAGACCTCTGCATCATTGTATCGCCTCATTTATCCTCATACCGATTTGATTTAGATCTATATTGCTAATAACAGTGTTCAATGACCACGTCTTGCTTTATTAAATAAAAGATTTATTGACATTCGTAAATCAATTTCTTTTTAAGGTCATAACATTTGAAAAACACAGCAAGAGCATATATCTATCAACACAAGTACACTATAAAATATTGTCTATTCCATATCTCATTTTATAACATTATGACATTATTTTTGGGCATGTTAAAAATATATAAAGAATACGAATCGTTTTAGAACTTAATATATCTTAATGATAAATAAATATACTCCATGTTTCTATTTTTAATGCTGGTCCAGTAACGAAAATGGAGGCGAAACCTGTTTTTTTGTTTTGTTATTTTCAGAGGAAAGGTGAACAGAAGTGTGGATGTTTTTAGAATGTGTATTTTTTCTATTTCATGATATTTAAACCTCATATCAATTTTTGTGCCCCCACGATAGTGGCGGGCATTTAGATTTACCCTTGTCCGTCCGTCCGTCCGTCCGTCCGTCCTTCCTTCCGTCCGTCCGTTCACTTTTGTGTCGCACGTAACTCAAAAAGTATTTGACCTAGAGTCATGAAACTTTACAGGAATGTTGATCAGCATGTGTAGTTGTGCACCTGGGTATTTTCGTCTGGATATTTTTAGTATTTTCAGAGTTATTGCCCTTGACTTAGTAAAATTTTGCAATTTTCAACTTGTGTCGCATGTAACTCAAAAAGTATTTGACCTAGAGTCATGAAACTTTACATGAATGTTGATCAGCATGTGTAGTTGTGCACCTGGGTATTTTCGTCTGGATATTTTTAGTATTTTTAGAGTTATTGCCCTTGACTTAGTAAATTTTGCAATTTTCAACTTGTGTCGCATGTAACTCAAAAAGTATTTGACCTAGAGTCATGAAACTTTACAGGAATGTTGATCAGCATGTGTAGTTGTGCACCTGGGTATTTTCGTCTGGATATTTTTAGTATTTTCAGAGTTATTGCCCTTGACTTAGTAAATTTTTGCAATTTTCAACTTGTGTCGCACGTAACTCAAAAAGTATTTGACCTAGAGTCATGAAACTTTACAGGAATGTTGATCAGCATGTGTAGTTGTGAACCTGGGTATTTTCTTCTGGATATTTTTAGTATTTTCAGAGTTATTGCCCTGAACTTAGTAAAATTTTGCAATTTTCAAATTGTGTCGCATGTAACTCAAAAAGTATTTGACCTAGAGTCATGTAACTTTACAGGAATATTGATCAGCATGTGCAGTTGTGCACCAGGTATTTTTGTCTGGATTTATTCGGTATTTTTAGAGTTATTGCCCTTCACTTAGAAATTTTTTGCAATTTTCAACTTGTGTCGCATGCTACTCAAACAGGATTTGACATAGTCATTAAACCTAATGGGCAGGTTGCTCAGCATATTTAGATTTGCACCTGGGGTTTCGCTTGTGGATTTATCCAGTATTTGTAGAGTTATTTCCCTTGACTTAGTAAAAAGATTGACTGAACAGTGGCGCGGTGGGGGCACCCGTGTCCTATGGACACATTTCTAGTTTTTTCTCTCTCTCTCTCTCTTAATATTGTCACCTAGAAACTTTAATATCAATTTATATATATATATATATATATATATATATATATATATATATATATATATATATATATATATATATATGTACATGTTTCAAGCAATAAAATATGATTAAATCAAACCATTTTATAATGTAAAAATGCAAATAAGTTATCATAATCATAAATGATAAGTGATTATAAAACGTTTGTTGCTTTATGATAATAAGTCACCGGGAAAATGACATCTGCTGGACAACAACCGTCCTGACAGAAACAACAAGGCACCCAGATAGTAAACAGATGGCGGTCATCACTGTCAAATATCCGAACATGACTGTCGCATTTAGAATTCCTGTAAAGATTATTATGCTTTATGTATCAAAATCAGTTACATATACGACAAAATAAACAAGGTCACATTTTTGAGCATACATTTCTGGATTTTTTTTCTGCATTTTAACTTTTTAAGAGTTATTGCCATCTTTGCAACTTTTTAAAATCGAATTGGAAGAAATTGGTCAAAGATGTTCTCTTTAAAACTGTATACATCTCTATGAGCAAAAACAGTTCAAGAAATTCAAACTTGAGAAAGTTGTACAAAGATTTAAAGAAAAGTAAAATATTCAAGATTCAAGTAACAACTTACATATTATTGGCGATTGATGACTGTTTTTGTAATATTTGTTAACATATTTATACTGCGTCAATAACGTAGTAATGGCTATTTTGGTACTTTGACTTCTTTTACGTAATTTACAGCGTGGATTGGGTTCTTTCTTATATTTTAATAAAATACTTTGTTCACTTTACATGTACTTTAATTACAGTTTGAAAATTAGCAAAAATATGGAGGCATGCTACATAAAAATGCATATCACTTTTTTAAAGAGAAAAGTCATGATTTTAAAGAATGTTAATCGTGATAATACAAAAATGTTACGTACGCAAGAGCAATCTTGCCAATATTTCTTCCAAATGGAGATTCCGCTGCTACCACCATGCTACAGCAGCCTTCTGCGCAACAACAACAACCGGTGCAATACTTAAACTCTCGAATAAATCTCATAATATTCTAAAAACAAAATCAACACGGGATTTACCAAAATGGACATAAAATACATTAAAAATGCTGATAATAATACATAAAGTGATTTTGATTTTAATTCTAAACATTTTTTCCACAGCTTTTAATCAGAGATTGACAGACAAAATGAATACAAGCGCTAAAAGAAAAGTGAAAGATAAAAATCAAGTGATTTTCAAGTTTAAACACATTAATTATCAAGTTTCGTAACTGTTTTATTTTTACTTATCATTTTATATGCAGCATCACCTCTATATTTTTTGGACTATTTATTCCTAGTCATATGAAGGTAAAGTCAGGCGTGATCAAGAAAATCCTAAATAAATTTTATTAAGTCTGATAGCTTGTACTGGTGAATAATATCAGAATGTCAGAATTTACCATCCATTGTTGAAATAGTATATTCAATTGAAATCAATAAAAATAAAGCAAACCTTGTTTTCATTGTCTGTAACATTCAAACGGAAGCCGCGGGTTGGTGAACACATAATTCGCTCACATTCGTTCGACTCTGCAATACAAGATGTGTTCTGAATACCAGAATGAAAGCATTAATCTTATCAACAAAAACAACCACAATAACAACAACCATAAACAACTAGAACTGCCACAATCTGGAAGGAAACCACCTAGCCACTTTGCAAACTAATTAATCTGTTCAGGTTCAAAATGATATTTCTGATATTCTTTGTTCATATTTTATAAATAATTATTTTGAATGTTTACAGTGGAGGAAGTCTCCATTTGTTTGTGTTTAAGGCTTATTTATATTAATTTAGATAACAATTATCATCTTACCTTCTCTTGCAAAAAATATTTCCTGGAAATCTTTGTTCAAAATTTGATATCTGTTCTTCGTTTCAACCCCTGATAATGCTGAAATGTGACCAATAAAATTACACTGTAATAGATGGAGTGATATATGGAGCACAGTTCCACATATGGATCATAATATGCATTTTGACATTATTACTTTCATCCGTTGGTTCCAAAGCAATGAACGGACAAGGGCTGGTGTGTCTGTTTTTCATCATCTCTGATCGAGATTATTTGGCTGTGTATGTAGTTTTGTGATTATTTTCAGTCTTTCTTCATCCTTGAATGTCACATTGAATGTCTGACACATTGAAACCTACTACAACAAAACTTTCTCAGAGATATATGCATCAAATTACAATACATGAATAGTAAACCTACAAAGGAAGAATATAAGTGCCGGACAGCATTTTGATTTTTTTTCAATGACAATTCATGTTTGACAAAAATAATTCAAAATTGCAAAACTTAGCGTTTAATATCGTCCTCATATGGGAGTTAAACCAACATATCTTTTACTGGAAACCAGCATATCTTTTACCGAGAACCAGCATTTCTTTTTAATCGATGCATATTTAAAGAACCATATGAAGTTGGTTACCCGTGGACTGTGTCACTTTTATTATGAATATTTTATTGTTGTTTTTATTCTAAAGTGCATATACTGTTTTTTATTTTGTTGGTTATGTAGAGGGCGCTTTAACGAACACAGTGATTAATTTTATAATGTCTGTTTTGATAAAATCCGATACTTCACCTTCAAATATTTCCATTTTCTGTCTTACAATGATTGTATCTAACCCTTTCAGATATTCCACACTTGCCGGAAGTTGTTGCGATACCGGACCCATCTCCATACCTTTAATGATAAAACAAGTGGACCATTGCAGCCCTTAACGTGCTAAATGATATGAAAGATTTCCCAGTTTTTGATCTATAACAGTCCTAAATAAGTTGAAGCGAACAATTAACAGTTTATATACGCAGGCTGGGTTTACTCTAAATAGGTGACAAACTCTAATATAGGGATTTACTGTAAGACACTGCAAAACGTCCGTACCGCAAAAACGTACGTATACGGACGTTTTGCGGCGCATATCGTCCACATTTTTCTGACGTACATTTTGCGGCAAAAAGGCATGGTCCTGCCGCATAACGTCCATACTTTAAAGTTTATACAATTTTCGTTAATTTTGACAAGTTATAATCAGGTGCTATTGTGTGTTACTTTAACCTGAGTATGCGCAGGTCTGTCCGTCCAAATTTAGCTTGCTATCACTCTAGCATCCACATACCCTAAACAATATGGCCAGAGTTATTTGCCCTTGAATTACAATATCTGTTATATATTACATATTGTTACCACTACAACGCTTTCATTTCTTCTTCAATCTTGACAATTTTCAAGATTTTCAAGAGAATATCTATGACCATAAAATCTCAACAAAGAAGATTATAGGTTAAATCTAACAAAAAAAAAAAAAAAAAAATAAATGAAATCAAACGCGCTATTTTTTCACCTTGTTAGTGTTTTCGTTCTTCTCAGTTCTTAATTTTTTTTATACAGAATATGTATAACAATAAGGTCTCGATCAAGTTCGTTTATGAGCTAAGAGGTTTCCCATCCCCACCCTCGCTCCCGCGACGAAAGGTCTCTTGCTCAATTATGACTAGGCGACTTAAAGGCCCTATCTCCATGACAATATAGCTCTCTCGCTCAAATATGACTACGCTGTCAAAAGTCCCTATCCATCCCCCGTAAATATGAATGGTAGAACCAAACCTCCATAGTCAACAAGATCACAAAAATCATCCCCACTTCTTGATGCAATTATATGAATAGCTATTGATCTTTAATTTTAATATTTTTTGTCATTCACTCAGTCCAATCCCGGTTTGTCCGTCCGTATAGCCGTCCTTATCTGTATGTCTATAAGATTACATTTATTTCAATATCATCGTTTTTATATCTCTGCTGCTGCTGCTGCTTGGTTCCATTCCATAAAAATCTATTCGAAAAACATCCTCGTCTTAAGCATATTTTTTTTCTTTAATGAAATAGTCAGAATTATAGAGTATCACAAAAATATTGCACATTAATGTTTATTTCGTCATATCTTTACCTGAAACAATATGAAATTGACATAACCAATAAAAGTAACGTTAATAATGAAAATATTTTAATACAGAAAATATGCCGCAAAACGTACCTAGTGCGATATGCACCGCAAAACATCCATACGCGTACGCTTTTCGGTACGGACGTTTTGCGGTGTTACAATGCGTCAACATACGGTACACCTAAAAAGTTTTCCTGGAGCTCTTGCATCCTAGTGGATGCATCAAAATATAATGCTGGCTTCAAAAATCTTATCAATTATTAGTCCAACAGTGGTCTAGCTGGGCTTTGTTTCATAGAAAGTGTATCCTAAGTCCTAGGACTAATACCAAACTATATGAGTATTCTAAGACCGTTTCAAGAACTATTTTCGTCTTTAGTAAAAGTTTAAGACTTTTACTTAATTCATTCGCCTTAGAAATGTTAAAAAATAAAATGACTCCCGCTCCAGTCCGCAATGTGGTTATGTTCATCTGCATCTCTATTCAGAAATCAAAAAGTTTTAACTTGGGACATTATCTTTGAAATGAATTGGCTCGGTTTTGGTCTTACCACAAATGTTTTAGATTTAGAACTTTCTATGAAGCAACCCAGGTAGCAACCTCTAACCAAGTATTATCATCGCTGAGAAAGAGTAACAATTTATGCAATAGTTCAAAACTAATTCATTAACACTACATTCATTGAATTTCTTTCATATTGGATACGTATTATATAAATTATGTTATGGGTGTGTACTGTATAGGTATTTTACTTACCACCTTTTGGCTGATCCGTTACCACAGCGACAGTTGTCATAGTGACAGCTGCTGTCTGAAATAGCATTTTAATATTAATTATTATACAGATCTACTATCTATATACGTAAATAGCACATAAACAACATAGAGAATAGCAGACAATTAGTTACTCTGAGACAAGGAACGCCGTGTGACAACAGGAGACTAGAGCATCGCGCATGTTTTGATTTTTTCTACAAAGGAAATAATACCTCTTATTTCTACTACAAGTTTCTCGGCGGCAATGTTGAAATTGCTGCTACAATACAGTAAATTCTATATTAAAAATGTGTTTTAATTTAGCAATATCCTAAGCAGTCATCTCCCCTTATCAGTACAGAAATCTCTGCCATCTCAATATTTTGATATTTTATATTTTTTAGACTTTGAATTTATTTTTCATTATTTTGTATACTTTTGAGTTTTTAACGTAAAGTTAAAAATAAAACAGAAAGAAAGAAAGGACGTTAGATTTTATACGTAACGTTTGATATTTACATTTGAATTTCGACGTTACGTCATGTGACTTTTATGTGACGTTTGTGAATGCAGTGATTACAATCTGTAGAGGGAAGTTATCACTGTGAGGAGCTAGCAAATTTAGTTTGAATATTTCTTTTAGCTTTAGAAATAGAAATACTATGCAATATATTTCCAGGAAGAATGACTTGGTAATGTTTTCTTCTAATATATATATAAATACAGTATGGTAAGGATAGTTGAGTACCCTAAGTTTTAGCCGAAAGTTTACATGATACTTTGACAATCCATCTTGACGGTAATGAGGCTTAGATCTATTCTAAAAGTTTAATAGTGCATGTTTGCTTTATACAGGCTTACTATGAAAAATTAGTGTTTAAGGTATATATAGGCTATCGTGTTTCTTGAAAAGGAACATAGATCTATACAAATTGTCATTTTAAACTTAGTTGTTGGTTGTTTACCATCATACTCATTTTTCAAAATAAATAAAAATAACTATTTCAATCATCATCCATATATTATATTATCAATCTAGTCTCCTGATAGTCACAAAATGTCAGGAAATCGCTTCCTCTTTCACAATATTTTTATCCCCCACCCTACTGAGTACACATGTAAATCAAAATAGCTCAGTTATGCCCCTGATTATAGATTTAACATGCAAACAAATTAAACAAGCACATGTTGTTATAACCAACATACAAAACTTAAAAAACCATTTACCTTTTATGAAATTATATCCTAGTTAAACTAGATATTTTAAAGTGCAGTCAGTCTAAATCAATATGCATGCGCGGTTTCTGTGACGTAATCAATAACAATGAGCTAGTTTCTGACACTACTTATTGTATGATATAAAAGTTGACCTAATTGTATGTTTTGATCTTGAATTGATCGCTGCACAATCATCTCGTTGACCTGTTATTACCTCTATTGATTTGTTTTTTATCTGATCTAAACACATTTTAATATTATATATGCACGACCTGTCGCACAAAATATTATATAAATCAGCCATTTTAATAATACTCTCTATAGCCTAGGGGTATTATTTAGAACTGATTGAAATATGCTTATAATCTGAAAACCAATAAATAATAAAACTGTTGTACATAGGTACAAATAAACTTCTATGCACACTATATAGATCTATAAACTTTTGTACACATGTGTACCATAAACTGAACATTGCCTACATATACATATATACATGTACATTAGTGTGCACATGTGCAAAATATATTCATGATACTAATTCGTTTTTCCTATTGTATACATAAATATAAACTGTTATGCAAATATACTCATTTACATAAATCCAACAAATTGAGATTCTTTACATTAATCATACAAATCATTAATCAAACATCAATATGAATATTCCGTCTATAGATGTATATAAACGAGTACACATGTACATAAAACGTTGCACACATGTACATATAAACTGTTATGCAAATAAACAAAAATATTCATTTTTATAAATCTCAACAAATTTAGATTCTTTACATTAAGCAAACAAATCAAATCATTAATTCACCATAATCTGGATATTTGTGATTATGGGAAATAATGCAGTCAGTTTCACTGTCGATGAGATATAATAATTTTGTGGTGAAAATGTTACTTACTCAAAATTTCGATTTACTAACTCGAAATTTTGAGTAAACTATCTCGAACTTTCGAGTTACTAACTCGAATTTTGGACTAATTACTCGATATTTCGACCTCAAACTCGAAATTTCAAGGATCTTATCTCGAAATTTCGACTTAGTAACTCGAAATTTTGACTAAGTAACTCGAAATTTCGACTACGTTACATTACTAGAATGACCAAAGTAATGAGTTACCAAGAGTTTAGATAATAATAGATATAGTAGGGAGTGCGGTTGAACTATTAAAGTTGAACATAAAATTATTAGTGGGTCACTTTTGATAATGACATGTACTGTACACGCCAGACCTAAAAAACACAAGACTTCCTTTAATTTGTATGTTCAGGCGTTCTTCAGACGTTGTATTGTGTCCCACCTTGTCTTAATCTATCAATATTTTGCTATCTTCTTAAATGATGATATTATTTTGTCATTTAAGCATATTAACATGTGCAATGTACACCATATCTTGTCTACAGACAATGCTGACTTGTTCAAACAGCATGTTAACTTGTCAAATAATCATAATGACATGTACAAACGAAATGTTAACTTGTCAAAGTATGATGATAACTTGTGCAAACGACATGTTAACTTGTCAAAATATAATGATGAATTGTGCAAATGACATGTTAACTTGTCAAAATTTCATGATGATATGTGCAAACAGCATGTTAACTTGTCGAATTATCGTGATGACATGCTCATAATACCTTAATTTAAGTTAATATGTGTTTTGCACAAGTCATCACGATTTTTTTGACAAATTAATTACATGTTGTTTGCACAAGTAATCATGATAATTTGACAAGTTAGAATGGTGTTTGCACAAGTCATCACGATACCTTGGCTAGTTTGCACATGTAATCATGAAATTTTGACAAGTTAACATGTCGCTTTCACAAGTCACCATGATACTTGGACAAGTTAGCATGTTGTTTTCACATGTTATCACGATGATTTGACAAATTAACATACTGTTTGCACATGTCGTTATGAAATTTTGACAAGTTAGCATGGCATTTGCACAAGTCATCATTATACTTGGACAAGTTAACATGTCGTTTGCACAAGTCATCATGATACTTGGACATATTAGCATACTGTATGCGCATGTCATAACGATAATTCGACAAGTTAACATGCTGTTTACACATGTCATCATGGGATTTTGACATGTTAGCATGGCATTTGCACAACTTATCATAATACTTTGACAAGTTAACAGTACGTTTTGACATGTCAGCATGATACAAGATAACATGTCATTTGCACAAGTCATCACGATTCTTTGACAAGTTCACATGTTTTCTTCACAAATCATCATGGTAATTTGACATGTTAACATGCTGTTGGCACAAGTCGTCATGATGCTTTGACAAGTTAACATGCTGTTTGCACATGTCATCACGATAATTGGACAAGTTAACTTGTCGTTTTCACAAGTCATCATTATACTTTGACAAGTTAACATGGCGTTTGCACAAGTCATCATGACATTTTGACAAATTAACATGCTTTGTGCACTTGTCATCAAATAATTCGACAAGTTAACATGTCGTTTGCACAAGTCGCCATTACATTTTGACAAGTTACCATGTCATTTGCACAATTCATCATTATAATTTAACAAGTTAACATGTTGTTTGCACAAGTCATCACGATACTTTGACAAGTTAGCATGTTGTCTAAAAATGTCATCATAACTATTTGACAAGTTAACATGCTGTTTGTACAAGTCAGCATGTTCCTTTGACAAAACATGATGTAAATTGCACATGTTAACATGCTCAAACGACAAAATAATATCTTCGTATCACAAGTTAACAGAAACATTGATTACATAAGACAGTCAGGGTGTTCCATACCACCTGTTCGAACATATCTTTTCACTTATCATATTCTTCTCCCATGTGAATAAAACGATCCTATACTTCACGTGTTGGACATCTGAGGAAAGTACCGAGGAGTGGCCAAAATAGGGCGTGCTGAGGCCTTTGTAAAATTTGATTGACTGACTATATTTCTTGTCAAATCGTATGCTTTATTATTATTCCCAACATGTATGTAAAAACAAGTTCAACTTTTATCAACACAATATGAATCAAAGTCTTAGTAATAAATGAATATAGTATATTGACAAGCATCTTTTAAAAAATGTTACAAATAAAGAAACGTGACAGACTAAATGGCGTATACACGTCATTGAAAATTTAGGTAACACATGAATATTTCACAGTTTACAATTGGGTGGGTTTTGGACTTGTTGTATCTCCACATGATGGTTGTATGTGTGCTTTAGACACAAAAAACATCCGGTTAACACGGAAATGTGGAACGTGCGATTTTACACCCGCACCCCGCCCCCCCTCCAAAAATAGCAGTCAAGAAAATGAGAAAAGATATGTTCGGTATGTGTGGACACTTTGACCCTATTAAATTGTTCTGTTTAATATATGGTGCTCTGTCAATGTGTAACAGCTACACATGAATTCAATCCTTGCTTTCACCGGCAACCAATGTAAGGCTTGTAATGTAAGTCGAAATTTCGAGTAAATAAAACGAAATTTCGAGTTATGTAACTAGAAATTTCGAGTTATGTAACTAGAAATTTCGAATTAGTGAGTCGAAATTTCAGAAAAATAAGTTGAAATTTCAAGATATTACGTCGAAATTTCGGATTAGTTAGTCAAAATTTCGAGTTCATTAATTCGATATTTCGAGTAAGTAAGTCGAAATCTCGAGTTAGTAAGTCGAAATTCCGAGTTAGTAAGTCGAAATTTTAAGATAATAAAGTCGAAATTTCGAGTTAATACCTCGAAATATTTAGTCAGTAACTCGAAATTTCAAGTTAATAAAAATATTCACCTGGCACTTATGCTCTTCCTTAAAGAGGAACTGAAATGAACTGTTAGATAGCTCACTTGCATTCGCCTACTTTCAGGGGCATTTTTTGGTTAAATGTATCAAAGAAAATATTTCAACTTTATATTACAAAGGGAAAGCAATTAACTGACTTATGCTTTTCTGCAAACATAGTTATCTTAAATGCAACAACATTTGGTGATAGTTATATCAATAAACGTTTTCAATATAGTGGCAATATTAGAGATAGTCGTTGTGATAAAAGTGTTACATTTTCAAGTTGAACATCATAATTATTCCCTTTTATCACATACCCGTACCGTTTTCACGGCATTGCACGGCCGTATTTTGACGTGATGTCATTTGCGTTATATAAACATAGCGTTAATATAATTTTATTCAACTCGTTCAATAAAGTCAGTATTAAACTAACACACATTCAATATGCTCTATTGATTACTCGAAACTTTCTATTAAATAATATGCCATATTTCAGGATGTAGTACCTGGAAATTGTAGTATTAAAGATATGCCATCTTCCTGGCGATGGAAAATATACCAAATGTTGAATCTTTTTCTATGGAAAACTCTATAGGATCTTGCCCCCGATACTTTATAACTCAATGAAATTTTTATATAAAGGGTAGCTCCGAATGGGGGTAGTTTCGGGAAGTGCTTTTAATCTCCCATTAAAAATGAAGGTTTTAAACGGTGCACTTTCAGGTGTTTCTGTTGCATTCATTACATCATTCATTAACAAACAACAGTGATCAAGGTGATATACCAATTTATGAAACTTTAAAATATGATAAACAAGATCAACAAGGAAAGGCGGCGTTCAATGAACGCAAACCCCACACGAACCAGCAACAAGAACCAACGGCAAGGATCCCAGAAGGACCCCACACAAAAACAGGACAGGACAAATGCACAGATACATATATAAATGGTAAAAAAATCAAGGTAAGTAATTCATCTGCTAAGAATTACAAATTGACAAAGAGTTTCCGTGAAAATGCACATGAAAATGCACATAAAGCATGCTCATATGCAAGTTTTAAATTCTTAAATTCATCTAATACACCAAGTAAAAAAAAACGTTAGCAACAACAATATACACTCAAAATTGATTGTGTCTGGTGGGAACTGAATATCTTTCATTTTTTTTTGCCATTGGTAAAGTTCTGAGTCATTGTGGTGAAGGTAAATCTTCCCTGAATAAGTCTTGGTCAGTTAGATTTAGATTCTGGTGATTGTCACAAAATAGGAAGAAATCAAAGCAAGTCCCATGGCAGCATTCC